CGTGTGCATATGTGTACATGTGTGCAAGTATGTAGATGTGTGTATGTGTGTGAGCATATGTGCTTGAAGGCAAGCATGGGTGTGTGTGGACAAGAGAGGAGGTTTTCCCTCCTCCTGGACCTCCGCTCCTGCCCCCATTTCATTACCCTTCCCATCCAGGGAAGCTTCCAGGGATGGAGAGGGCTGTTGGTCTGGTCCAAAAGCCTCCCATTTTCTGTTCCCTCAGCTGCCCTGAGGCCATAACCTTCCTCTGAGAGCAAACCATGACGTGTTCCAGGTGTCAGTGTTAAAGGGTATCAGGAATGTCCTCTGTTCCTCCTGCACATGGGACCTGCTCCTCCAAAGCTGGCCTGTAGGCCAGGTCCTCCTGCTGAGACACTACCTGTCAGCCTGGATGGACCTGTTGGTTCTCGTAGGAAGTAAGGTTTAGGATTGAGGGAGGACAGGCCTGGGGTACTGGGGCTGAACCTGGGGCAAGGCCCCCAGAGCCCATTTGGTGTCTTGCTGCCCAGGACTTCCTCTCGACTTAGAGAGTGCTGTGGTGGGACAGGGTCACCTGGCTTTGGAGAGACCAAGGCCACTAATTGAGACATGTGCCAGCTCCAGCATGTCCGAGTGTGGCTGTTCATTGCTTCCCTTCCAGGGCCCGACACCCACCACTATACTCTGGATTGTGGGATTTATTCATGAATGATTTTAGGGGCAGTGGGGTGCTAGGGGAGCTTGGGCATCCAGCTTGAAGCTTTGGAAATGTTAGTGTCCCCTCCTTTGTGGACCTTGGTTTCCCCTTCTACATGATTGGTGCAACTGTGCCCAAATGACTGCTGCTGATGGATTTTTTTAATACTTGAAAGGTGTGCCACTTTCCCCACCTTGGAAGTACCTCAGAAGCCTCCAGCATCAGAAAGATGGGTCCCCTGAAACCTCTTTGCAACCCTCTCTTCTCTCTGGAGCAAGGGCTGCACCTGCTGTGGTAGGACACCTCCCCAGTATGAAGCAAATGTGATAGAGAGGCTTGTCCACCTCTCAGAGTCCCACCAGGGTGCCTAAAATCCCAAGAGGTCAGATTCTGGAGTCCCACAGACCTCTCTGAATCTTAGGTCTGCTCCTCACTAGCTGTGTAGGCTTGGGAAGACATTTTCTTCTCTCTGAGCCTCAGTGTCATCATCTGTAAAATACAGATAAAATACGGCACTTCAGTGCTGGTGTGAGGGTTCAATGAAGTAATGCACGTGCAGTGTTTTGGGAGTCTTTGAATAAAGGCTTTCCAGTCACCAAGGAGTCCCCAGTGAAAACCCCCAGGGACATTAAGGCAGCGCTTGAGGTGCTTCTGGTCACTGGGATTGGGGAGGAAGAGGGGCCAGGGAGCTGAGGATGCCAGTGAGGGGGCTGTGGCCAACTTCCCCTCCCTGGACCAGTGTAGTGGGGCTGGCGGGCGCGTCTGGAGCTGTCCGTGGTGCTGAACATGGTTTTTTTTGCTCTGGCCGTCTACTTTCAGAAATCGTGCAACAATCTGGCAAAGAGTAAGGAAGGGTAGTTTGGGAGGCCAAAGGCAGCTCCCAAAGCCAAACTTCTCTCACTTTCTCCAGGAGCACTTTCTTGACTCACCCTCCTGGGCCACCAGGAGCCCACCCTTTCAGATGCCTGGGCTGCTGCCTGGGACGGCTTCTTACATCATGGCCCACCTTGTCTTCTCTCTAACCCTTGTCCTCTGACTGGACCATGAAGTCCCGGAGGCCAGAGCATCTGTCTGCCAAGCTGAGTAGGTTCTGTCATCTGATTGTTCAGGGAATATTGTTATCCCTGACTTCCACTGCTGGCTCTTGCGGCATCATTATGAGTTCCCTTCTACCCCCAACCCCAAGCAGATGTTTTACTTTGGCTCTTCCCTGCAAGATCACCAATTTTCTGTTAATCTGTTGACTTTTGAATTACTTATTTACTCCTCATTTAATAATATAGCTAAGCATATGTCAGAGCATTTTACAAATATTAATTCATTTAATTCTTATAATGATTCTGCTAGTTAGGTACTGTCACCATCTTCATTGATTAGATGAGGAAACTGACACATGGAGAGATGAAGTGATGTGGAACCAGAAATTTAACCCTGGTTGGCTGGCTCCGAGATAGCCGGTGCTTCTTTCTTCCTACCCTATCATGCTGCCTTTTGTGTACCTCTGTGATGCCCCAGCATGGTGGTGTGTGGGGAGCAGAGCTCCAGTATCCCGACCCCAGCCTGGATTAGGCACCAGAAATATCCTTCAGCATCTGGAAACTCATGATTGAAGTAATTAGTCAGAATGTAAGGAAATGGCTGTTTCTGCCTCATGCAATTTGGTTTTATGAAGACCACTAAATGCAAACATTCTCCTGTTAATTACTGTCTTAAATTTTGTCTGTAATTGAGAGAACTAGAGCTGGGAGAGTGTAGAAACCCACTGGACTGGCAGGCCTGCCCCGAGTCAGCACTTGCAGCCTCTTGCGCCTGCTTTGTTAATTTTAGAAACTCCTCCTGCCTGGGTATATTATTAGCTTTATATACAGAGGACCACAGGGCCCTCAGTGGCCTCTCTGCGTCTGTTTTTTTTTCTTTGTTTTCCCCATGAGATTAAATGAAAAAGGAATGATGGTCATGTGTATAAAAAGGTGTTTGCACACTGTGTGCGTGAATGGGGATACCTGTGTGTGGCATCTAAAGAGTGTCTGCAGCTGTCTTTGAATGATGTACAGGAGGCTGAGTAGTGTGTACATAGCTCAAGAGCACCCCATAGAAGCTGAAACTATTCTGCCCCCACCCCTTCCTGTTCCTGAGTCATTAGCAGGATGTGCTGTGTTCTGTGTACTGGTTGTGAAGGCTGGCGTGGGTTCTTGGGCCTTAGGTTGGGTTCTCCCAGATGACGGGGGGAGATTGGGGCTGGAAAAGGGGTGGTGGGATGTGGGGCAGGGGAGGAGCTGACGTTGATCTCTTGGCACCAGCCTTAGAATGAGAAGCCTTAGCCTAGTGAGTCTCAGACGTGAGGTCCTGTCTTGAGGCCCTGAAGAGTCTGGCTTTCCAAGCAGGTGCCAGAAGTGGCCCTTCCCTGAGCTGTGTGATGGGGGACAGCTGTCTTGCCCACCTTCAGTGAAGGAGGCCCTACCCTCTCCTTGACTCATAGCACCATTTTGAGTCTGGCAAAGAAAACAATTTGCTGTGAAGTAATTTTTGTTTTCAAACCTAGAACCCTTCACACAGGGGCACTTGGGTGGGACCCCCTGAAGACTTGGGGAAAGCCTGTCATCTTGTCTCTCATTCTCTTCTGGCTTCCCTGCAGTAGAAAATTAAAGGTGGCTGAAAGGTTACTTCTCTTGGGAGAAGACATGCTTATTTCTTTATTAACTAATAAAGATTAATACCTTTAGCTGTTGTTGTATAACTGTCTAAATTAATAACAGGAGGAAACAGCTCTGCAGTGCACGTTTTTGGTCTTGAGGCCAGCCCTGGGATGGCTGGTCATACCTTCTTGTGTTGTGTGCACGGTCCAGAGGGGCCCCAGCCAGGTCAGGTGGGAGACCTGAGAGTTGGCTCTTACCTCCTCAGGGATTCACGCTGAGGGGCTCTCCCTCCCACCCTCTGGAAGCACTTGTAGTTGCTTTGAAGGCTTAGGAGAAATGATGCTGGGAGCCCCGGCTGGTGTCACTCCATCACATTGAGTGGTACCTTACTGGTGCTTGAAATCACCCCATTAACACTTCTTGCTTTTGAAGATATCACTGTCCCTCTCCAAGTCTGTGTTAGAGTGGAAACCTCTGTGGGAGAGGCAGATGGCCAGATATTTTCTAACTGTAGGGGATAGGCCAAAGGGCACCCCCAGAGAGCCAGATCAGAATTCTGGGACTGAGTGTTGAGGCTCCACCTCTCTTTGCACAGTGGGGAAACTGAGGCCCAGAGCAGAGAGGGCCCCTTTCTGATATCACATAATGTCAGTGACAAAGTCCTGGGCTGGTGCCGGGGCCTCCTGCCTGCTGTATGTCTGGGCTGCCCCTGCTCCCTGGTCATGGTCTGTGGCACATCTGCCTGCTAGCCTGTCTCACACCACTCTACCCTTCGGGGAGGATGGAGCAGCCTGGCCTCAGCCTGGGCTGGTGCGGGGTGAACTCCTGCCGCTAAAACAGCCTTTCACTTCCTTCTGGATGTCATTGTTTGCTTTGCTTTTCAACCTGACTCACTGGGGCATGGGGATGGGGGTACGAGGCTTGTCATCAGGAAGCTCACAGAGGGGCAGGAGGAAGGTACCCTTAGTGGAGGCAGAGCCTATCTCTCTGCCAGTGTCCACATCTTACCCTGGTCCCAATGGGCCTACCTCCCACAGTGTTGCAGAAACTCCTAAGATTTATCTCTCCCACACTAGCTTTTCCTCAGAGCTTCTCTCTCAGCCTGTGACTCATTCTCGCTCTCCTCCTGGCTACTGACCCCTGTATCTCTGGGCAGATTCTACTGGGACCTGACCATGCTGCTGCTGATGGTGGGGAACCTGATCATCATCCCTGTGGGCATCACCTTCTTCAAAGATGAGAACACCACACCCTGGATTGTCTTCAATGTGGTGTCAGACACGTTCTTCCTCATCGACTTGGTCCTCAACTTCCGCACAGGGATCGTGGTGGAGGACAACACAGAGATCATCCTGGACCCGCAGCGGATTAAGATGAAGTACCTCAAAAGCTGGTTCGTGGTGGATTTCATCTCTTCCATCCCCGTGGACTACATCTTCCTCATTGTGGAGACACGCATTGACTCGGAGGTCTACAAGACAGCCCGGGCTCTGCGCATCGTCCGCTTCACCAAGATCCTCAGCCTCCTGCGCCTCCTGCGTCTCTCCCGCCTCATTCGATACATTCACCAGTGGGAAGAGGTGAGTGCTCAGACCCAAACCTCTTGAGGGAAGGGTATCTTCTCCCGGGGAGGTGCGTGAGAGGCCAGCAGGTGATCTCAGATAATTGGATATGGGCTGTCAGATTGTAACAGGTACCTCTGCTCCAAGAGGACAAATATTAGTAATTGCTTGAATATCATGTGCTAGGTACTATGCAAATCACTTTACAGGAAGTATCCTGTTTAAATCCCTAGCATCCATAGAGGGTACCATATAGGTACACGTAGGTAACTTTTTTTTTTTTTTACATGAGGAAACCAAAAGACAGAAAGATTAAGGGTATTATCAAGGTCACAGAATCAGTAACTGGTAAACCTGAATTTCAGCGCCTGCACGGATAACCACTATATTGTATTGTAGGGGTTGCAAACTCATAAGTTTGTAGGGGCCAGGCAGGGAATGTGGATGGTGAAAAGGCACTAGTTGGAAGGCACTAGGGGTGTGGTGGACCGGGGAAAGCTGGACAACACATCTTCCACCTGGATCAGGTCGTCTCTACTCAGCTCTAGCCACTTGGTGCTAAGTGAGGATGGGCCCAGGGTGCTAGATCTACAGATGGATCATGAGAAGCAGAAATCTGGATTTTTGTGCAGATTTTGTTGGCGACTATCTTAGGTTGGGTTCTTCCGGAGCCGACCCCAAGATGAGGATTTGCATGAAAGTAACGTTTTAGCGGTCAGTGTTTCCAGGAAAATCTAGTGAGGGATTGAAGAAGAGAAATGGGGAGAGGAGGGAAGCTGAGCAAGGGCGGACACCAAGCAGGTCCTGTGGAGGATTTCGCCTCCTCCATCCCCCTGGGCCCCATCCCATGGGAGCTCTGAGAACAGTGTACACCACGCCTCAGAGTTGTCCCAGTCGAAGGAAAAGAGTTAGAATTTTTATATCCCCTGCCCTGCCAGCCTTTGGTTCAGGGGCCTTCCCGCCCTTGGAGCCAGCAGGCAGAGGCGCCTGGGGCTGGCCTCTAACACAGAGCTGCAGGTGCTGGCTCTGGGGTATTGTGTGTGCACAAACCGTAAAGGGATCTAGGGGCTCTGGGTGGAGCATGGGCTGCAGAAACTAAATAAAAAATTGTAGGAAATAACTGGGTAAGCCAACACTATTCTGAACAAATCTTACTCATCCATGAGCTGAATGCAGTTGTCTGGGGGGCAAGAGAGAAGGACTCCCAGCTGGAGTTTGCAAACAGCAGGGGACCTTGCCAAGCGCTTGGGTCTGTGTCTGCCACCCACCCAAGTTACACCTCTTGATGGCAGCAGCAGGCAAGCCAGCCTGGAGGCACTGGGGTTGGGGAGAAGTGCTCTGTGAGATGGCCCACCCTGGGGTCCAGAGTGGGCTGTGGCCTGGAGAAGGGTCCGAGGACATGCCTTTCCTGGCCGCTCACTGCTGCCCTGCTGCTTTCCTGGTCTCCAGGACCTCCGCTTGTCTGGATGGACGTTCCCAGGCTCAGGATATGAAGCTGCCACCCCACCCCCAGCAGCAGCCTGGCTGGCAGCACCCTTGCTGATGGTTGGGGCACCATCATGGTTGGGGCAGATTGAGGTCAAAGTTGTCCTGAGCACCTGTGCCTCAGATGTACCTATGCCAGCCTGGCAGAATCACTCCATGACAGAAATTCTCTTTGGCTTGGAAAATTTGCATTATTTCTGATGACCGAGGAGGGGCAATGACTTTCCCAAGGTCGCATAGCGGACATCTGGCAGAGCTGGGGCAGGACCCATTCAGTGCTCTTGGCTCCTGGCAATGTGACAGTCTCTGCCTGACATGGTATAGTGCTAGAGGGCTTTGGAGCTAGAATGACACGTGTGAGACTCGAGTCGAAATCCCGGCTCCACACTACATAGCTATGTGACCGTGGTGCCACTTCACCTCTCTGAGCCTCAATCACTTATCTGCAAAGTGGGTATAATAGTACCTCCCTCATTGGACTGTCATGAGGATTACATGAGATGATGTTTATAAAACCCTGTGTGTGAAGCCTGGGGCAGAGAACTGCTCAATAAAGCTCCTCCCCACCCAGTTGTCTTGTAACCCCCTAAACTTTCACAGGGCGTTTATTTTTCTCAAATACTTTCTCCCCGTTGTTTCACTGGTTCTTCACTCCTAGCTGGCAAAGCAAACAGGGCAGGGGTTGCCATCAGCCCCATTGGTCAGGTGAGGAAACCGAGGATTGCAGGGTCAGCTGCCCCACTGGTAGGAGTTCTGACCTAGGCCTCCGGGCTCTTGGTTGCATGCACTTCCCACTTTCTGAGGCGGCCTGAAAGGAGGATGACTTTGATTCTGTAATTGTTCCCTCCGTTAGGGATGACTTCCCCTGGGATGAGGAAGGTGGGCAGTGGTGCAGGTTGCGGGTGGGGGAGGAGTTCTGGGTGACAGGTTGGGTCTGAGGTACGTGGGGCACACCTAGGTGCAGAGGGATGTGGGCATGTGGGGGTCTGAGCTCAGGGCTGAGAAGGGGCCACTGGTGGTGGAGGTGGGGCTGGCCTGGGCCACCCTAAGTGGCTGCCGAGGAAGGATGGAGGTTTTTTTCCACCACAGTTCCCTGACAGGCTTATCTTTTGGTTTCTGTCACAAATGGAAACAGGACCATGTTGGCTTGCTCAGTCCCTAAAACACCCCCCAGCCTTCTGTTTGTCTTGGACACACAGCTAGACCTGCGTTGAAAGCAGAGGTGGCTGGCTCATGTCTGCAGGCCCCAGCCCCTGGGGGTTTAGCCTTCCTGCCCCTTAGGCCCAGGCCCTGGGGCTGTGGTATTTGGGGGAGTGGACAGGGCTGCCAGTGGCTGGGCAGGGTGGGCCTGGAACAGGAGCTCAATGCTTCTTTTACTGTCCTGGGAGCTCAGGCCAGGTTGTCTGTCCCCGCTGGCCCTTGGACCTGGCTGCCCTCTGGGCGATCCAGAGCTGGTCAGGCAGGCTCCACCGCTGGACTTCCCTTAGGGTAGGCAGAGACCCCCAAGGCCTCAGGTTAGAGCTGTAAAATGGACATTGCTACCCAGTCTCATGGGCAGGAAGGGAGATCCCAGGAGGCCAGATGGATGACTCCCCCCCGCCCCCCCTCCCCACGCCCTTATCTTGCCTACCAGCTGGAGAGGAAATTGCTTTGAGTGGTTTCTGCCGGGCACACTGCCCAGCCAAGGGCTCCCACTGGACCCCTGGGATTGGACTGGGGCTTCCCAGCTGGCCCCAGGAACTCTGTCTCCAATCCTTAATGGCCTGCCCCGGCCCCAGGGCTTTTCCTAGCCTCAGCTCGGCTGGGGACAGCAGCAGGGAGACCCTTTGAAGCCCCATGTCTGCATGAGAGCCGGGGAGGGAGGTATTTAGTAGAGAAAACCCTGCCCTATTTCCTCCTCCAATTCCCTATGTGGATCTCTTTCCTTCTTGGGGCCTCAGCTCCCCTGATTGTCAGACGTGCTCTGATGTTCTCAGAAGCTGGGGCTCAGTACCCACTCCAGCCTCCCTTGGTGAGGATCATGTTAGCTGACCCTGAGGACATTTTCACGGCCTTGGGTGGGCACAGGGGAATCAGCCTTCCACACGGAGGGGAAAGCTTGCCCGAGGCCTGCTGGTGAAGCTGCGGGGGTGCTGGACTCCTGACCCCCAGACTCCAGCCCCCCGTCGGAGTGTTCCCAAGCATTAGTGGCAAGTCTCGGGAATCAGGGTAGGTGGAGGGTGTCACCAGGTGTAGGCCACCATCTCGGAGGATGCTCGTCTCTGCCTCCATTTTGGGCGATCTAGGTCAGCATCCTCCCTCCCAGCCAAGTCTCTTCCCTCCCTCTGAGGTGCGAGCTTGTTATAGGCATAGAGGCTATTGTTAGAATCTCTGGTTGCCCCTCTTTGCGTGTTCCCCTGAAGGGCCCAGCACCCCAGCGACCCATCCCAAAAGCCTCTTCGTTCCCTCAGCAGCCTGGGGCAGCAGGAGCACGGCTTGAGGCTGAAGGCCAGAGTGGGGCGGCCCCCCTGAGCCTCATCCCTCTGTGCGCCTTGGTTTCTCCATCTCTCTCAGAATTGGGGGTTTGGGATGACACCAAGGGGTGAGCCTTGTCTGTGAGCCCCAGGAAGGGACTCAGCATGACCCTCAGCTCAGCCACCTCTAGGCCGTGCCCGGGACACACATGCAGCAGCCACCCTGTCAGGTCTGGGATTGCCCTCCTCCATGCCTCCGCTTGTTCCTGAGATGGAGGGAGGAGTCTGTTCTTCCCTGAGGAGAAAAACTAGTCCCGCGAGGGAATACACTCAGGACGGGAAAGGAGGTCTTTGTGGGGACTTCAGTTTCTGGCCTCCCCCCAGGACTAAGAAATCCCAGCTTTTCTGTGCCCACCTGCAGAAAAAGGCACCTTCTTTCTTCCTGCAAAAGGGAAGACAGGTCCCCTGTGGGCCTTTTCCCGATGTCACTGTCTACACTCTGTTTTGAGGGCTGGGAAAGAGAGGGAAGGAAAGGAACCAACTTGTGCTGAGTACCTACTGTGTGCTGAGTACTGCTGTGGACATCATCTCTCCTGATCCCCAAGACAGCCTCAGAAGCTGGCAGTTATTGACCCATTACACAGATGAGGAAACTGAGGCTCAGAGCAGAGAAGGCACTTGCCTGAGGTAGAATTGAGTTGCTCTGTCCTTGCACTGCAGTTGAGACACTGCAGAAGGGAGTGGGAGTGGAGTCTCTCCAGGGTACGATGCGGGGCACACCCAGTGAGCCTTTCAGGGGCCTGGAAATGAAGGTACTCAACCCCTATAGTCAGAACCAACATCATAGAAGGGGGTTGTAATGAGGTATAGAGAGCGAGACAAATATTTACACAGTGCAGCTGCCTTGCAGGTGGCCTGTGGTCCCAGCCCACAGCCGGACACATGAGTGTTTAGCAACCTCTCCCAGCAACGTCCAGCCTTGCTCTCAGCAACCCTGCCTGGGTCCTCACCATCTGGGGTACCCTACTGGCCTGAATGGTTGCCATTCACCACCAACAACTCTTTGCAGGAAGCTCCGACTTTGCCATGTGTTGGCTTTGGCTGTGCAGTGTCTGGGGGCCATCTGCAGCACCTTTCCTCATCACCCGCTACCCTCCACCCACCATTCCGCCCCTCCCTGTCAGCCTTCTGCCTCTACGGGCACCCCCAGCACCTGCATCCTTCTGCAGCCTGAGAGCAGGCACCACCACCAACACGCTCTCTGTTGGGTATATGAGTCTGTGCCCACCTGCAGAAAAAGGCACCTTCTTTCTGCCTGCAAAAGGGAAGACAGGTCCCCTGTGGGCCTTTTCTGGATGTCACTGTCTACATTCGTGGTGGCCCTGATCACTATCGTCCCCCCCACTGCTGTCACCTTCCCCTTTATCACTAAGCACTTCTCAGTCCCTGAGACCCTACCACATGCTCTGCCATATTTTTGCTGAGATCATGATAAAGGCAAAATTAGATAAGGACCTGATCTTGGAATAAAATTAGTTATGAAGAAAAGCATATGTAAGACAAACAAAAAGGAAGCCATCGTGTAAAAACCTGCCAACCTGGTGCTCTGTCTCTAAGGCCTAGAGTGGTTTGTAGAAAGAAGCATTTACTCTCGCTGTGGTGATGAGATGCTTTCTAAAAGTGGCCTGAGGCTCTTTCTAGCTCTGATACAGTATCCAGCTCAGGCTGTTATCATAAAATACCACAGACTGGGGGCCTTAAGCAACAACATTTCTTTCCCACAGTTCTGGAGGCTGGAAGGATGAGGTCAGGGTGCCAGCAGGGTCGGGCTCTGCTGAGAGCCCACTTCCTGGTTTGTAGTTCATCTCCGTGGTGTCTAATCCCATTCATGGGGGGCTCAACCCTTATGACCTAATCACCCCCCGCAAAGACCCCACATCTTAATATCATCGTATTAGGGATTAGGGCTTCATAATATGAATTTTGGGGAGACATAAGCATTCCGTCCATAGCAGCTGGGAAACTAAGGAAATTCATAACAATGACCCTACCCATATATGTGTCCAGGGCCCAGAGCACTTTCTTAGCCAGTTTAATTTCTACAGCAACCCTGAGAAGTGAGGGGCAGATGTCTAGCTTGTCTTAGTTGAGGGGAGGCTGAGGTGTGGTGGGAAGTGAGGGCCAGTGCTGGCCATTCCTGAGACTGGGTGGTCCCATGTCACTTGCTCTCTTCATCCCCTCAGAGTGGGGGCAGCTGGTGGCATCCTGGTGACTTTGAAAGGCTAATGACTTGCCCAAAGCCATGGAGCTGTTGTGTTCACCTCAGCACTAAAGATGCACAAGTGGGATCTCCTCTCAGAGCCAGAGCTGGGTGCTGGGACTCAGGAGCTGCTGTGGGTTGAATGGAGAGGCTGGGGAAGCCTCCTGGGCTTGGGCTCCAGGCCCTGGGGCATGGCCAGTGGAGAGGGATGGCCAGAGGCTCCAACCCCATGCTCGGGCGTGCTCTGCATCCCAGACACAGGCCCCAGTCCCAAATTGCCCTGCCTGGTCTCTAGTGCCCACTGCCTCTTACAGTGAGATGTGTCAGGCTGGCCCACTGATGGTCCAGCGCTGGTCCCTGGGCCCCAGTGGGGCTATGCTGCAGGGCACACAGTTCTGTCTATAGCATCACACTGTGCACTGGGCTGATGGGGCAGATGCCAGGGGGCAGATGCCAGGGAGTTCCCCCGGGCCCTGGGTCCAGCTTGCTGTGTGAATCTGGCCACATTGCTTGGCCACTTTGGGTTTGAGTTGTTTTATCTGCAAAATGGACCTACTGAAAACCGCCTTCCCTCACCGGGCCAATCTGGTAATCTGCAAGGCGCCGTGGTTCAGTGCCTCCTCCAGTGCCGCCAGGACCATGGACAAGTCCCTTTACTTCTCTGGGCCTTGGTGGAAAATAGATGAACAACATCTTCAGTTGTGAGTTTAAGTGCACTGTGGGACCCTGTGCCCACCCTCAGGTGTGATGTTATTGTCCCTTTGTTGCCAGGCCATGGGGGTGGGGGGTGATGGGACAAGCTGGAGTTGCCAGCCTCCATAAACCTTTCTAAGGTCCATTTCATCCTGAAAAGACTCCACAGCATTTCCACCGGAACACCCAGAGTCCCTCTACTAAGGAGGCTTGAACCTGGGGTTGATGCACAAGTAGTATTCATCTTTGGTTGCTCAAAACCTAGACCCAGGCTAAGCCCACATTTCAGAAGGGGAAACTGAGGTCACTGGTATCAGAATATCCTGCCACCAGCTACAGGGCTGTAGCTCGAAGTCCACTAGACAGGGGGTTGAAATATCTAGTCTGTTTCTTTGGGACTCAGTTTCCCTATCTGAAATGGACTTAAAGTAGGTCTTAAACATACAGGCATTTGAGAGGTAATTATTGCCCAAGCCTCTCCCCAGGAAGTTTGCTGTGCCTTGGAATAGTATGGAGGGAGCAGAACTAGGGGTGAGGGCACCCTCCAAAGTCTCTCAGGCCAGAGGCAAGACCAGAACTTCCAGAGACCTCCCTGGAGACTTTCTTCCATCTGTCTGTCCCCTCACCACCCTGTCACCATGGTGATTTCTGCTGAAACTGGACCAAGAGGCAGCACTGAGAGAAAGGAGCTGGAGTGTAGATGCTGAGATGTGGCCGCCCTTGGCCCTGTCCAGCCATATTTCAGCCTCTCAGTTGGAGCCACAGGGATAGAGATGGACAGGTGGCATGGGCTGGCGTTGAGGGTGCTGCATGTTATTAACCTGTATAGGAGAGCATAACTGCTAATACCTATTAACCATCATAAAGATTATTAATAAGAACTTATCAATGAATAATGGTTTGTAATTTATTGAACACTTCTATACCCATTACTAAGTATTTTATATGTTTAATTTAATCCTTTTGACAACCCACTTAGGTAAAAATTTTTATTACCCTTTTCCAGATAAGGAAACATGACCAGAGAGGTTCAGGGGCTTTCTCAAGGTCACACAGCTAGGAATTGGGTCGGAAGTGGGCCTGGGATCAAGGTCTGTGTGAACTTGGAGCCTGTGTGTCTGGGCTGCACCACTTGTAGTTCCATGGCTGCCATAGGCAGAGCCCACTGCCCCTGGTGGGTCTTGAGAGTCTGGTGACCAAGTTAGGGAAACACCATGCCCCTGGCATGACTACAGACCATTTCCTGAGGTGCCTCAGGCTGGTTGGCTGGCTCTTCTCCGTTGTCCTCACCACCTAAGCAAGCTGATGAGGCGATGTCTCTACCTGCTTCAGGGCTGTGTGGGGCTCCAGGGGCCCTCCCTCCCATGTCCGGCCTGGACATCTGGACTTCTAATGGCAGGCCCCCCACATCTGCACAGATCCCAGGCGGCATCCCTCTGGGGCTGTGCAGCCTGCATCCTGCTTCTTCCAGGGTCTGGCCTGGCGCCTTCTCACTCTAGCCACTGAGCTGGGCACCCTGCGACGTATCTGCCAGGAGCAGCTGCAGGGTCTGGCCAGGAGGGGCGGCCCCTTCCTGGGCCCCACCTAGCTGAGCTGTTTCCTTCACTTCTGCCCTCAGATCTTCCACATGACCTACGACCTGGCCAGCGCCGTGGTGCGCATCGTGAACCTCATCGGCATGATGTTGCTGCTGTGCCACTGGGACGGCTGCCTGCAGTTCCTGGTGCCCATGCTGCAGGACTTCCCTGACGACTGCTGGGTGTCCATCAACAACATGGTGGTGAGCGCCCCACCGGGAAGGGCGCGGGCGAGGGGCTGATGGGGCTCAGAGGGCCAGGGCAGGTCCACGGCTCGGGACTCCCAGTATGTAGGACCCTGAGATGCCATCCCGGGACCCAGGGGCACACAGCGTTACCCAGGGCCTGTCATTCACACGGCCTCACTGCAGTTGGGAACCTGGATATTTATTTGGCCCTGGTTGCACCGAGGGAGACTGAGACCTGGGCTCCTTGGATTCTGTCAGGCATGGCAGAACTAGGTTGGTGGCTCCTGCCCTCCTGCCTCTGCTCCCCAGAGGCAGACCCGCCCTTCAAAGCTGAGCCCAGGAAAAGAGAACCCTGTGAGGGGCAGTGCTGGTGGCAGGCGTAGACTCCCAGGCCACACACAGCGGCTATTCTCTGCTTTAGCAGCAGAGCTGGACTGATTCCCCCGCCCCATCCCCCCCAGACATCCTCCATCCCCACATACACACACATCCTGGTCACAGGTGGGGTCCTGCGCAGGGAGGGCTGACCAGATGGAGCCTGACCCCTCCAACCCTGTGGGTGGGTGAGAGAAGTTGGAATTGGGTCTGGGGAAGCCACCAGGCAGAGTCCCAGCTCCCGGTGGACAGGGTGGGCTTTAGGCAGGATGGAGGACCCTCTGGGCCTATAAGCCTCTCTCCGGGGCTGGCAAAACCCTGCCTCCCTCTGTCTCCTCCCAGTCGGTTTGCTTTGGTCTGTAGGCAAATCCTCAGGGCCGCAGGGCCCCAGGGAAGGAGAAACTGGCTTTGAAAGAGGTGAAAGAGACCCTGAGGCATCTTTCAGCATCAAACAGGCTTTTATAAAACAGCCTTTTGATGAGCTAAGTGTAAATGAATGGGCCATATGGGTTGGATTCTGGCCTCCAGAGGCTCAGCAGTAAGGCCAGGAGCCCTAATGGAGGCAGGTGGAGGCTGCCTCTACTCCCCCAGCACCAGGCCCCCTTCATGCCTGGAGATCAGCCCCACACACCTCCCACCCTGGTTTGGACTGAGAGAGCACCCGATTAACTCAGCTCTGTCAAGATGGTCTGAGTACCTTGAACATCGTCCGCAGCTCCCGTACCTTCCTCCAGGTGCTGGGAACAGCCTGGTGATCCTGGGAGTGCTTGTGGCTCTGGGCAGGGGTCATGTGCTGGGGTGGGTTCAACGTTGTTGCCAACACGACCACCCTGTGAGCAGAGAGGCACTGGGGGTCATCTGGTGGCCCCCTCATCTGGGACAGTTTCCTCCATGGGAGGGTGACAGGCCCGCACATGCTCTAAATTCAGGGGATGGCTTTTCTAAGCCCTATGTTCCCATACTGAGGCTTCCTTGAGACACCGACTGCCTTTGGAGACAAAAATAGCCAGGAGTCTCGCCTCCTTTCTCCCTCCACCCGCCCCCACACATTGTGTCTTCTAGACAGTCCACCTTTTTAGGGCCCTGGACAGACACAGGCAGGGTTCATGCCGAAGCCGGTCAGCTTGGCAGCACTTTAACTTCCACTCACCCAAAACGAGGACAATGTTTTTGGTTCAGTGTGAGAGCTTGTCCCCCCAGGGGAAGCGTATCTGGTTTTATAGTTGAGGTCAGTGGGGAAATGGGCTTCACTTGGCAGTAGTTTGGGGTTGGGGGGTGGAGCTATTTTAGCAAGCCGAGGACGGCAGGGTGGCTGCGCTTGGAGCCCTTTGCTGCTCAGGAGGCTCAGGCTGTCCTGAGGTGGCTGAGGGGTCAGATGGGGGCAAGGCTGGCTCCAGGCCCTTTGCTGGGGCTTCCGGTCTGATCCCTGTCCCCCACTGCAAGGGAAAGGCCTAAGTGGGGGACTCACTCGGTCACCACAGGCTGCCAGAGTGGGCCTCCCTCTCCCATGGCCTTCAGCTACCAGCAGGTGGGAGCCCTGGGCCCAGCTGCTGGGAAAGACAGGCTGAGATGTGGGGGCGGCAGGGACTTTTCCAGATGCGTGAGGCTTCACTACCATCCCCCATGTCTGTCCTCCTGTGCGTCTGTCTGCAGAACAACTCCTGGGGAAAGCAGTACTCCTACGCCCTGTTCAAGGCCATGAGCCACATGCTATGCATCGGGTACGGACGGCAGGCGCCCGTGGGCATGTCCGACGTCTGGCTCACTATGCTCAGCATGATCGTGGGCGCCACCTGCTATGCCATGTTCATCGGCCACGCCACTGCCCTCATCCAGTCCCTGGACTCCTCCCGGCGCCAGTACCAGGAGAAGGTAGGGCAGAACTGGGCCCCACCCTGGGCTTGCTCTCTCTCAGGAGAACCTGCCAGTTGGTCCCTAGGGAGCACGGGCTCCAGCCAGTGGGTCCACACTGGGCCCCCACCTGTGCAGCCTGCCACCGTCATCCAGCCTGCTCTGTTGTTGCCTCTTTTTCTTGGACAAATTCCTAACACAGACACAAATCCCACACTGTTTATGGGTGCTTAATCCATATCTCAGCCCCCTGAATCGAAGCTCACCAATGCCTCTGTGTGGCTGAAGCCAGCAGGTCCTGTGGGTCCTCGTCTTGCTCAGTGTCTCGGGGCGCTTGACAGTCACCACCCGCTTCCTGACTGTACGCTTGTCCCAGGACCACGCACGCTCAGCTTTGCTGCTTCTGTCGGGCCGGTGCTTCTTGCTCTCAGCTGCTTGTCTGCTCAGTCATCACATGTTGGGTCGCTGGTTTGGGCCTAGCTCTCTGATCCTGTCTCTCTCTTGTCTTCTTGGGTTCACCACCCCATCCCCAAGCTCCATGTCCATCTCTATAGTGGGGCCCACATGGTGTAATCAGCTCCCACCTCTTTCCTCAGCCCACTGTCTCCTTGATGCTTCCCTGGACACCTTAACCTCATCACGTCCAAAATGAAATCATCTCCCTCGCCCTCTCTGCTCTAAACCTCCACTCTTGGCCATCCTGTTAGTGGATCCAGTAACGCAGTTGTCCAGGCCAGAAAGCGGGAGCCATCCTTGACGTCTGTCTCGGTCATTAATGGCTTCCTCCCTTACAGTCATCTCAGCTGGCCACCGTCTGCAGCAGCTTCCTAACCAGAGGGCTGTGCTGGCGTCAGGCTGCCTGGGTCCTAAGCCTGGCTTCTCCATCAATGTTGCGTGTGGGCATGTCATAGCACGTCTCTGTGTCCTATTTGCTCATCTGTAAAATGGGGACAATACGAGGGGTAGAGTTTGTGAGGGATGATCCTTACAACTGTGTTATCGCAGAGTAAGCCATTCAGTTTTTACTAGTAAGTGGGCTCTCCTCGGCCACTTTCCACTCCAGACAGCAGATAGTGTTGGCATTAGAAAACTGTAAATCTGATCATGTCACTCTGCTTAAAGCTATATAGAGCATTTATGCTACTCCTAGATGTAGATTAACTCCTCAGTGTGTTTCTTCAGCCTGGCACATAAGGGCTCAGCTCAGCACACTCCGAGGGCCCCAGAGCTCTCTATTCCAACTTGGCCAGACCTCCCTGCACATTCCCTCCTGCCTTGGGGCCCTGACACACAGTCCAGCCTGGATCGCTCCTCTCTTCTTTTCACCTGAGCCCTTCTCCACATCTCAGCCTAAACTTTACCTCTTGGGTGAAGCCTTCCATGACCTAGTCAGCCCTTACCCATCATGTGACCCCATGGCACCGTCTCATTCTCCTTCATCCCACTTTGCACTCCTGTTAATCACATGTATGTAGCTGCCTGTTTAACATTCATCTTCTCTATCCAGGCCATGGCTCTGTGAGGGCAGGGCCAGGTCTGTCCTTCCCCATTGTATTCCCAGTGTCCGGCACATAGTAGGGCTCAGTATGTAATGAGTGACTGACTGCCTGCCTCTGGTGCTGTCTCCTCGTGGGGTGGCTGACAGATGGCAGCCCAGGTTCTGTGACACCAACAAGAGAGCTCAGGAGAGCCTGCATAGCTAGGGCAGGTTGGGAAGGTCATTTTGGAGAGGCAGAGGGAGGAGAAGGTAGAAGAGAATTCTAGGCCACTCATCATGATGAACATGAGCAAATGTGTGTAGATGGGAGGTAAGGGAGTCAGCCTTCTTAGAGCATAGGGTTCTGGGTCAGGAGTGAGGAGATGAGGGGAGACAGGAAGAGAGGAGTCAGGTTATAAAGGCCAGGGCTTCATTCAGGGCCAGGTGACAGATCAATGCGGACCAGCATCAGGGCCCAGCTCATGACCAGGTCAGGGTTCAGTGTGTGTCCAGGGCCAGAGCTCAGTGTGTAACCAGGATTAGGGCCCAGCCCATGACAAGGTCAGGGCTCAGTGTGTGATTAGGGTCAGAGTGCTTGACCAGGGCCAGAGCCCAATGTGTGACCAGAGTCAGGGTTCAGTATGTGACCAGGATTAGGCTCAGTATATAATGAGGATTGGGGCTCAGTATGTGACCAGGACTAGGGCTCAGTGTGTGACCAGGCTCACATCTCAGTGTGTGATGAGGGTCGGGGCTCAGTGTGTTACCAGAGTCATGGTTCAGTGTGTGACTGGTCAGAGCTTAGTATTCGACGGGGGTCTAGGCTCAGTATGTGACCAGGGTCAGGGTTCACTGTGTGTACAGGGCCAGAGCTCAGTGTGTGACCAGGATCAGGACTCAGTATATAGCAAGGGTTGGGGCTCAGTGTGTGAACAGGGTCAGGGCTCAGTGTGTGACCAGGATTGGGGCTTAGTCTGGGACCATGATCAGGGATAGTTTAGGAAAAGCATCAGGGTTTATTGTTGGGCAGAGTCAAGCTGCTTGTGGCTTGCCATTTCAGAGTTATCTTTATTTTATCCTTGAGCTAATAGCTCTCCAATATATGTTTCACCCATAAATCTTTCTTAAACCTATTATCTCCCCTTCATCCCCACTACCGTCTCTTACCTGGATCACTTCAACAACCTTCTAACTCCTGCCCTGCCTCCAGACCCTGCCCTCCACTCTGTTGGTTCTCCACCTATGGGGAATTCTCTAAAATATTGCTCAAACTGTTCTGGCTGTCCCTGTCCCCATAGCCACCCAGCAAGTCACTGTCCCCTATGGCTGAGCACAACTTAGAGCAGACAGAGACCAGGCTGGGCAGAAGAACATTGAGAAATGTAATCTCTCAGCCCCCAGTTGCCCTTTGGCATTTCTGCAGCAGCACCGTGTCCGAACCTCTTTGGAGTACTGATATATGAGAATAGGCTCCCTGTTCTGATTGTTCCTGGGGTACAGGGACTCCCCTTGCACCCCAGTGCACGAAAAGTCTGTTTGTTCTTGTCCAATCAGTGCCTCCGGACCCTGGTCATGCTCCTGAGGGTCCCCACTGTCCACCGCAACCCAAGGCCAGCTGGAACAGCACTCACCCTTGACCCCCAGGGTGGGCAGGAGCACTTCTCCTTTGGTTGAGTCCTGGCACTTAGGTTCTCCAATCTCTTGTCCCCAACCTCTGTTTAAGGTCCCTGCTCTACTTGGCGTCTCCTGGGTGCTGGAGTTGCTCTTCAACAAAGTGACTTGGCCTCAGCTGGGGCCACGTTTGGATACATACCACATGGCGGCTCAAGCATCCTGGCTTCAGCCTCCAGCCCTTGTAACCCATCACAGCCCAATCCTGCTGCCTGTGCCAGTTTGTAGCCACTGGTAGGAGAGCTCCTTCCTGAGCCAGTGAGGCCTGGCTGGTCTGCAGCTTAACACAGAAAAAAGACCGCTATTCGGAGGAAACGTCATTGACCTCCTGATCAGTTGGCCTGGTGTAACTGGGCTTTGGACAGTCCCTGTTGTCCACAGCCATCTCCATAGTATTGGAGACAGTGAGGACGGGACACCCTGATGGAGCCCCTCCTCCACCCCAGCCCCCGGCAGTCAGGGCCATTTTTGGGGCAGTGTGACCACACCCACACCGAGGACCTCAAATGCAAGGAGCCAGGGGTGGCCAAGTAGGCCCACGGGGTCATTGCCAGCTCTGGTTACCAGAAGGGCGGAGGTCAGGTGGTGCCCGACAGGCCGTGGGGCTGGCCAGCCAGGAGGTGACAGCCTCTCCCTCTCTCCCGGGACCCAGTACAAGCAGGTGGAGCAGTACATGTCCTTCCACAAGCTCCCGCCCGACACGCGGCAGCGCATCCACGACTACTACGAGCACCGCTACCAGGGCAAGATGTTCGACGAGGAGAGCATCCTGGGAGAGCTGAGCGAGCCGCTGCGGGAGGTGAGCGGGGCGGGCGGCCAGGGAGCCGGGGGGCCTCCGTGCCGGGTGGCTCCGCTCACCGCCTTCTCCCACGTTCCCAATCCGCCCTGTCCCGGGAGCAGGAGATCATCAACTTTAACTGCCGGAAGCTGGTGGCCTCCATGCCGCTGTTCGCGAACGCAGACCCCAACTTCGTGACATCCATGCTGACCAAGCTGCGCTTCGAGGTCTTCCAGCCCGGCGACTACATCATCCGCGAAGGCACCATCGGCAAGAAGATGTACTTCATCCAGCACGGCGTGGTCAGCGTGCTCACCAAGGGCAACAAAGAGACCAAGCTGGCGGATGGATCCTACTTCGGAGGTGAGGAGGCCCCGCGGCCCTGGGCGTGGCAAGGGAATGACCTGGAGTGACACCAAGGATGACATTTCAGGCCCTTCTCGGCCACTATCTGGAGGCGGGTGTGTGTGAGCCCAGGATAGGGTGTGGTCCCAGAGATGGGACAGACAGCCGGCCACCCATTGGGTGTGTGGGAGGGGGCATCCATGTGGTCATGGCCCGGGGCGGGGGCTTCTGAGTGTATCTCTGCAGCTTCTGTACCAAGCAGTGGGGACCCCAGTCAGGGTGGGGTGGAGGCCCTTTGGACCCCACCCCGACTCCTGCTGCCCTGGCAGAGATCTGCCTGCTGACGCGGGGTCGGCGCACGGCCAGCGTGCGGGCTGACACCTACTGCCGCCTGTATTCGCTGAGCGTGGACAACTTCAATGAGGTGCTGGAGGAGTACCCCATGATGCGGAGGGCCTTCGAGACGGTGGCGCTGGACCGCCTGGACCGCATCGGTGAGGGGACCGGTGGGCGGGTGCGAGGGGCCGGCCCGGCTGCCCCCCTCCTCCGGCCCTGGCCTGAGCCCCTGCTTTCGCTCTGTTGCCCAGGCAAGAAGAACTCCATTCTCCTTCACAAAGTCCAGCACGATCTCAACTCAGGCGTCTTCAACTACCAGGAGAACGAGATCATCCAGCAGATTGTGCAGCATGACCGAGAGATGGCCCACTGTGCGCACCGTGTCCAGGCTGCCGCCTCGGCCACCCCAACCCCCACACCTGTCATCTGGACCCCGCTGATCCAGGCGCCGCTGCAGGCCGCCGCCGCCACCACTTCTGTGGCCATAGCCCTCACCCACCACCCACGCCTGCCCGCTGCCATCTTCCGCCCTCCCCCGGGCCCTGGGCTCGGCAGCCTCGGAGCGGGGCAGACACCCCGGCACCTGAAGCGGCTGCAATCCCTGATCCCTTCTGCACTGGGCTCCGCCTCACCCGCCAGCAGCCCATCTCAGGTGGACACGCCGTCGTCTTCCTCCTTCCACATCCAACAGCTGGCGGGATTCTCCGCCCCCGCCGGACTGAGCCCTCTCCTACCTTCGTCCAGCTCTTCCCCACCGCCCGGGGTCTCTGGCTCCTCTCCAGCTCCCACACCGTCCACCAGCGCAGCTGGCATTGCCACAGCCGGTTTTGGCCACTTCCACAAGGCACTGGGCAGCTCCCTGTCCTCTTCTGACTCACCCCTGCTCACCCCGCTGCAGCCGGGTGCCCGCTCCCCCCAGGCTAACCAGCCTCCTCCCCTACTGCCGGGGGCCCGGGGAGGCCTGGGACTCCTGGAGCACTTCCTGCCACCCCCACCCTCATCCAGGTCCCCATCGTCTAGTCCGGGGCAACTGGGCCAGCCTCCCGGGGAGTTGTCCCCAGGTCTGGCTGCTGGCCCATCAAGTACGCCAGAGACACCTCCACGGCAGCCTGAGCGGCCATCTGTCGCTGGGGCCTCTGGGGGGGCTTCTCCTATAGCCTTTACCCCCCGAGGAGGTTTCAGCCCCCCTGGCCACAGCCCAGGCCCCCCAAGAACTTTCCCAAGTGCCCCGCCCCGGGCCTCTGGTTCCCATGGTTCCTTGCTCCTGCCATCTGTATCCAGCCCCCCACCACCCCAGGTTCCCCAGCACCGGGGCACACCACCCCTCACCCCAGGCCGCCTCACCCAGGACCTCAAGCTCATCTCAGCCTCTCAACCGGCCCTACCCCAGGACGGGGCACAGACTCTCCGCAGAGCCTCCCCACACTCTTCTGGGGAGTCTGTGGCTGCCTTTCCGCTCTTCCCCAGAGCCGGAGGTGGCAGCGGGAGCAGCGGTGGCCTCGGTCCCCCCGGGAGGCCCTATGGTGCCAGCCCTGGCCAGCATGTCACTCTGCCTCGGAAGACATCCTCAGGTTCTTTGCCACCCCCTCCTTTCTTTGGGGCAAGAGCCACCTCTTCTGGGGGCCCTCCTCTGACTGCTGCTCCCCAGAGGGAACCTGGGGCCAGGTCTGAGCCAGTGCGCTCCAAACTGCCGTCCAATCTATGAGCTGGGGCCCCTCCCTCTTTTCTCCTTTTTTTCTCCTTTCTCCCTTCAGGTTTAACTGTGATTAGGAGATATACCAGTAACAATAATAATTATCATTAAAAAAACTCACTCCAGAAAAACAAAAGACAGCAGAAAATAACCAGGTATTCTTAGAGCTCTAGATTTTTGGTCACTTGCTTTTATAGACTATTTTAATACTCAGCACTGGGGGGTGGGGGGAGGGGGCAGGCAGGGCCCAAATTCAAAAGCTGGAGGAAAGCGGGATTGCTGGGGCTTGGCAGGGGTGGGGGTGACCCGTGTTTGGGGTTCCTAGAGCAGAGCTGTCGTTGTATTCGTTTTAGAGCACTAGCCACCAGCAGCCCCTTAGTGTGAACTTGGCACCCCACTCTGCAGGGGGTTACCTTGTTCCCCAGGGAAGGGGCTGCCCTTGGGTGTATTCCTGGGAACGCTCAGTTACCTGAGTCCTTGGAGCAAAGTGGGGCCAGGGCCCTGAGAATCTTGATTTTTCTTTTCTTTCTTTCTTTTTTTTTTTTTACTGCAAATGTAGCAAGATATGTATATGTATATGTATATGTATGTAACATTGTATATGTATAGCTATGTAGTGCTCTGTAGAGCCTTGTAGATAGCCATTGACCTATGTGCACATGTGTGTGCAATCTAGTTTAACCCCATGTTGCCAGGACACCCAGGTCACCTTACATCTAGCAGCCCGCCTTGGCCCGAAAGCTGGGCACTGCAGGCTCTGGGGGAAGTATTCTTTCCAGTCCTCAGGGAAGAGGACCCCAGAACCTCTCAGCAGGCCCCCTCTCCCTATCTTTGGTCTCAGATCCAATCCTAGCCCAGCCTCTCAGCACACGGAAGCAGAAGACTGGGCTGTGCCTCTCCTTCCCTGTAGGTCCTCAAGCATATCCTGTCACCTCTGTCTGTACAGTGGGAGGTGAAGGCAACTTCTAGTTATTTCTGCTCTGTGCCAAGCACTGGTTTAGCACTTTACACACGTTAACTTCTTCAATTTCATAAAAACCATGAGGTAGGTACTTTGATTCTCCCTGTTTCACAGATGAAGAAACTGAGTTTTGGATAATTTTTCCAGAATCACGTAATTAGGCGTGGTAGAGCTGGGATAGATCTGATTCAAATTCATGTCTGCCTGAGGCTGAAGCCTAGATTCCTTCTGTTAGAAAACTGTGTGGAGAGAGTCTGAGCTAGACTGTCCCGAAGCATGGTGCAGAAGCAAGAGACCAGATTTTGGAGGCAATGAGACCTGGGTTCAAATCCCAGCCCTGCCACTTAGCTGTGTGACCTTGGGCAAGTTACCTGACCTTTCTGAGTCTGTTACCTCATGCGTAAATTGGGAACAATTATGGTGCCTCCTCATGAGGACCAGATGAGAAAAGTAGTGTATGTGAAATGCCCAGCCCAGCGCCTGGCACATGCCATAGTAGGTGCTCAATAAACCATATTTCTTCTGCCCCTCCACATGCCACGTGCCCAGCCCATTGCTCCAGCAAGCTGTGGTGAGAGCCCGGGGAGCTTTGGCTGAGGGCTCCAGGACTTTCGATCTCAGGACATGGGAGGTAGCTGGGCCTCCCGAAGGGCCTAAGAAAGGTGTGTGGCTGGGGTAGGCTTGAGCCAGGCTATGAGATGCGGGAAGAGTTAGAGAAAGGGAGGAGGAGGGAGAAAGGGTGGAATGGAGTGCACAGTAGGGACCTGATGATGGTGGAGTTGGGCTTTGGGAGATCCTGAGGCCAGTGGTCAGAGGGAAGGCTTTGGATGACAGGCTGAGGGGATTGGCCCTGGTTCTGCAGGGAACTAGGAGCCAGAGGCAGGCGCAGAGTGGGGGTCGTTGTGAAGCAGCCCAGATGCCTCCTGAAGCACAACCCTTCCCAACGAGATCCTACCAGAGCCAAGGTCAGTAGTCTGCTTCCCACCTATAGGGTGGGGACAGGTTTGCTACCAAGACCTGAATAATGAGGAAGGCTGGGCCCACTGTGTCCATCCAGAACGATCCTCACTCCAAGCCAAAATGTGAGAAGATCAGGTTTTGTCCTGAGCTGTTCTGGGATGTGGGACAGGCCAGTTTTCTAGTGCTGGGCTGCAAGGCATGAAGCAATCATCCAGGAGAGAAGGGGTAAAGGATCCTGGGGTCCCAGGGAAAGATGAGAAGCCGCCTGGTCTTTGTCTCTACCAGGCAGGAGAAGCCCCCTCAGGCCCAGGGAGCCCTCAGTAGAATTTAAACAGCAGCTTCAACCTGATTCTGCTCACACCCCTAAGGAAGGCAGCAGGACTCACTTGATCCAAACCCACAGTCTAGTCCTAGAGGCCTCAGGGAGGATGGGGAAGGGACAGGGGTCGGGGCAGAGGGTCCAGGGGCATGAGGAGTGAGGACACCCCCTTGCCATCAGGGCCTGGCCTCACCACCCTCTTCCCAACAGACGCGTGCGCGCGCACACACACACACACACGCGCGCGCGCGCGCACACACACACACACACACACGCACACACAATTTTATAAAAGCTCTGACCCAGCTTAGCCACTCTGGAGATGGGAAACCAGGTCTGGTCAGTAGACCCTCCTATCCCCAGTCCCTCACAAACAATTTTCAAATCTTCCACTTTTAAAACAGAAAACGGTAAATGCGCCGTGTTGTATATTTTATTTAAATAAAAAAAATTCCAGCAGATGCTGCCTTCTTCTAGGGGCCAGGAGTTGGGAGGGGTGGGAAGTTAACAGAATACTGGAGGCTCAGGAGCCAGGCTTGGAGGGCGGCGGGCCAGGCGCCCTAGAGCACGTGTGGACACTTGTGTGCACACACCTGTACCCCTGAGAGCAGGGCGGGGCAAAGGTGCAAGGGAGCGGAAGAGAGCCGGTTGTGGATGCAGTTGTATACTGTATCGGCTGGCGAGCATCGGTAAGGAGGAGGGTGGTAGAGGGTGTGTCCTCTGGGGGCTAGAGGAGCAGCAGGACCCTGACCCTTCCCACCCCAGCTGCTGGGGCCCCTGAGTCCTGGGACTCCTTGATGCTCCCTGAAGGAGGAGGGTAGTAATGTGCATGTGAACACTAGCTGGATGCTGAAGAGGGAGATGTCATCTTAGCCTGATCAAATGGGCCCTCAGAAGCCAGAGGGCGACTGGGGAACAAAAGGTGACCAGGCTGGGAGTTGTATGGCCAGGATGGAAGGTTGCCTTTCACAGTGGCCAAGGATGGGCCACATCCTCTGGGCTCCTGTATGGGTTGGGGATCCTGAGAACATACGTGGGATCTGACTGTTAGGAGGTGTGGTGCCCACTCCTCACTGAGGGGGGCGGGATGCTGGGCCTGGCCCCCAGATCCCCTGCGAAGCCTTCAGACAGCGGCCTCTGTCTCCCTTGGTTGCAAGGGTTTCCACAGGCCCTGAGACCTTGCAGGCAGGGGACAGGCAGCGATCTGTGGCTGGAAAAGCGAAGTCCCCGAGGTTCCCGGCAGTGCCTGCCTGCCTGCTGGAGGGGAAAGTCCTCAGAAAGGGCAGGGAACCCGGTCCCCATCACTGATTGCTGAGTGGATGCTGTTTCCATGGTAACCAGCCTGGGAGTCCCGTTGTTAAGGAGGCAGCTCCGCAGGCTCAGTGTCCCCATGACAACTGCCCCCTGCGGCCAAGTCAGTGGTGCTTCTTGGGGACCAGGGAGAGGGCAGGGGCTGAGGTCAGGCCGGGCTTCTGGGGATCTGGGGAGGCCCTTACAGACAGACAGTGTGCTGAAGCAGCGGGTGGAAGGGATTGCTGGGGGCCCAGCCACACCCATGGGGTGGATCTGAGCCAGTGCTGAGGAGACCCACCCCACCGGCCACCCTGCCCACCCCCTGGACCCACCTCAGGCATGTGCACAGGGCCACGCTCCTGGGGCGAGGGGCAGGGGCAACACCAGTCACTGCCTTCTCTGTTCTCTGTCCCAAAGTACCCTTAATAAGCAACTACTGTGTGCTCCGCTCTGTGCTTTCCTATCTCCTTCCATCCTCAACAGCAATCCTGATGGGGTGAGAATTAGCCTCAAGTCCAGTGTACAAAGGGCACTGAGGCTCAGAGAGGGTAAGGAACTCGCGCCAGACCAGTCAGCGAGAAAGCGAAGGAGCAGGAACGCACACCCAGGTCCTGGAGACAGACCTGGTCCCTTCCCACCGGTGGCACGGAAGGCCGGTGGTAGGAGCAGCGTCTCGGTGCAGGCAAGAAAGGGTGCGCTGTCCGCAGAGAATTTAAAAACAAGGATGAACAGGACAAAGTGTCAAGTTTGCTTTCTCTTTTCTTTCACCATCACTGTCGATCAGCAATTCTGAACAAGTCAGTGATAAAATACTCCCTCCCCCACAGCGGACAGCGCCCCGCCCCCAATGCCACTGCACCCCAAGCTTCAGCCCCGAAAGACACCTGCTGTGGGTGCCAGTGGGTGGGAAGGCCCGAGGCACCCTTCTTAGTGGGGCTAAACCAGATTAGGGTTTTTAAAAAAACGTTTTAAAAGTTGAATGAAATCCCTCCTGTGACTCCATGTCTTTTCCCAGCGGCTGCTCATCTTCTCAGCCAAACTTCTTGAGGGGTATCTCCACTCCGGGCCCGTTTCCCTTCCTCTGAGCCACTTGTTCCTCCACTGCAGTCCGGCTCCTGACTCCTCTCCACGATAGGGCTCTAGACAAGGTCATCAGTGGCCCTAGTGGTGAAATCCGGGGACCTTGTCCTGTTGCCCTCCCCGCAGCGCGTGACCTTGCGGACCAGGTCCTCCCAGCTCTTGAGACCCCGCCTGTTCCTTGCTGCTCCACATTTCTGTTCAGCCTCAGCTTGAAGGGCTCTTCTTTCTCCTGCAGGTCGGTGCTCCTGGGCCTCTGGCTTTGGCCTCCAGCTCCTCACTACACACACACTTCCTGGAAATACCTGTGCCCGTGGCTTCCTGGCCTGGAGGGAATGCTCCCAGAGTTCCCCCTCAATTCAGGACCCCACATCCCTGAGCTGCAGCCTGGGCGCCTGCTGCCTCCGCCACGCAGTTCCACACCCTTTTTTGATCCACCACGGCATTTTTATTCTTTGTAGAGTTTGCATCTCCCGACGCACTACAGAGCATGTCCTCTCCAGCCACCACCCACGCTGGATCCACTCAGCCATGCGCACAGGGCCTCCCTCCTCCCCTGGGGCTGGGGCAACACCAGTCAACCCCTCGCTGATTTTGCTACTTCAGCTTTCTTCCTTTTGACGGTAGAATATTTCATACACATGGAAGAAAAAATAAATAAACCCCTAATAAATACATAAATAAATATATAATGCTTCTTGACTTACGATGGGATTATGTCCTGATAAACACATTGTAAGGTGAACATACCTTGAGTGGAAAATGCATTTAATCCACTAATCTACTGACGAACATCATAGCCTAGCCTAGCATACCTTAAAGGGCTCAGAACACTTATATTAGCTGACGGTGGAGGCCCAGTGTCATACCACAAATCGCTAGCCGGAGGAAAGATGAAAATTCAAAACTCAAAATACGGTTTCTACTAAATACATATCACTTTCGCACCATCGTTAAGTCAAAAAATCCTAAGTCGAACTGTCCTAAGTTGCAGGCCATCTGTATATAAATAAGGTATTAAAAATATGATTAATAATCACTCATTTAAAAATAGAACATACGGAATACCTTTGAAGGCATTTGTGCCAGTTCCCAACTATACCCCTCTCCTCTCCCCAGGGGAAACCTCTCATCTGAACTTTAATTCTATCATTGCCTTACTTCTGATATTTTACTACCGAAATGTCTCTACACAGCATGTTCAGTGGTGTACCAGAATGGGAGCTTGGGGCTGGGCCGAGTTACTTTTGTGGGGAGGAGGATTTTGTCGGTAATATTGTTCAGAATTGCTGACACATGGTGATAATAAAAAGCAGACTGAGTTTCAGTCCATTTTATTATTGTTTAAATTTCTTTACAAATAATGCACCTTTTCATGGCCTGCGCCAGAGGCGGCCATGCGCCGTTCACTTAAACACCATTGCATATATTTGTAAAAGTGTGCACTTTATGTAAGTGGTATCATGCTGTATGTTTCCTTTAGTCATTTGCTTTTTTTGTTTAGTATTGTAATTTTGAGACCCTGTTGATGCATGGAGCATAGCGGTCTCATTGCCACGGCTGCATAGCATTCCAGTATAGGACTATGCCACCATCCACACGTCTTGTTTGGAGGTAGATAGTATTTTGGTCAGTTTCAGCTCTTGCAGTTACAAACAGTTATTACAACGTTTTTGTTTGTGGCTCTTGAGAAAGATGCGTAAAAGGATTCCTAGATGCTGCATCTAGGAGTGGAATAACTGAGTCATAGGGTAAATTAATCTTCACTTTACAAGATAATGCCAAGCTGTTTTAAGTAGTCCTACTATTTATACTCCCACCCAGAGTGTATTCGAGTTACTCTTGGTCCTCATTCTTGCCAATAATTGGAATCATCAGGTTTTATTATTTTCCCCAATTGAGTGATATCTAATTGTGTTTTAATGTACAAGTTCCTAATTACTAGTAAGTTTGACTATTTTCTTGTATATTCATTTGCCATTTATGCTCCCTCTTTTGCGAAAATTTTTGTGTGTGTAATTTGCCTGATTTCCTCGTCTTTTTATTGATTCACAGGAATTTTACACATACACACACACACGCGCGCGTACACATGTACACACGTGTTGCAAATGTCTTCTTCCCGTTTATGGCTTGTATTTTCACTTTTATTTTGGTGTTCCTTGCTGAACAGAAGTTTTACATTTTAGTGAGGTCAAGTTTAGCAATACTTAAAAAAATGGCTAGTACTTATTTAGTGCCTTTTTTGCTGGTTTAATAAACCTATTTTACTCTGATGTTATAAAGATATTCTTCTATATTAATTTCTAAAAATGTGAAGTGTTGTTTTTCATATTTAAGTCCTTGACCTGACCTTGACTTTGGGTATGGTGTCAGGGATAGTTCAACTCCATATGAACAACCAATTGTTCCTGCTTATTTACAATATCCCTTATATGTCATATTTGGGTCTTTGTTGAGAGTCTCTGTTCAGTCTATCAGCTTGTCTATTCATGTTCAAACAGTACACTTAGCTACTACAGCTTTATAAAGTATGTTACTATCTAGTAAAGTAAGTCCTCCCACCCACATCTTCTTAAGGAATGTCTTGGCTGTTCTAGTGTCTTTGTGCTACCATATACACTGTGCAGTCAGTTTGTTAATATGCATGAAGAATTCGACGGGTTTCTGATTTGAAATTACACCAACACTATTATTAAAATTTGTATTCCTATGGATGAAAAGGGTATAACTCTCCCCGCATCTGGGTCTTCTTTAATGTCTTTTGTATTAGTCCAGGTAATTAGTACTAGCTGCCCAACAGAAAAAGCCCAAATTTTCAATTGTTTAACACAGTGAGGCTTTATTCCAGCTCAGGCAAAGTCCCCTGCAGGCCAGGCAGTCACTCTCCATACTGATATCAGCTTGGACCCCTGGTCTCCAAGGAGACTAAGGGAGAAGGGATGACTGGGAGACACGACTAATTATGAATGACTTCTCTCCAGTGATAACACATTTCAATTCTTTTCATGTACTATTGTCACTGGGCCACAATGTAGCTGCAAAGGAGGCTGTGATGTGTCGGCAAGAACACGGAGTATTTGCTGGGCATGAACCATCTCGGCCAAATCTTTTGCATCGCTTTGTACTTTTCCTCATTGAGTTTTGTACATTTTGTTAGATTTATTCCCAGTATAACAAAATTCACCCATTTTCAGCGTACAGTTCAATGAGTTTTGATAAAGGTACACAGCCCTATAACCACCTCCGCAATTAAGGAATAGAATATTTCCATCACTCCCCCAAATTCTCCCATGTCCCTGTGCAGTCAGTCCCCTCCTCCTGTTCCTCACCCCGGGCAGCCTGCTTTTTGCCAGAGAAGTTCTGCTGTTTCTAGAATTTCATGTAAATGGAATCGTACAGAATGCTATCTCTTAGGTCTGATTTCTTTCATTTAGTACAATGCTTTTAAGATCTGTCTGTATTGTTTTGTGTATCCTTGTAAGGATATGTCACAGTTTATTCATTCACCCACTGATGAACAATTGGGCAGTTCCCAGCGTTGGCTGTTAAGAATAAAGCTCCTATAAACATTCATGTTCAGGTCTTCATGTGGACATGTATTTTCATTTATCTTGGGTACTATCCAGGAGTGGCACTGTTGGGTCATCTGGTAAGTATATGTTTAACTTTATAAGAAACTGCCAGATAATTTCCCAAGGCTGGAAGACTGTTTTGCATTCCCACCAGTATTGTATGAGAGCTCCAGTTACTGCATATCCTTGTAACTTTAGATATTGTCTGTCTTATCTTTACCATTCAAGAGGGTGTATAATGTTAACTCTGGTTTAATTTGCATTTACATATTGACTAAAGATGCTGAGCATATTTTCGGGTATTTATTTGTTGAAGTGACTGTTCAAATGTTTACCCATTTGTTTTTATTGAGTAATTTGTTTTCTTATTATTAAATTATAAAAAACATATTCAGGATACAAGTCCTTTATAAGACATATGTTTTGCAAATATTTTCTCCCAGTTTATGGCTTGCCTTTTCATTTTCTTAACTAGGTGTTTCAAAAGGTAAATATTTTTAATTTTGATGATGTTCAACTTACCAAATTTTCTCTTATGATTCGTTCCTTTTGACAAGGAAATTAAAATGGTACAATAGACAATATCTACTTAACACAAATGAAGGTGGTAACAGAGTAATAGAAGAACAAAAAAATGAAAACATATAGAAAACAAATAGCAAAATGCCAGATGTGAATCCTACCTTTTCAGAAATTACATAAAATGTAAATAGAGTAAACCATCAAATTAAAAGGCAGAAGTTGGCAGGATGAATTTTAAAAACTACATAAATAAATATAAAATATAAATAAATAATGTAATTATAAAACTATATATCAAAACTATAGTTTTAATAAATAAATATAGAATATATAATTAAATATAAAATATTAATATTAATTATTAATATATTAATTTATAAAATATACTATTTGTTGATATTATAGTCTTTAATATATTGAATATATTTTATATATAGCATATATAAAATCCAACCATATACTGTCTATGAGAGACATACTTCATATTCAAAGACACAAATAAGTAGAAAGGATGTCAAAAGATACATCATACAAATACTAGCCAAAAGAAAGCTGGAGTGGCTATACTAATATCAGACAAAGTAGGCTTTAAGACAAAATTGTTACTGAAGACAAAGGATATTTTAAAATGATAAACGGTCAATCTACCAAGAAGATTTAACAATTATAAACATATATACACCTAACAATAGAGCCCTCAAATTCTCAAAGCAAACCTGATAGAGAAATAGACCATTCAATAATAATAGTTGTGGAGTTCACTACTTCATTTTAATGATGGATAGAACAACTGGATAGAGAATCAGCAGGGAAATATAAATTTGAACAACAACATTAACTAGGCCTAACACGCATCCAGAGCACACCACATAAGAATAGGAAAATACATATTCATCTCAAGTCCACATGGAGCATTCTCCAGGATGGACTATGTGTTAAATCACAAAACAAGTTTCAGTAAATTTAAAAGGATTGCAATCATACACAGTATGTTCTCTGACCACCATTAATAAAATTAGAAATCAATAACAGGAAAGAATTTGGAAAATTCATAAATACCTGGAAATTAAACAACACACTTCTAAAGAACAAATGGGTCAATGAAGAATCATAAGATATATTAGAAAGTAAAGTGAGATGAATGGAAACAAAAACACAACATACCAAAACTTATGGGTGCAGCAAATGCAGTGCTCAGAGGGAAATTTATAGCAATATGTTCCTATATTTAAAAAAGATCTGAAATCAGTAACCTAAACATTAATCTTAAGAAACTAGGAAAAGAAGAGCAAACTAAATAAAGCTAGAAGGAAATAATATAGATTAGAGCAGAGATAAATGAAATAGGGAATAGAAAAACAATTTGGATAATCAGCAAAACCAAAAGTTGTTCTTTGAAAAGATCAACAAAATCAACAAATTTTGACAAATTGACAATTGACTTTGTTGGAGACAGACTATACGGCAATTGAGCCCATTTCCAAACGTGATGTAATAAGAATGTATGCACCCTCCTTGCCAAATGCATGCTTTTGTATAAAGTGGATGCACACAATATTACAGTGCTATCGAAACCCTTAGCCAAGAGAGCATGTTTTCCCCTGGTAATTATAAGTCTGGGATAGAATTACCATTTCGAAGTTTCCCAAGTTACACATTTTTTGATTTCTGTGAACAAACTTGAAATTGCAGTTGCTTCGGACAGTCAATAACTTTAACAAAGATACGAATAAGTGTTTCAAGAAAAGTCATATACAAATGTTGTGATTTTTCCTCATTTGGGGAATTAAACTAACTGTTAATTCTATATCAAAGAAAATAAACTTTCTAGTTGCACCAAAAATACACAAACAAACAAACAAAACAAAACAAAACTAGACTGCTAAACAGAAAAGGGGTAGAGAGAGAGAGGACTCTACTACATATTAACATCAGGGATGAAAGAGGGGATATTACTTCCAATCTTTAAAATATAGAAAGGAATATAAAGGAACATTATGAACAATAATATGTCAACAAATTAGACAACCTAGATAAAATGGACAAATGCTTAGAAACACACAAACTACCAAAACTGAATCAAGAAGAAATAGAGAACCTGAGTAGACCTCTAACAAGCAGAGAGGTTAAATTAGGACTAAAACTTCCATAAAGAAAAGCCCAGGACCAGATGGCCTCACCGGTAAATTCCACCAAATGTTTAAAGAACAGTTAACACCAATCTTTCACAAGTTCTTCTAAAGAATAGAAGAGGAAGGAACACTTTCTTTACTGTATGAGGCCAATATTGCACCAATGCCAAAAATAGGTGAAAAAAAAATTACAGACCAGCATCCCTTTTGAATATAGACACAAAAAGCTTCAACAAATTCTCAAGGGAGATGAGGGTTTTTACTTTTTAAAAAACAGCAGTGCCTGTCAGGCTTCCCTTTGGTTTCCTTTCCTGACAGGTTGATTTCTCCTGGGCACGCTCCCATGAGGGTGGGGGGGGAGGGGTCTCCTCTCCCACCTTCCGGGTTTCTGGTGGTAGGATTTCCAACCAGGGAAGTGCCAGCTTCCCTTTTCGTTTACCAATTGGATGCAGTTTTCTGGTCCCCTGTCAGAAAAAGGGAATTCCCTTGTTTTCTTTTGACCAAATAATTTAAAAGTATTTCTGTTGTAATTTAGCCTGTATCTGAAATGTCTCTGCTTTTCAGATCTAGTGCAAGAGGAAACCTCATCTCCTTTCTCTCTGGCGAATGCCCACCATTCTCAGTGTCACTTACTCTGTGACCCCGAACTCTGCAGCCAGGGTTGGATGTTCCTTCCTTGGTTTGCCAGATCACTCTGTCAGGGTCTCAGCACTTTTCATGCTGGATGGTCATTTCTGTCTGTTTAGTCCTCCTCTAGACTGAACACATCAACAGAGGATGTCTTACTCATTGGACATCCCCAGTGCCTGGCACATAGTAGGCCCTCAGGAATATTTGTGATTCCCAGCTTCTTGGGTGAGGAAGACCCTTTTCTGACTGGCCCCAAACATTCCTTCTCTCACCCCACCTGCCCACACTGAGATCTTTTTGGTTTCAGTTCCAGCCAGTTTCCCTTCTGTGTGTTTGTCTAGAATGTTCATCAGGTGGTTTTCTGCCATTTCCTAGGCAACGTTGTCCATGGGAGCCTGAGCGCCATTTTGCCTTCAAGAATGGATCCCAGCTCTTCCTGTCCTCTTTCAGAAAGCTGCCCAGAATTCTCTGTGAGACCTGAGTTTTGCGTTTATGAAAGGAACCCACCTCTGGGCCTGACCCCCACCTGCGGTGCCTGGCCAACCAAATCCAGCTCAACTGAGCCAGGAATCGCCCAGCTCTGTCTCTCCTCACCTCTTCTGTAGCTACCCTGGGGGCCTCAGTGCTTAAGCCAGTGACAGGAGGCAGGGCACAGTCCTAGGGGGCCCAGGCTCAGCGCCACACACAATGGCTCTCTTTAAGGTGGTATGTGAATGGTCATGTGACACAGGGAGCTTCCCCGCTCTGCAGTGGCCCCCCCCCCCTCCAGATAGAGATAGCCTTATATTAATTCCTAGACTCGGCTCAGCCTCACTTCTTCTGCAAAATCTGTCTAAGTATGTGCTCCCAGGAAGAATTCGGACTTTCGTCAAATTCTTCCAGCACTGGGCCAAGGTGACTTCAAACCCATCTTCCTCAGCAGGCAAGTTCATTGGTGAACACCTACAGCCTGCTAGGCACTGGGATGGCGAATTCAAAACCAAGCATGGTTGCTTTCCCTCAGGAGTTCGCATGTATTAGAAGAGACAGAGAGATGAACATGAACAATAAGGGGGCTGGATGGTTAGAGTGGGTCTTCAAAGACGAGTAGGAATTTACCAGGTAGACAAAGTCTGTAGGTAGGGTAGGTGGTGGGTAGAGGACGGAGGCAAAGGGAATAGTGCAGAGATCAGATACCACGCTGAGGCAAATTGCTCTCTATTGCTAAGGACAAATTTGGGCAAAAGGGCAGGTTAAGTGGCAAATAAAAGCAAAGAGGCAGGTGGGTGGGACTCCATTTTGCAGGGCAGGTGATGGCGGAGCTATGGCACAATGTTAAGCAGGGGAGAGGTCAGGTTGGAGTTCGAAAAGTCCCCTCCATGGTTGTGTGAGGCTGAGTTGGTGGGGTCAGTGAGGAGCTGGCCCAACAGACGACAGAGGAGCCACTTTGGGGGACATTTGAGAGACAGAGCTGCAGGATTTGCTGAGCCATGTGCTGTGGTGTTAAAGGAAGAGTTTAGGTTGCTCTTTAGGGAGACCAGGTGCACAGAAGGTAGATCCATTAATGAAGGGCCGGCATCTAGCATACACACTTTAGCAGGGTGACGAGGCTTTGCTTCAGGTCACTGGGATGGAGGGTGTGCAAACGTGAAATGATTGCAACCCAGACACCCGCTGAGGTAAGCCTGCCTCTTTAAATCTGGGTAAGGTTGGGCTGGCTGAGTGGCTCAGTTGGGTAAGAGTGCGAGCTCTGAGCAACAGTGGTTCGAGTCCCGGCCCGGGCTGAGCTGCCGACAGGTGGCAGGATGGTTCGGCTAACAACAACAACAACAAAAATCTGGGTAAGGTTGTTAAGAAGCCCAATTTGATTGGAATTCACATTTCTTGGCCTGTGAAAGGTCTTATCCCCTCCCCTCTGCCCCTGGGATTCCTGTGGCCTCTCAGGTTTAGATTCTCTCGCTTCTGGCTCTGAGTGAGCCAGTTTCATTCATGTCACCCTTGCCACGCCAGACTTTGTGGTCTGTCCATCAATGTGCTGGTCCAGAGGCACCTTTCTTTGCTTGGGAGAAGCCAGTCACTCATACAAGGCTTTGTGCACATGGCAGATGTTATACGAAATGTGGGGAGTCAGAGGGGATCAGAGCAGAGAAGTGCAAAGAGCAAACAGCACTGAATTACCTCATTTAGAAGAGTTCTTTGGGGTGCCTCAAGGGCAGGCCATTTCCCACTGGGGGTGCCCTCCCACTCAGCCCCGTATTCTCTCACCATCTTGTTGATCATACCTGCTGTGCCAGCGCTATGTTCCCACCTCCCAATTATTTCAGGAAGTTACAAATTCTTCTCTCTGTTGCAGCAACAGATCCCTCTAACCTTGTCTGAGCTCAGCTCTAGGCCCATCTTTTCATTTCTGAAACCCATCAAGTTTCTAGTTGAGTCAAAGAACATCATTAGGTGAACATCATCCACTCTGCTTAGAGGGTAATCATAGTTTTCAATATCATGTTCTCAACATTACATACTACTAAAAATTATGAAAAATATTACTTTCCTTCAATTATTGTCTCCCACCTCTTCCCCTAGCCCCCCGGCGAACTTCCTCCTTCCATAGCTGGAAACTCAAGGTGAAGGGCTGAGCACCTGCTGTCTGGGGCCCCTTTGCCTGTGTGGGTAGGGCTGACCCCTCATGGCTCCGGCTTCCCCCCGTCCCATCCCCATGTCCCTCCCCCATCACTCTGATGGCTGTTCTCCAGTCTCTCCTGATGAGACCAGGCCCCTGGCAGGAAGGTGGCTGAAACTGGGAGGGGCTGATGGGTAGACTGCGGAAAGAGGGCATTTCTTCTTCACTAAGAGCCTTGTTCATGTTCGTCCCAGAAGCAATCTGGAGGATATTCTTGCCCTCATTCCCAGCGCCCAGTTGGCCACTGTGGCATCAGCATCATTTCCTATGACTGCCAGGCAGACTGGTCTCTGTCTTTCAAGTTCATCTCAGGACACCAAAAGGGCTGCTGGAATAGAAGGGTGCCGCACCGGTAACACCAGGGGCCTACTGATCCCTCTGAGGGAGGGTAGGGGGTGGTGTGTGTGGGAGAAGACTTCCAGCAGGCTCCAGGCTGTGAGTCCCCCTGACTGTCCGTCCAACCATTCAGGAGACAAGCTTTGCTGTTGTCAGAAACAGGCCCTGGCATTAGGCATTCAGAGAGGAGTGAGAAATTATGTCCTCACTGCATTCACAGTCCAGTGCAAAAAGACTCAAACATAAATCACTAAAATGTGCCAAGGGCGCCATCTACAGATGCAGAGGAGGGCGTGCTGCTGGGGTCTGGCTGGTAGAACAGGAGCGCAGTGGAGAGGGTTCCCTGTGCAAAGGCTGAAGCGTCTCCCACGCAGCTGTCCGTGGCCAGGATCCTGGGCACAGGTGACGTGCCTGGACCTGGGGGCTGTGGCAGACTAGCCAGACTTTAGTAGCGGGAGCCCCGACTCCATCCTGAGGCCAATGGGACACCGTTAATGGGAATGATGGGGTTTGGGTTTCGTAAGTACTCTTGGCAGCAGAGCAGATGGCCCTGGGGCCCAGGGAGCAGTTTGGGAGGACGCTGGGCATCATCCTGCCTTCCCTCTCTTGCAAGTTCATGGAGGGCAGGCCTATGGCTGCTGTGCTCCACTGTCCTGAGCCCAGACCCTCATACACCATGAGAAATCTTGTTATGCTCTGGAAGTTTGTGTCTCCCCCAATTTTTTAAGTTTATTGGGGTGAAGATGGTTAGTAAAGTTACATAGGTTTCTGTGCACAACTCTGTAATACATCATCTATAGATCACATTGTGTGTTCACCACCCAGAGTCAGTTCTCCTCCCATCACCATATATTTGACCCCTTTTACCCTCATCTACCACCCGCTCTGCCGTTACCCTCTGGTAACAACTGAACTATTGTCTGTGTCTATGAGTTTTTGTCTTGTTCCTTTGTTGTTTTTATATCCCACATATCAGTGAAATCATATGGTTCTCAACTTTTTTCTGTCCTGACTTATTTTGCTTAGCATAATAATCTCAAGATGTATCCCCAAATTTATATGTTGAAACCTAACCCCCAATGTGATGGTATGTGAAGGTCGGGCCTTTGGGAGGTGAGCACGTCATGAGGGTGGAGCCCCTCTAAATGGGGTTAGTGCCCTTATAAGAGACCTTGGAGAGCTTTCTCTTCTGCCATGTGAGGGCACAGCGAGAGGACATCTATGAACCTGTAAACCAGGAAGCAGACCTCACCAGGTACCATATCTGTTGGCACCTTGAGCTTGGACTTCCCAGTCTCCAGAACTGTGAGAAATGTACGTTTGCTGTTGATGCCCACCACCTGTGGCATTTCTGTTATAGCAGCCTGAGCTAAGGCACAGTGAGTGAACGCCTCAGGTGAGGCACCTGGAAAAGGTGGGGCTCCTGTAACTCCTGCTCCAGGCCTCACACACCCCAGAGAGGCCAGGGTAGGCACGGGAGGGCCCGGGCCTGGCGTGGGTGTTGTCCGTGTGCCAACAGAATGAGCTGCTGCCACAGCACAGACATGGCCTCCAAGCCACTTGGGAGCAGCTGCACTCTTCTGCCAGCCTCGCCTGGCTTTCCCCGACAGGTGTCACCTTTGATTCCTCGGGCTGCTCAGTCCCTGTAGGGCAGCAATGGTGGGGAGGTGACAAGGACGGGACCCATCCTTGGGGCTAGTGGACAGCCGGGTCTCTGCTCACAGCCTCCCCGCTCCCTGGCCACACCTCCCCAGGGACCCTCAGAACTCCTGCCTTCACCACTGAGGGCAACGGGGAGGTCAGTGTGAGGCTGGGAAACAGGGGACCCCGAAGTTCAGTTTTCTCAAGGAAAAATAACTCTGACCAGACAGCGTTTGATTGGATTAAAAAAAGTGTATTGGATTTCCAATACTAAATAAAAACATGAAATTGTCTTTTAAAAAGCCATAGAGTTTACAGCATCAACTACAGAGAAGGCCAAACAAGTGTGTACAGCGGCGCGTTCCAGCAGCCCTCCAGGCCCCACCCCCCGCAGGCAGCCAGGCAGCACGCGCGTCTGCTCCGAGTCCTCCCGGAGGAACCTGCTGGGCGGCCGCACAACTAGGACAAGACACACGATGGTTTCATTTCAAAAATCACAGGAAATGTAAGAAAATGTATTAAACTGTGAAAAGGTGCAATACAGAATAGCTTTCCTTTTTCTTAAATTTAAAAAATCCCCAACTCTGAGCAGTTACTTTATTTAAAAATAGGCCCCCCACCCGCCCCAGCTCTGTGGCAGTGTCCAGGTACCAAGGCCCTGAGGTAACAGACGTGTCAGGGTGCATGGGAGTGAACGCCCTGGATCCCGAGCAGGTTTCTTTGGGCAAAGGGAAGACGGCTTCTGGGGAGCCTGGCCCTCCGGGGTCCAGGGCGCTCGGGCTGCTCTCTGCAGGGTCAGTGTAAGTGCCCTGGCTTCCAGAACCTGCCCCACCAGCCGGCACGGCAGAGTTCCAGCATCGCACTTTTCATTGCCCCCAAAACAATAAATACAAAGAGTTCATCATCTGGAAAAGCAAATGTGTGAGAAGACCTAAAAAAGGGAAATAACAATGTACAAAGGCGAGTGGGGTGCCTGTGGGGCCGTGCTCAGGGCAGGGGGGCTGGGGAACCAGCGGCGGGTTCAGCGGCTGACCGCTTTTGGCTACAGAGCCAAAGCCCGGGCGGTGGGCCTTCTCACTGCCCACCATGCTCTCTTCTGGGGGCTTGCTGGGGAGGAGGGGAAGACGCCTGAGGGTCAGTCTTGTATTTTTTCATAATATATCCTTAATATTAAAAAAGAACCCACCTCAGCTCCATATCCTTTTAAGAAAAAGAAGACAAGAACTATTTGCAAAGGCTTCTGTGTGTGGCCAGGCCACTCAGTGTGCCTCAGAAACCTCCTGCGGCCCCGCTCTAACCAGGGGCTTAGCCGAGCTGCTGGGACAGAGAAGGGGCAGCTGCCTCCTGGGTCCCTCTCCGCTGTCCCTGTCTGCTACTTAGAAAACATGTTCAGAAAGGAGCAGGAGCCTCCTGGGTCCTGCAGCCCTGCCTGCCTCACGCTAGCTAATGCTTTTCTTAAGGGGCTCTCAGACCAGAACGTGAGAGCTGGACTGGCTGAGGAGAGAAACAAGAGATAAGTAGTTGCACTTGGAAACAAAGTTCCCTCCTTAACGCCCACCTTCCCCAAAGGGAACACATGAGACCAGCAGGAAGGGTCTCCGTTCTCCTCTTGGATTTCCCAGGAGTGGGTCAGGCTGCAGCCCTGTTCCCCATCGCTCCTGTGGGTGGACACACAGCACCTGACTGCTCGGCACCGACGTTCTTATCACTATCTGATCAAGACTTCAGGGCAGCTACAGCCTGGGACCCACCTATTGCACAGAAGACTTTTTAAACTAGATCCAAATGAAACTCCAGTTGCAACTTAGTGACAATAGAGATGGACATGCCAGGAAAGGACAATAAAGTAGATGCTTCCATTCTCTGCAGGCTTCTGGAAGAAAGTACAATGACTGAAACATTCACAGGACCTCAGCAGCCCCTCCATTTCCTATTCCCACCCCCCCAGCCCACCCCCACCCCAATACTGAAACTGCACAGAAGCAACAAACAAGTCTTTTCAATGTTACATACCATTCAAATAGCTCTGTAATCTCACAGTGATGAGAGGAGAAAGTCAGGCCTTTAATAATTATAATAAAAAAATAATAAAAAAGCTTACGAACAGCAATGCAACGTTTCTTCCCCCCTCAAAGTGATGGGTTAACAGCTGGTAGATGCAATGACTCAGAATTAAAAAATAAGAACAGAAACAAAAAACAAGCCACGCCCTGGACAACCCATACGTCGGCGACTTTCCGTGCATAACTCAAACAAGCAGTCGAACGCCAACCACGTGTGGAGAACATCACCGACTTCCTTGGTTTTGATGGTGTTTTTCTTGGGAAAAAGGTAAAGCAGAACAGGACACAAAGTTGTACGTGAATGCCGATGATGCGCCGTAAAGGCGATGCAGCCGCAGCACGGACACAGCCTGACCACAAGGGAAATGCAGGTTGTTCTTCTTGCCTCTTCCCTGGACACGGCATTTTGGCCCTTGGTGCCCAGTCCTGCAGGGTCTCAGCGGGCAAAGGGAAGCTGCCTGGACCCGGGATTCGTCCGGGCCGAGCAGGAGAGGCAGGTGGCCATGCCTGGAGCCAGCCCCACGCGGGGGCATGGCTGGTCTGCGTGCTCACTGCGTGCTCTCAAGTGCTGTCCTCTCGTCCTCTGTACAATTCCTTGTTTTCAAGGCTCAGTCCCAGACTCAGGTCTAGGGTCATGTCCTGCTGAAGGTCATCATGCTGTCGTGATGGCATTTAGGTCCTTCATTAGTCCTTCCAGGTGGGCCATCTCTTTGGTCAGCTCATCTGGTTCATAGCTCTGCAGAAGACAGAATGCTGTCACTGGGAGGGATCTGAGGGGCCATCCAGAAGGAGAGGCCAGATGATCAGTGGTCAAACTGCCCCTGGACTACCAAAACCTCACCAGCCCAGAACGGTCAGACACTCAGGAGGTGCCAAGGTCACTCAGCTCCCAAGCTAGCAACCACTCATTTCTTTACACTGCAAAGTGCCCCTCCCCCACCACACTGCCCCGGGTCACAATGACCTCACAGGCCGCAGCATGGCCTGTCTAGGTCTCTGTCACAGTCAACACAGCTGGGATGTCCCCTGATCTTTGGGCCCCAAGCTTTCCTCTCTAGAGAGGCCTGTATCTGGAAATAGAGAGGCAGAGTGTATTTGTTGGAATGTGAGAGAGAAAAAGGTCAAGGAGAAACCTTGTTAATTTTGGGTTTGTGAGCAACCACTCAAGCACCTTCCCCTCCAGCATCTTGCTCAGAAAAGGTCCTGAAGTGGGACCGATGGGCAAAAGAGCATGTGCATGGCTCAAAGCAAGAAACGAGGGCCAGAGAGAGGACAGAACTAAAGGGAAGGCGGTGGGGGTTGGGGTGGGGAGCACTAGCTGGGCTGGTGAGACAAGCTAATCCAAGATTCAGCAGAGCGAGTGCGCGACCAAACCCTTAGCACAGTTCCATCTCAGAGAGAACGCTCAGAGCGTGTCTGCTTCCCACTTCTGGGCCAGCACAGAGTGCCGGTGCCACCAGCACAGCTCAGGCCCTGGGAAGCCCCCTCGGCGTCCTGGCTGGGCCGACGGCCCTGGAAACTTACACTCTCGGAGTCTTCCAGCATCCTTGTGGTCTCCTGCACTTCAGGTGCACTGGGAACCACCACTGGCATAGGAGGCCGGCTCCTTCCTAGAGTCCCGATGGAGGCCGTCTTCACTGAGTGAATGTGATGGTTCAGAGCTGGGGGGAAAGGGCACCTTCAGGGGGGTGGTTGGGCCCGCCCCCCAGACCTCACAGAGGGACCTAAGAGCCAAACGCTGTCTCAGGGTGAGGGCTGAGCCCAGACCCAATGCAGTGCTCCTGTGCCGAGAAAGCGCTGGAACAAGACAGGAGGAGGGAGAAAGTGGGGCATCCGAGAGACCAGAGGAAATAGTCCATTAGAAAACTACTTAGAAAACTACTCTCCTAGTCCAGGGGTCTCAAAAGGTTCTGGTCCATGGACCCCGCAGCAGAATGCCTGGAGGTCAAAATTCTTTTCGTAATAACACTAAGACATTTTTTTGTGTTTATACTGATAGTACAAAATCAACCATGGGTGAAATGACGAGAGCCTTAGCACTAATTAAGGCAGTGGCACCAAACTGTAAAGTGATTCACTGACACACACTTGCAGTTTAAAAATTGCCGGTTCAAGATCGTCCTTAATGAAATAGTAAGAATGATTTAGTAAATCCTGACCTTGACTACACATCTTTTAAAATGGTTGTGCGACAAAATGGAAAGTATGAAAATATAAAGTATGCATGAAGTACTCCAGCTGTAACCAAGGTATGACAGTATTACATACAGGATTCTGTGACAGCCTGGGCTGCGAGTGGCACTGCCGCGTTTATCACAGAACACCAATGTTAGTTCAAAGGCAGATGACAAACCTGTTATGCAGACCTGAGCATTTGGCAGACGTTTTCTAGAAAGTGAATGAAGTGAGCCAGTCACTTCAAGGAAAACAATGGACAGTATTTATAGCCAATGATAAAAATTAAGTTTCAAGTGAAAGTTAGAATTTTGAAAACCTTCCATCTGCCACCATGAGCTTGAGAGCTTCCCAATACCTACAGACTTTGGTGGTATTAATGAATGTAATTTTAGATATTGTGGAAGATCTGTACAACTTAGTGAACAGTATTTTCCAAACGACTACTGTGTGATGTTCAATATCATGTACTCAAAGTACAAGACAGATGGACTTTAATGGAACAGGGTAAAATAGTTCATGGATATGGTTTCTGATTCCACCTTACAAACAAACCTATAAGAAACTACAACTTGCTGCGTTTCGCTGTCGTATCAAAAAGGAATATCCAGTTATCTGAAAAAGTTATAAAAATACTCTTCCCTTTTCCAAGTACATATCTGTGAGGTAAGATTTTCTTCTTATACTTCAACCAAAACAATATATTACGACAGACTAAACGCAGAGGCAGGTATGAGCTGTCTTCTATTAAGCCAGGCGTTAAAGAGACTGGCAAAAATATAAGACAATGTCACTCCTCTCACTATATTTTTGTTTTGGAAAAAAGTTATTTTTTATTAAAAATGTGCTATCTTAACACGATAGATGTATTGCTATTTTTAAGTTAATTAATAAAAGTTAAAAATTTCTCAGTTTTACTAATATAGTAAATATTGAAGAAAAGCTCCGCTGTGGCTTCAATGGCTTTTAAGAGTATACAGGGGTCCTGAGACCAAAAGGCTTGAAAATCACTGAGCTAGTCTGAACAAACCACCACACTAGATAATAATGTGGGGAGGAGGACGGCTTGCCTTTGAGGTTGTGGCTTTGCTGAGCTGTGTGAACTCGGGGAGCTGCCTTGCCTTCCCCAGGGGGCGTCTCCTAAGGTTCCTCCTTGTTCCGAGCCCTGGCCTCCCTGCCTCTTCTCCAGCTTGTGGGATCCTATGAGGGAGGCGGTGCTGGGAGACTGAGCAGACCACAGCTCATAAAGCCAGTGCTCTGGTCCACAGGAGTCCCCAAAGGAGGATAGCATGTACTCCCTGAGAGGGACAATGACACGCGGCTGCTCTCACCTGCTGTGGAAGGCTGGAGGATACTGGCTTCATTGTTCTTTAAAGAGATGTGCCATAAGCTAGGGCCACAGGTCCCCCCAGGGCTGCTGCGGTCACTCACCTTGCTGGGACAGTAACGGCGTGCTGGGCAGCGCGGGGTCGTAGGAGGGAGGTCCCGGGGGCGGGACGGCCGGCACAGCAAAGCTCTTGAGGGGGTGGGAGGGGCGCACGTGCGCTGTGGGGAGGCTCTGGCCCGAGTCTTCCTCTTGGGAGCTGGCCAAGTATGAGGAGCTGGTAGCCCCTTCTGGGTCCTGGTGGTCGGTACAGCATGTCTGGGACGAGGAGGCTGGCATGGTGTCGGTGCTGGGGGTATTGCGGACGGACTCTACAGCAGGAGAGTTGGAACGTCAGCATTTAGGAAACCATTAAACACACATACACCCCAGGGTTCTGGCTACTTCGAAGGGTCCCTCAAACTGGCTCCATACGCGCTCAGGATTAGTGCTGGTCCATGGGAGCATGGATGAGCACCGCTGCCAAGGCTCGGTACATGAACTAATCTAAGAGCCCTAAATGGTTCTGTCAGCCAGCTGCTGGGATTTTTCCAACCAATGCAGCTAGGTGGTCACAGTCTCACAGATTTAAAGTTTTTGGTACTTACTATAAAAAGGTTTGTGAGACTACTGTCTATTAAGATGTAAGAAAGTATAAAAGAAAATTGAAAAGTTCACTCAGTGATCGACAGCACTAGTGACTGGCCTTCTGTAGGTAAGGTATCTGGTCCCCAGGGCTGGCTGGGTCCCTGACGGTACCAGCCCTGCCCACAGGGCCTGGTGGCCCCTGGAGGACGGCAATGCCACAGGCCTGCCTGCCCTGGGGGCTGTTAGGGTTCCAGAGCGATAGCCCCACAGCTCCCGTGAAACTTGGACAAGCAAACAGTCCACAGGTCTGCAAATGGCCTTAAGGTGACGCCACGTGAAGGGCGTTTGGTCAAAAAAGAAATAGGGATATGTCAACCTTGAGAAGGGGAACACTCAGGAAGAACATGGTCTCCAATGATCTCAAAATGTGTGAAGAGGGATCAGAATTGTCCTGGAAGGCAGCATGGTGGGGGAGAAAAGGCACTGGCTTTGGAGTCTCGTAGGCCTGGACTCGACTCTTGCCTTACTAGCAGGGTGAATTTGGCAGTCACTAAATCTCTCTGAGTCTCAGTTTCATCATCTACAAAACAGGGAGAGTAACATGTGTTGGGGATTAATTGAGAAGATGTATGAAAAGAACTGAACACAGGACTTGAATAACTGATAAGGTTCTTTTCTCTGTAAATTACTGAGTGCTTGACTGTGAGCCAGGTCGACGCTAAATGCTTCACATTCATTGGCTGTTCAGCCCTCACAGTTCAGAAGGCGGGGGAGGCTGGGTGCTGCCCCAGGATCGACTGACACAGGTAGGCGGGAATCTGAACCCCTGGCTGGACGCACAAGCCCATGCTCCGAACTACCACGCACCACACTGCCCTTCCATGCCCAATGCCACTGTCTCCTGACCCTGCAGGGGCAGAGGCAGCAACAGGGCCCAGGGAGCCCCTCTGGGGGGAACAATGGGAGCCAGTGAAGACCACCAGCCATTCCCTGAGGAGGGGCCTGAGGACCCCCGCTCAGAGCAGCAGGCTGCACCAGGCAGCCTGAAGGAGGCCTCCTGTGGCTCCTGGAGTCCTCACCCTTAAGGAAAATGGTGCGTCTAAGTAGTAATGCATGAACAGCCTGCAGAAATCTAACCTAGTTCCCTGCCTTTGTTGCTGAGGTAGCAATGGACCTGCTCCCTTGGGCTCTCAGGAGACAGGCCACGCCAGTCACAAGTGTCACCTCTTAGCTCAAAGGTCTTGAGTCCCAGGGAGGAGGGACTCTCACCCTCCTTAAGTGCTGAAAGCATGGCCGACAACCCTGCCAGGCTTAGCACCCTTCTCACTCTCTCAGTGGGCGTGCTGACGATCTCACTTCTCATGCCTGCTTACGCCAGCCATCACTACAGTTGGGAGCTGCTCGTCCTACTCTGTGATCTGGGCCTACACTGGGTGGAACGAGGGCAGGGAGGGGTGCCGGGGCTAGAGAGAGAAAGCAGGCTCCCGCCTGGACCACGTCAGCTGTGCTGGCAGAGACGTCGGGCCACGCGGGACACAAGGCCTGCCTTGGCTGCCTCACCTGCCTTCATTTGCTGTGTAGGCTTCCGAGGGCCAAAGAGATGGTGGGAAATGTGAAAAGAGTACCAGCATTGCTTGCGTGAGTCAACGCTGTTCCTGCCATGCAGCTCCAGAGAGCACCAGGCACAATGTCCTCTCCATGAAGGGTGAACCCTGAGATCTGACAGCTCCACTGGCCTAGGGGGAAAACTGCTATACTGGAGCTTCCTGCTGGCGAGAGGCCTACTACCTGACTGACGGACCTCTCAAAGTTGTTAGAGACACAAAGTCTCCCCTGGCCAAGGACCTGGCCAAGTGGACAGTGCTCTTCCTACGTCAGGAGCTGGTGACACGTAAATGTCCAAGGAGGAGACAGCTAATGCTCTCCAGAGCATGGACGGCCCTGGCTAAGTTCTAGGAAAGCCGAGCCCACACGCGAGAGGATAAGGAGTAGGGGAGCTCTGGTCACTTCTAGATATTTATTCTACTTTGCAAATCTGTCTTCAGCGACTCTCTCTCTCCCTAGTTTACCTTCTCTTATCCCCTCTGGTCATTACAGCAAGGAACCCCTTAGTAATGCAAATCATTACGTTTTTCCTCTCTTCACTTCTGCCTACGTCCATACAGAATGGAACGTGCACCAACGCTCCGACCTCTAGCAGGAGGGCTTCTCATCCACCTCCACCCTCTCCTGGTCCAGGAGGAAGGCGCAGGGCTCCTCTGACTGGGAAGGGCTGCCAGGCACTCAGCAGGCCCGCATCCTGTGGGTGCGACTCCTGCCAGGACCAGGGCACACAACTGCCTCCTCAGAGCACATCTGGACAGAGGGTGGCCTTCCCTGTCCCTGTTCTAGCTAAGACCATGAGGAGGGGCTGACTTTGCTTCTCCATTCAGCCTCCTGTTCACCATCTTTCCCTAAAGCCTGGGCCCCAAACCTGGATTTGGAGGGAGACAGTAGGAAGGCCATTTTAGAGAAGAGTTCAAGCAATGCTCTCCAAACCAAGTAAAGATTTGGGAGGAGATACTCTGGGAGTTGTTGGGTCTCCCTTAACAGAGCTTTGATCTTCATTTGATGTTTTGGGCATGTTTATAATTGATCAGCATGTAAAGGAGAGGAGGGTGGTATTGTGATCCAAACTCCTAAACGCAGTTGTGAGGTTCTTACAGTGGGATTCCCTTAGAATTCTCTTAGTCCCCAGAACCACTAAAACTTAGTTCTACTAGTGACATCATAACTATTAACAAGTTTCAAATGATGGGACAAGAGTATGCTGTCTATATGAGACTTTATCAGATTTGCACCGATAAACTGAGAGGGTGTAAATTAATTTTCAATTAATGAGGAACAAGAGTATCTGATCCATTTACTGTCTCCCACTTTCACTATTTCCTCATTAAAACTGTTTTGATAATGCTGTTTCTTAAGGTTTCTAAACTGGGACCTGACTATCTGGCAATGTGTTTCCTTAAGTCACTGCAGGTTGTTCGGCCCATTTCCTGTCTGTGCAGTCCTGTCACGTTTTAGTAACCAGCCGGGTACCCTGAAGTTTACGATACGTACCCACTCCACGTGGCTGTTGTCCCCAGCCCGCCCCCGGACGCTGTTCTTACTCCAGGCCATGGCAATGCTAGGAAGACCTATGTAAGAAGTCCCTATGGCTGCCCTTACGGACCCTCCCAGCGTTAGGGGGACAGCAAGGCAGAGCCAACCTCTACTGTCTGAAAATCCCCCAAAGTAAATTGCCTTTCAAACTGGAGGGTTAAAAAAGTAAACAAACTGAGAATATGGCTGAATTAAGATGCAAGTTGACGGCACGAGGCATGGTTGTGTGATTAGTTACCGTATTTTTACTGAGACGACACCTTATGCACTGAGCGCGTAACACTTAGGGAGAAAAATGGGGTGAATGTCATGAAAACAAATTTGAGTCAGAAACAGAAATGTTATGATAAATAAATGACACTGAGAACAATTCCATATCCTCCTAAACAGGGCAAGTCCTTCCCCATTTCAGCCTGCCAACTCTTTTGGAATGTTTTCCACCTGGGACTTGATCCTCGTCTCTCACCTGTGGAATTGGCCCTGTCTGAAAGGGACATGGATGTGCCAACGGGCCATGGGCTGCCCGGGTGGTAGAGATGACTGCGAGCTGGAGAAGCGAGGCTGCTGGAGTGGAAATGATGGTGAGGGTTATCGAGGGAATGGATGGGATGGGCACTAATCACAGCTGTGGATGAACACAAGACAGAGAAATGCTTACCATGCTTGCACAGACACACACAAGTCACAGTTCAAGAGCAAAGTCAACTCTCCCCCTCCCATACCGCACAACCACCCCCTGGGCCCTCTGGTGGCAGCTGGCTGGATTTGGACAATTAGCCACAGATTTTACATTTGTTTTAAAAAATCAACATGCTCCTGTGTATACATCTCTCTATATACACAGGAAAAAAAAGGTCTGAGGAAATATGTACTAAAATGTTAATGGAGATTATCTTGTGGGGAAGGGTGGGCAGGATTTAAACATTTTTTTCTTTTGGTTTCCAGTTCTTTTACAATAAACATGAATTACATGAGTTATTAAAAATATCTATTTGAATGTCACAAAATGTAAATCCATAAAGAAAGAAATGGTCGTTTTATGTTTCTATTATTTTTTCCTATTAAAAGGTTAGAAGTCCCTTCTCCTTCTAGTATATTCCTGATTCAGTCTCCCTTTTCTTACTGGTTGAATGAAGCATGCAACAGGTATTTGGGCTGAATGAATGAGTAGCTGTTTACTCGGTTTTCATACCTTAAAAGGAATGCAAATGGAACTGAACTCTTGCATCCAAACTCCTACTAAAAGCATGGAACTCATCCATCTCTTACAACTTCTACTCTGGGAGCTCTGCCACATCCATTCACATTTTACAATACACGAGGCTCTTCCCCAGTTGCCCCGTTCCTTTCCACACTGGCTAAGGAATTCCATTGGCTGCATTCGGCTAACAAATCCAAATTTCCACACAGATGTCCCATATACAACTTTCAATGAAGACAAAGCAGTTCTTTAATGAGGCTTCATTATCGACCCCCCGAGATGAAAACAAAACTGGAAGCCAGGTTTGGGAATAAACTTTCCTAAGGTCCTCCCTAGAGTAGTTGTTTAAGATCAAAATAACTGGCTCTAAAGCCCCTAAATAGGTAAACAGGTGGGGTTGACCAGGCACACGGGATCTTTTTTTTCTCTAAGCAAGGGCTTCATGATCTTTGTGATAAACTTAGTCTTTGGAGTCTGAAAATGTCTTCTGTCACCTAGGATTTCCCTAGGTCTTTGTGGGGCCACTCAACATTACTCTGGTGAAGAAAATCCCGGTCAATAAAATAGATGCCTTTCTTCTCCATCTCTCTCCTGTCAGGCCACCTGCAGACGAGCAGGTGGCACAACCAACCAGGACCCTGGCGCATCGCTGCCCACCCCCCTCAAGTCCTGGGGAACAACGACAGGGCTTTCCCTGCTCTCGGGAACCAGAAGGCTCAGGGGTCCTTTGGCATAAAACTCAAGCTGGAAAAGCTGGCTGAGGAGGGATCTCAGGGTAGTCTGGGAGTCAGCGTCCCCCCCATGGGAAGACCGGTGGTTTTCGGAAGTGAGCGGCTTCAGACTCAGTGTTTTTCAGAATTAAGACTAGGATGAGGGGAATACCCACAAGAGTTCTAAGGATAGAGGACTCTCACAAAAGAAAAACAAAATTGAGTCTCTCTTGTTTAAGGCATTTCCAGGCCTTCCAAAGGAAATTAATAAAAAATAAAACAACATGAAGAGCCTGCCTAGAACAGAGGCGGTGATCATTAGCCAAATCAGAGCCCGACGCTTCCGTGCTCTCCGAGCAGTGCTCAGCCATTTAAGGCCAGGTTGGTGGCTGGTGGGCACAGACTCCAGGGCACCCCAGCTTGCAAACAAGGGCTGTAGCCATGTGGGGAGAGGAATAACTCAAAACCCAAAGATCAAAGTCTTCTGGGTACCTGGTTTCAGATTCTTGAATTAAAGGTTCCACTCACCTGCCCAATTGCTGAGCACGAATTAAATAATACTGCAAATTTATGCACACTCCTTCCTCACCACCAAAAAATGAGAAAAAAAAAAGGTATCAACTGGTACAAGACATCTTTTCTCCTTAACATATTTAAAAGTAACAAATCTGGGAATCGGAATAGTCCAATTTCACGTTTTAAAAATAAGCCAGTTGGGTAAGACCTAAAGTCTTACACCAAACAAACAAATAAGCAGTCAAGCGACCATGTTGGAATGGATTCATTTACCTTTTTGGACTTTTATGTTTTTAAACCTGGGAACCCTGTTATAAGAGGGAAACCATGGTTTTTCCCCACATGCTTCCAAGTGCAGGCCCTTCTTTTCAGCATGGACCCTAAGCAAAATGTACTTTGTGCAGAAATGACCTATAATTATAATAAATGGCCCTTATTCTTTCAAAGCTGATTTTTAGAACCTAGTGCCTATAATGTTTGTCCACAGTGAGGGAGAGAGGGTGTGTGGGCGCAGACATTTACACACTCGGGAGTTCCACCAGGTTCCAGGTACAGGGTGCCAGGGTGCACCTTTGTGCGTGTAGGGTATCTGTGATTGTGATTATTTGAATTGCTTTCACTTGCTGACAGAGAGATGGCTCAGAGTTCTGAAATGGAGCATTTTAAGAAATAAACAAAAAATTCAAAAGCTCATTTAAATTAAAAACTGATCTTGCAGGATTTGGTGCTTTCAGGATTTGAATCCAGGTATCTGACAGTATTGATGCTACTGGTTTACTGTGCAGGTTAGAGCAAATACTTCAAGGTCAAATTGTTTGTAAAACTTATGGGCACTAGATTTATGGGGGTGATAGATGGGAGGGGGTTGGGGGGCAGGGTGAAGAATGGGAAGGCATTAAGAAGTACAAATTGGCAGTTATAAAATAGTCATGGGGACGTAAAGTACAGCATAGGGAATATAGTCAGTAATATGGTAATAACTGTGTATAGTGCCAGGTGGGTACTAGACTAGTCAGGGGAAGCACTTAAATTATATAAACGTCTAATCACTATGCTGTACACCTGAAATTAATATTGAGTTAAAATAAAAATAATATTGAATGCCAAAATAAATAAAGTGTAAAAAAAAATAGATTGTAAAACTTGATATTGATAGGCAGGTGGCTTCCTTTCACTCTAGAATGGCACAGGGGACCCTTGGCTGGAAGCCCCGCCGTGCCAGCTACCTGCCTTGCAAACAGTTACAAGGGAGAAGACACAGTAGTTTGAAAGAAAGAATTGGTTTGTCCTATTGCTTTTTGGCTTTTAATCATGATACTTAACTTATTTTGAATTTCAAAATAAGGAGGTTGGGTAAGTTTTATGCTTATCAAAATGAGGCATGGGTCAAATATGGTTGAAAAATAAGGTTGAAAAACATCGCTTTAAAGACTCCACACTATCACCTCAAACTACTCTAAAGTATAAAGTGCACTAATTACAAAAAATCCCATGGAGCCCATCAGCACCGGGTGTGTGTCAGGACACCTGGGTGACACTGCCATCCGGCCATCATCGCCCACCCTGGGCAGACGCCCCATGTCTCCCACAGAGATGCTGTGCACTTGCAGGGAGACTGAGTCCCTATTCCTGGGAGACTGGGAAACTGGTCTTTTAGCTTCTTTACTCTATAATGAAAGAAGCTAGTCTCAATAATATTAATTGCAAAATAGGACACTGCTTGGTACTTCCTCCCTCAGCGTGCCAAAGCTTTGGTGGATGTTCTTAGATGTCAGGATCATGTGACGTCAACCAGCTCACGCACAGTTGGCCCCACACGAACAGACGGGCAGTGCTACAGAAGAGCAGCCTTTAACTTACGCTGGGGCGGCTGGGAGTCGAAGGGCATCATCATTTTGGGTCTCATTCCTCTCCTTCCAGCCAGTGTAGACATGCTGTCCTCTGATTCGTGCCCTAGACATCAAACATGGAGGCTGGTTACAAACGTGTGCCCCAGGCCATGGCACAGCCTCAGCAGCAAAACAGAGTGATGGGGGATTCAGGACTCACAGACAAGAAAATGGGGACAGGGCGTTTCTGCAGGAAGCGAAACAATGAGGGAAATGATCATCAGCACATTGCAGAGTCCCAGCCAACAGAGTGCCACCCCGCCAGGCGTCAGCGTGGTGTCTGTAAGAGTATCCAGACAAGGACACTCTGAACACCACAGAGACAGCTGGATGCCAACTAAGGGACAGGCGAAATGCAGACATGGGCTATTGTCTCACACGCTTGAGTAGCAAGCTGGCGAGGTCAGACGAAGAGACCGAGATCTAGAAGGTGTCTCATCTTGGCACAGAACCTCTCCCCCAAACAAGCTAGAGATCCGTCATCAGATGCTGACCACATACCCTAATACGTATTCCTTTAAACATAACCTTGTACAGGCATCACCAAATTTAAGGCAACCTGATGAAATGGAAAATGACTGAAACAAAAACAGTCTCCCAGCATTTGGGGGGAAATCTGTACCTCTGTAGGAATTCCGCCTTTGATGAATGTTGCTGTCCATGGAATTGTCAACTGGTGTGATGTCTTGGGAGTTACGAGGAATTGGAGTATCGGTCATGATGGGGTTTGGGTCTGGAGATTTATCGATGGGTTTCAGCTCCAGCCTCTCATGATGGATCCAGAGGTCCGGGGGTTTGACATCTTTGGAGTTCCCTTTGTACTTGTGGGAGCCGTTCACTGATTTACAAGCAGCTCGTTTTCTAGGCACAAAATTAACAGGAGGTTTTTAAAGTAACTCTTTTAAACATATTTGTCAAAAGGTTTGAATGATTAAAACTGCCCTTCTGAGAGAAGCTTCAATCAAAAGCAACTAAAAATGAACAAAGAGGAAAAACAGAGGCAAGAAGATTACTTCTGGGGACAGTAAATGTGTCTCTCCTTTGTCCATGTATACTTAGAGATATATGTACAAGGGCATATCTGTGACTTTCGTTGAGTAGCAAGAGATTAGGCGGAATTTTTTAATCAACTAATCTCTAAAGCAGAAGGTTCCTCCGCAAGTTTCCATCAATTGAGAAAGGACAACACGCACTGGAAATGTTAACAGTGGGGTAGCGGTAGTCCATGGCTTATAAAGGAAGACAAAATTTTATTTTATTTTTATTTATTAAATTTTTGGGTGACATTGGTTAATAACATAAGTTTCAGGTGTACAAATTCATAACATCTGTGTACTCCACTGAGGGCTCACCACCCACAGTCTAGTTCCTTCCATCGACAGATGTTTGACCCCCTGATCCTCTTCGTCCTCCCCTACCCCCTTCCCCTCTGGTAGCCATCACTCTGCTGTCTGTGTCTGGAGTTTGTTTTGTGTGACATTTTAGGTAACCCATGCTAGGGCTATCGACTGGGGAAAGTTGAGTGCCGATGACAGTTCTACTTCTCTGTGCCTTAGTTTCTCCATTACGTCACTCACTCACCATCTAATAAGGTGCCTAATGTGTGTCAGACACTGTGCTGGGCTGCTGTGCCCTCTGTACTCCTGCTCAGGAAGACAGACACTGAACTATTATTTTAAAAGGCTCTGAGTTTAATGAAATGCCAAATGTTACAGTAACCTTTTTTTTTTTTTTAAAGATTTTTATTGGGGAATTGGGGGGATGGGAACAGTGCTGGGGAGTTGGGGGAAGGGGAACAGACAAGTTGCTGTCGTTTTGTTCTTCAGTCTAGTTGTGGAAGACGTTGCTTCATTGGCACCATCATTGCGCTCTTCCCAGGCGAGGCACATCAGTTGCCGGCTTCTGGACGGCCGCTCACTGCGGCTGCTGGCCGCTCACGCTGGCTGCTGGCTACACACGGTAGCCTATGGCAACCCACTGCCATAGGGGCTGCAGCCTACACCGCTGCCGGCGACTCAGGGCAGCACAGCTCCAGGTTGAGCTGTTGTTCAGCATCTTAGCTGTAGAGGGCAGTGTCACTGGCCCTCATAAGTGGGATCCGAACCGGGGCCCTCTGGCATCCCAAGCCAGTTCTTAACCATCATGCCACTCGGCCGGCCCTACAGTAACCTCTTAACAGCTGGACATAAGGCGGCCAGGAAAAAGCAGGAGGAAGTGACATTTAGGCCAATCTCTGAAGGGGGCAGGGCAGAGGTGCATTCCCAGAGGTGACTTAGCCTTTGTCAAACCCCTGAGGCAGAGAGCAACGGCCGGATACCAGAGGATCTGTACCAAGTCCCAAGTGGTGGGTGTGCAGTGACCTGTGGGGATGCTGGCCCGAGTGGTGGGAACATGGGAAAGGCACTCAGGGATTGGATCGGAAAGGGCTTTTACAGCTCTGCCAAGAGTCTAAACTTCCCTCTGAGTAGTGAGGAACCACAAAATCTTTTTAAGCAGGAGAGTAAGGAGATCAATACGAGTTAAAAATTTATACCCACTGTGGTGTGAAGAAGGGATATGAGGGGTAGGTGACAGAACAGGGACCGGCTAGGATGTAATGCAGTAACCTCAGCCACGACCGATGGTGGCCCGGGACAGGGGACATGGGGCAAGGAGGCAAGTTTGTTACTTAGGAGCCCGAAATGACAAGCCTTGGTGAATAAATGGATGTCAGTGGGTCAGGAGTCATGAAGCAAGAGGAATAAAAGATAATGCCAAGTTTCAGTGTAAGCCATTCACTAACTTTGGGAATAATGGGGTAGAAAAAGTTTGACAGGAAGGTTATAAATTCTGTCTTGGACATACCAAGTGCCTCTGAGACATTCCAGAGGAAATGCAGGAGAGGTGACTTCGGTGAAGCAGTAGAGGCAGAAGTCAGATCAGAAAGGACTGAGGCATGAGTAGGCAGTGAAAGAACGGGTGAGTGTAGGTAAGTATTCAAAAATTTTGTGGAGCAGGAAAGGCAGGGATTTGTAAGCAGCTGGTAGTCAGCCCCACACAGTAGAGAGAGGGTTATAATTCTAACTGTTTCTTAACATGGAAGAAGTCTGAGCCCACTTAAACGCTGAAGGGACAGAGCTAACCGGCAGGGTGGCTGTGCTGAAGAGAAAGATAACAGCAAGTTCAAGGTCTTCAAAAGACAGGAGACGCTGAGATCGAGAGGATAAATGGAGAGCTGGCTTCAGACAGGAGGAAGGGCATTTAAAAAGAGTGAGAAAAGGATGCGTCCTCATGCAGAAAGGTTTCTAGATGTGATGGTGGCACACGGAGGTAGTTCTCCCCTGTGGAGGGTGAGAGGCTGCAGAGGAATAAGGAGGGGCCAGACTACATGCTCTGTCAGCTCTGAGGTTCCAGCAGTCTGTCAACAGCTACAGCTGAAAGGGGAGCTGCTTCAGGTATCAGACAGGAAGAGAAGCAGTAAGAAAAGCTCACATATTTTCCAATGGTCAGTGGAATGCTTGGAAAGCGGGTCACTGGGGAAGGAGGCGGAGAAAAGCCCTCTGAAGATCCGACACAATTTTTTAAGAAAAGGGACCCAAATCTACAGGGCTTACAGATTCAAATACAGAGGACAGAGCCTGTCAGCCACCCATTTTCCTCTCAATCTGAAGACTGAGTACTTTTTCATTTACTTTGCATTTTAAATCCCCCAAAGCACTAGGAAATACTGTCATTTTGTGTTTTAGATTCTTTTAAATTTAGATTCTTGTCTCGATTTCTAAAACCAGATATAAAATCAAGTTCATAAATGTGATATGCTGAAAGGAGAATCTTGCAGAAAAATTCTAGAGTAGAAAAAAATGTAGTCCTTGAGGCTTTAAGAGTGACAGTTTTCTATGATCCAAAGTAGATCGGGAGAGCTGAAAGAGTCAATGGTCAGGAGGCTAATAAGAGGAGGCTCCATTCTCTTGGAAAAGTGATGTGATGCACGCTGTAGAAAGCTATCTTCTTTGTGCAAAACCAAGAGTAAACACATCACAGAGCCTACAGAAAATGACCTAAAGTCCTCACAAGCAGCAGGTACGGGGTGGCTTTGTATTTGTCCTCTACATTGCAAACACATTTACTGTTATTAATATTGTACTTGGCTTTGGGTGGATCAAATCTGACGGGTAATCACAGAAACAGACATGAATTTCTTTCTTTTTTATGGAGCAATACTTCTTCCATCTTCCGATCTTTTAGAATACTGCAATTGAAGTCTTTTCAATACCCACATTGTGTTTTTGCTGTTGGGGTAACTCACAATCTCTTCTTGAATGCTGTCTGTCTCACTGCTGGATATATGAGTTGAATGTGATCCAGGGTCAAGGGTTCTCTCAAGTTCAGGAGTGTATCTGTTATCCAGCACTACAGAACTGAGTCAACGAGCTGTCTGCTCTAGACAACTAGCCACAAGTCTCAAAATCCCAGAGGAGTTCAGGGCTAGCAGCCGCCTAGCCTCTCTGTGAACATGGTATGTTAATTATAAACGATCCTTTCTTACTCATTAAGTCAGTGAACACCCCCACCCCAGTCCCAACCTCAGCTTCCACACTTGGCAGCACTTCTTTAAAACTATTCTTAAACTTAGATGTAGGATAAGAGGTCTGTGGTCTCCTTCCATCTCCACTGGCATCTATGCCCTGAAACAGCCTGTGCCCACTGGTCGCTGTGGAATATACAGGCAGTGCTCCCTCCCAGGGGGCCACCAGCAAGGTGGGACCTTGTCCACTGCCTCCCTGGATCTCTGCTCTACTTGGCTCTGTAACTTGAGAGGCTGAGTTAAACGAACTACTGTATCTACTAACCCTGCCCCTGGCTTGCAGCTGGTTTTGGCTGAGACGCTGGAGGGTCAGAGGTGTTTTTTTCTCATGAGCCCTACCTGCTGGGCCAGCAGCTGTTGGTGGCTCTGTTCCCCCCACCACACAGCTCCAGTGGGAAGCCGTCTTCTACAGCTTCATATCTCTGCAAACAGTTTTCTCTTCTTCAGAAAGAACTCTTGCCCTTTCGGGCCTGAGGTGACATCCTTGTCACCACCAAAGGTGGCCCCTGAACATGGCTCCTAGTTTGCCCTGCCCTGCCTAGGACTTTGTTAACGGTCCCTTCCATAAACCCTCTCATCCCTTTTGAGCCTGCCACCTCTTTCGCGGCAGGCCCGACAGATATACACCTGTAGGAGGAACTGCTTGTCACGTCCCTTAAACATATTTACAGCATCACTCTGCATGTATTTTACATGTTAACTCTGTGCAACTCCAAATACAGAAGTCACGAGAGGCAAAAGGACACCCAAAGTCCAGGGGCTCCTTACTTTTTCTGGTGAGAGGTGGTGCGCCTGGTACAGAAGACAGCGATGACGACGACCACCACGATGGTGATGACCCCCACCGAGACGATGATGACCAGCAGCATGTTACTGTCTAGCGGAGACGTGGGGCTCCCATGGGGGCTGTTACTGCCTAGACAGGGGAAACGGCACATGGGTCACTGTTAGAGGGCGGCCAAAACACACAGTCAGGCTGCAAAACCTTCGTGTGAGTGCAGGGTTTTATGCGAGTGGCTGTGACAGCTGTCACCCTGCCTGTAGAGCAGTGTCTCATAAACATGACCACCTCCCCTAGATTGTGGGACCTAGAGAGTTAAGTCTCTGCTCTATGGACACCTCAGCGCAGCGCCTGGCACGGAGCTGGTATTCCAGAAAAGCTTCTCCAATCACACTGAACATTACACTTGGACAAAGAAAGGGTGTGCCCCTCTGGCGTCTTATACATAAATCCGTCTTGGAAGCACTGTGTGTGTAAATCATTTAGTTTTCTGAGTTTCAAAACTGTTTTTAAAACGTACATTCATAGAAAGCAAAATTTTTTTTCCAAAATGTGTCTGAGATCACAAAAAATTACTTGAAAAATGAAGTCTCTCTGTTTTTATAAATACAATCTATGCAGAGTTAATTCTCTTATTCTGTTTCAGGAAAAGTACTGTACATATGCATTACTTTGACAAATATTTACTGAGTGCTTACCGGGTGCCAGGCACTGTTCTAGGCATGAGCATGCAATGGTGAGTGACAAAGTTGGGGTGGGGGTGGGAAGGAGAAGAAAAATAAGGAATTATTAGCAGTAATGAGTGCCATGAAAAAAAAATGGGGGTATAATACAGTGACTGGGTGGCTGTTTTATATTGAGTGGGAAAAGTTCTCTGAGAACACTGAATTTGAGCTGAGATTTGAATGACAAGAGAGATCCCATCATGCAAAGATCCGGAGGAAGAACATTCCAGAGAGAGGGAACAGCTCAGGGAAGGATCCTCAGGTAGGAATGAGCTTGGTGTGTTCAAGGAAGAGAAAGGCAGTTTGCTTAAGCAAATGTAGGTCTGCAAAGTTAGAGGGAAGGAAGTCAGAAGCAAAAGACCGAGTTGAGGCTGGAGAGGTGTGCAGAGGCCAGATGGCTCAGGACCTTGAGGAAATTTAGATTTTCCTCTTATTATTTCCCCATTGCTTTAGATGAGGTCCAAGCTTTTTATCAATGTCTTTTATAATCTAGCTCTGTTTTAAGTTTTCCTTTTCCATTTCCTAAAACATTTTTTTGCTTCCCACCTCATGAGAAGTTATGCATGCTCATATTATACAATGTGGGCAATCCTACCACTCAGATCCGACCCCCATGGACATCTGCAGACTTTCCTTCTGATCTCGCTCTCTCCTTTCTAACAGTCAGAGCTGTACAAGTAATGAGTGTTGAGTCACTGTACGTACTTAAGAAGAGTCAGTGCACCTGCTCTGAGATGTTGTGGAAGGCATGCCTACCATTCCTACCTGGGAACCTGTGTTTTCAGAAAAGCTCCCACAGTAATTCTCATATACAGCCTGGTGAACAATTTACGCTCTGATCCACACTGTGCCTACCGTGGGAACCCCTTCCATAACACCGGATTAGCCGGCCATCCGGCTTCTGATTCTGTGATTTCATTGGCTACCTCTAAGCACAGTGCAAAACCTGGCTGAATTAGGAGAGCTTAAGAGCTTATTCTTCTACATTTGGCTCAATCATTTGTATCCTTCATTTCTGAGAAAAGGTAAGCAGATAGATAACTCAAAATGTACACACTGACCTTCAATAAAATAACATTTTTATATTCAGGGAAGACTACAGAACTAGGGGCCAGTAAATTAGAACATATTCGGGCTTTACACGAAACGTTGATTAACAGCAGTGCAGAGCTTGTGAGTGGGTGTGCAGGGGGACAGGCTGCCCCACCACAGGCCCGGGGGGCCAGGGACTGGAGGGGGCAGAGGTGGTGGTGCTGGCTCGTCCCCGCACTGCACGGAGATGACTTCTCATTTAAGTGCATCTGACCGCTCACTTCTGAGCTGGCCCAAAGCTGCCTTCTAAGACAGAAGCAGAGGGAGCGTCCATTCTCCTAATGGGGGACAAAGAGAAGCCGCTTCTTAAGCCTCCCCTGAATAAGTGCAGCAGCTTCCTAACCACTCCTCTCTGACTTTATACTCTTAGCCCCCAGCTCATTCTTCACTGTCACCAGAGTAATAATCGTAGATACTCAGTGAATGGAAGTCATGGTTCACCAGCACAAGAGTCTTACGTGTTATTTACAGGATGAAGTGCACAGGTCTTAGCACTCGTGCCTGAGCTGCTGGCACGCTGCTTCTGACCAGTCTTCTTTAACCCAAGGCTCTCTCCTGCCCCTAGGCAGTGTGCTCCCCGCAGAGAGCACTGTTTCCTACTGCCATGCCTTCACACGTGCTGTCACAGCTTCCTAAATGTTCCCTCCCCACCCCCGCAGCCCCCGCCAATATTTAGCAATCCTCTATGTATCCTGTAAAATCTGGGTCCAACACCGCCCCTTCTCCAGTGCTTGCCCTTTTCTCTGTCAGGTACTTTGTTACCCACTCCTATTGTTCCCACAGCCTTTTACACAGAACCTGAACCTTTAAAACTATGTGTGAATGAAAGAATGCATAAATGAAAGACAAGACAAACAAATGATGACTTTTCTCACAGCCTTCGATATTACATGGTGGACTGCACATAACTGTAACACAGGCGCCCCCTAGAGAAGAAACTCACAAAATCCTAGAACTCAGAGACTAAACGTTTCTTGAAGCATGTGAGTTTGCCTGGCTCTCCTAAGAACAGGCTGATTCACTGAAATCCGGGCAGTACCACTTTTTAGTTAAGTAGAGAGCTGGATATGAAGAGATCATTTAATTTCCACAATGAGAGGAGGCGTTCCAGAGGACAGGCCTTTCTCTTCCGTGTTTCGCTGGCAGAGTAAGGAGACCATCAGGGTTATTTCTAGTAATTACTTGTGTGGATTTTCCCACATGTGACGTAGAACCTGGTGGGTTCCAGGCTTGTGTGACAGAGGAAAAGGCACAATCGGAAGTCAGTCCTGGGTTTTGGTTTAGAACTTCCATAATTAGTGGGATCCAGGCATGTTCCTTTTCCACGGAGTCTCTTAATGTATAAAACGGGATAATGATATCTGTTCTCCTTGCTTCACAGTGTTATGAGGGTCACATGTGATTTCATGTGTGAAAGCAACTTACAAATGGTAAAGTTGTGTAGAAAGGTAGGTGTCATCATTTAATCAGGAGGCACAAGCTCTCAGGATAGCTAGGGGAGTGGGGAGAACTTTTTTAGAATTTCCAAACTAAAAACACTACAGTAAGTAGTTTGGGGAGAAACTGATGATTCCAAAGCATTTCTTAGGCTTGTTCTGGGTGATTCTACTAGAGGGTTTATTTTTGAAAACAAGGTTCTAATTCTTTTCTAGGGGCACTGGGCAAAAGTGTTTGTTTAGAATTAGTATTATTTTAAGTTGGCTATGTGGGGAAACAATTTTATTTGTTGATCCTATAATAAATGGGTTTGCAATAATTCAGTATGTCAGAAAATGCCTAAAGCTAACTCTGTTAAATAAAAGGAAATATGCTACAGTCACCACACAAGCTACAAACGACATTTCAAGATGTCAAACAGCTGCATCATGCTCATATTTAGACCAAAAGACGGTAGGGTGGGGGGCGAGGGGGGGGGCGCTTTACCGCTCATTGGAGGTTTGTAGTCAGATCCCAGGTCTGGTAGCCGGCTTCCTTTTCCTGAAGACCCTGAGGCTGAAGGAGGAAAAATCATGTCAGTAATGACCCAACCCCTTGGTGTGACAAGTCCACTTCACAGCTAGTGAGCATTTTCTACAAAAACGATTTTCAGTTTACTCTGTCCATGAGAAAATGAAGTAGCACATCACCAATGGGGGAAAATATAGTCTGTTTGTGCAAAGCAAGCTAAGGTACAGTTTTCTCTGCAATGAGGCATCTGAAAGGCTGCCACCCTTTTCCACGGCTGTGTCTAGCAGGTAACTAGGTTGCTACTTGCTGTTCATAACGTGGGAACACACCCATTTCTCTAGCCCGGGAAACAGTTTCTGAAAGATGGCTCAGAGCACTTATGCAGAAGCAGCTTCTCTTGGCAAAGGGACCAGTTCAGTTATCTTCTGCAGTAAAGAACGGGACTCTTCCAGGGGCCCCAGCTATGCTGATCTGGCCAGCAGGTACCAGCGATGTTTGAGTGCTTTTCTCAAGTTATAAAGTTACCTAGTTATAAACTTTCCAAATACAAAGTTACCCTAAGCAGGGGCAGGAAGACAAGTGGAGGCTCAAATTGGGTCCAGTTCATGCTCAGTCACCTAAACATCCAAAGATGGAAGAACAAAGTCTCCCCTTTAGTTGTTCCCAAAGGACACTGTCTTCTAATCCATCATCATGGAGTGTAAGTGAGGCTGCTGACTTTGGGCTTGGGACCACCCCACAAGCAAGTCTCAGAAAACACAAACACTAGTGTCTCAGGAAGTCCTATTCTTGGTCTTGAATTTTGTTCTGCACATTTACAGAGAAAGCTGCTAGGGTAAAGCAGATACCATAAAGCAAGGTATTCCTCAGCCCAAAGCTGGGGCCAGAAGGGAGGCTCGCCTTCTCCTCGAGTGGCCAGAAAGAGCTGCAGAGGAGGAGCTGTTCCTGAGTGACTGGAGCACACTGCTAACAGGCTGCCTGGCTCCGTCACTACTAGCAGCTGGACTTCCAGCAAGCTATTGATCATTCTTGTTGGGTCTCCAATTCCTCATTGTAAAACACTCATAATAATGGTATCTACTTCAGAGAACTACTGTCATGAGGATTAAATGGAAATTTAATTCTATAAAGTATTTTTGAATACTGCCTGACACATAGTAAATGTTCAATAAATATTAACTACTATTACTACAAGCATAATCAATCACTATGGAAGAATATAATCTTTCTCTTTACAGAGACAGAGCATGAAGCTTCAGAAAACACTTATAAATGAGAATAATTCCTACAAATAAAGCTTGACGAGAAATTCATAAACTAGATGTGTTTCTGTAAAATGTTAGAACTAATGTCGAGGACTTCTATAAGTTACCAGACTTGGAGGAAATGAAAGAAATTAAGATCTGAAGGTTTCTGTATGTAGTTCATTCAACAGAGTAAATCTAGAGACGAAAACTATGTTTTCTGTGTTTCAAGAAGTTCAAAACCCCAAACGGTAACAGAAGTTCTTGGGTATCCAAAGGGCATGTTCTAGACGTTAACTCAGTCCCTTTCAAGTGTGCATACTTATTCCTGTCTCCTTATTTCTGTTGCCACCGTTCCTCCTAGTGGCACACACCACAGGTGAAGATTCCAGCTGGTCTCACCATGACCAAGTCTAGCTGGCAGAGATGACCTAGCCCTTCTAAGTAAGACTCTTCATGGGTAAATGTACTAAGTTGTCAGGTAGCCCGCATTTAAGGCAAACTAGCCAGAGTATCATATTAAGTAAATAATTGCCAAAGAATACACTTTGCCAGCAAGTTGGTTGTTTGAACTCCTATATTTCCCAACAGTTTTTCTTTTAAATCTAACCTATGAACAGGAAATTCCAAGGATTAACCAAACATCAAGAATAAATATGGGTCAAGAATTTTAAATCCCAGAGGTGTGGTGCGGCTCAGAGCTGCACTCTGGCTTATGGATGAAGAGGAGGACAAACAATGGACACATTTATATTCTGTGCGTACACAGGATGCTTATTTTTCTTTTTTCACCCTCAACTGCAGTCAAGCTTCTACCATGATTAGGGTGCCTCTCCATGCCCCCCAACATACAAAAGCATGTTGGCAATTTCTCCAGAGTACAACGAAAGACTCACTGAATGCAAACACATTTCTGAAGCCCTGAAACTCAGACCTCAAGTTCTGACTCTTTCTTGTCGTTACCCGAGAACCAAAGACTTTCCACTTCTAATGACTACTCTTAACCGTGGAAGCAACCATCAAATTTACTTTTATTGCTCTTCCTTAGTACAGAAAACAGATACCAACTTTAGTTGAATTCCCAGAGATGAAAATTGCTAAGTACAGTTACCTCTCTACAACAATTATAGTAACAAGACCTTGCTGACAGATAATTTCAAGAACGGTGAGACTGAGGCCCATGCTTCCTACATTTCCATTTTAAATTGTTTCTACCCACTTTTAAAATAAGCAGATATATTTAAGGAAAGAAATGGAAGAAGAGTCCTGAATTAAGCTTATGATAACAGAATAAATAGCACTAATTTTGTCACAGGTAATCATTCACTTTAACAGGGTACATTTGTAGATTCTTTGTGGGGGCAGGAAAATAGGGTATTTGCTGAATTTGATTAAACTTTTCATTTAGAGATACTAATAAAATCCTAGATGCTACCAGTATGATGAATGGGTATGCTTGTTCTCATCACGGCCCAAATGTCTACCACTGTTATAGAATTCCAGGATCTTAGTGCAAAGGATAATGTGACCTGCACCTGTGGCCAATCTGTCTAATTCAGTTTATTCAACTCAGTTTTCTTTTTCCTGCCAGTCTATTTAGCTCCTAAATAGATTCCCCAGCTTTTCAGATACCCCAAGTGCCACAAACAAGGACTCAACTCCACTTTGGCCAATAAACACGTGGTTTTTAACACATGGTACTGTTTTTCAGGAACAAAAAGAAACAAAAACAACAAAAAGCTCATAATAGGTCACAAAAGAGAGGAAAGGAAAGAGAGGCCATCTACTCATTTACCTTGATCATTAGGCATTTTATCAGAGGAGTCCGCTAACAGGCCAAGCACAGGGGAAGAGAAAACAAAAGCAAGGATCACAAGCTTTGAAGATGGGAGAGGCAGAATTTTTAAAGGAAAAAAAAAAAATCCCACAAACTTCCAAATAAATTGAGTCTTTTTTTTTTTTTTTTAGTACCGAGAGAAGAGAAATCCATATACGGTTTCTGTATTTCCATAGACTCAGTCCCCTACTAAATTTTATTCCTAAGCTCACTTGGTTCAATATTTTATCTTCACTTTCTTATCTAGAGTTTTCTTTAATGGGCCCCTTTCAGTCTCTTTCTCTCTGCAAAGGTCTAAAATAAACCTTTCAGGTTAAGAGCCTACATATGTTGAAAGAATCATCCATCACAATAACATGCTATTACTCTGTATGGGAACCAAGAGAAGAACATCTAATCTGATTGGTAAACACCTTTAGATCATTGCAATTCCTCTGCTCCAACATGATGTGGCTGGGCAGGCACCTCGGGATCCTGGCTTGGTGGGCAATGGAGAATGAGAGATCGTTCTGAGATAAATGTGCACACTGAGGCTTATCGCAGGGCGTCTTACAGTGTCCGTAATCTCTACATGCTAAAGTGATACGTGCGAGCGCAGCCCCACTAGGGAGACACAGTGTAAAGTGCTCTGACGGGGGAGCCTTACCTTTAGGAGTCCTGAACTGGACAGCCTCAGACATGGGACCCATGCCCTTTGAGTTCCGGGCCTGGATCTTGAAGTAGTATGGGGTGTCGAGCGTCAGCTCCTGGATCTGGTGAGTCAGCCTGTTTCCCACAACTGGCTCAATAACCCAGTCATGTATCTCTGCATTCACATCCGTGCTGTAATATATGATGTAACCTGTACAAAGCAGTTAATGGGAAAGCAGACCTTAGTCCTGCTTTTTCTTTTGCCATCAGTAAGTCAAATAAAAATATATGTTAGAGCATAAACAAGTAGAGAACCAGTCACTGATTAAACAGCAGTGACAAAATGCACTCAAAATGCTACACTAAACATAATGCAGAGAAAACCAGTTTACACAGTGCCAGGCAGCTGAAGTAATAGGACTAATAAAAGACAAACATATACAGTTAAGTATGCTCAGAAGCTAGGAATCACATAAGAAAAATAATCCAATCACTTCAACATCTTAATATTTAAATAATGTACCTTCAAGGGTCTACAATTAAAATAATGCAGTTTTGAAAACAATGGCCCGACATGCTGTTGTAGCTGTCACCAATGTGATTTCCCAGGAGAAAAACTCCTGGGAGATGGGCAGGGAGATGGGCAGCAACCTTTGTTAAGTTCCCCCAGACTTGGGTGCAAGTCACAGTGAAACGTCACCTGGTACTTCCACCAGAGGGCGCTCCGTCTCCATGGCTGGGGCAGGAAGAACCACAACCACTAGCCTGCCTGACCCACAGCGCAGAAACGCACTGGTTTAAAGACAAAGTGAAAGGTAATCCCAGTCAAGTCATGCTTGATTATTTTATGAAAGAGAAAATTCAAAAACCTAAAAAGTGACATAAAGACCACGGATTTATGAAAAGGAGTTCCTATTGAGAGTCGAAACAGAACAGTGCTAAGAAATGCTTTCAGTTTCCTTAGGCTGCCCTATTCATACCAAGGAGCTTCAGAAGGCAAATCCTTGTTCTCAGCACACACCTACATGGAGCCGACTCCCACGGGAATAATTCACAGCAGACCCCACCAGCCTTTCCTCCTTGTTAGGCTGAGGAACATACAGTGTTCTCTACTGCGGAAGGCTCTCCTCTGAGCCCAAGGAAATACTCCAGGTCCCTGAAAAGGCCTGGGCCAATTCAAACTTTTAACTCTGTGAAAACACAGAAAGCCGAAGCGGCAGGCCTGTTGGGGGAGGGAACTACAAGCCTAATGGGCTTTTCTGGGCTTCAGGGTAAAAGAGCTGAATCTCTATTTATTGGGAATTGCCCTACAGAATTGGTCAGGGTCTTTAACTCCAAAGCAGGGCATCCAGGCCGAGGCAGCGAAGGACAGGTTTTCTGAGGAAAATGAGGATGTCCATAAGGTCCCCCTACAGCCAAAGGCTGACTGTCTTGTCTGGTGCAACCCATGCCCTTCAGGCTCTCTCTCATGCCAGGGGGCAACCAGCATCCCCTTACTCCACTTCTAAGGACCATCATGACAGCACCTTGTAAAAGGACCAGGCCAGCAGACAGACTTCCACCTCTCTCAACAGCACAGAGCTCCCTAGAGGGCTTCTGCCAGGCAGAAATCGGGGACAGACACTCACTCAAAGGCATCTTACCTGTGATTTTGCCATTGGCTTCAGAGGGAGGCTGCCAATTTACAATTATGGTCCTCGGCTTCCCCTCTTTACTCACGACTGTCACATCCTTGGGTGGAGAAGTAGGAACTACAAAATAGCAATACTTTCAGTAATCCCTGTCCATTTCAATTTCATCCATCATTTCCTCAACCCTTTCCATTTAGGAGGCACGATAAAGGTACAAGGCAAAAAAGATAAAGCCTCCTGACTTCAAAGAAATCAGTCTATCTATAAATAGTTCCAATAAAAAGAATATGCAAAATATCAAAGAGAGAATACCATACTACGAGGATACAGAAATGGCAGTCAGCTGGGGGTTCAGGGGAGGGTAGGTAGGTAGGGAAATCAAAGGACATTAGTAGTTACCAAGTAACTACTATATACCAGGCATTTTACAAATAATATTTCACTTAATATTTATGGCAACTTGTAGTTACTACTGTCCCTGCCTGACAGATCAGGACATCGAAAAAGAGCAAAACTATGTAATTTCCCAAGATGACATTCCCCCCTAATTAGGATTATTCTGTTAGGATGTTTTTAAATGTAAAATAATAGTTGGCTCTCCAAACCAAATGTGATGTTTGAAAACCCCAATTCCTTCAAAGAACACGATTTATAAATTGATGTTTTTTTATTTTAAGTTTGCACTGAAAACATACTGTCAACAATTTGAGGTTATTGCTCTGAAATGTAAAGCTGTTTATGAACAGAAAAAACAATAAGATAAAAATGACTACATTTCTTGTTTCCATGTTATGGCTGAAATTTTTTAACGTACTAGTAGGGAAATGAGCAAATTAAATGCATCCTTAAATTTACTCCTCTCTTCTTAAAATACTGGAATTCTCCTCATATGAAATGGAAGAAAGCCTGGTGAAACGCAAACATCCTAAGGGAATACAGAGTATCAGTTATTAGCTAATGGGCTGGAATTAAAGTGAAAAGATAGTCTTAAAACTGGTAAAGAAAGCAAACTCAAGGTCTACCTAAGCTTCTGTGCACTGTATTTCTAGCTTTCAAAATCCAACCATTTTCTTTGTAGGAAGTCCAACCAACTGTTCAGAAGACAGAAAGACATAGGGCCAGGCCATATGGGGAGACTTCATTGCTCCGTTCTCTCATTATTTACATTCAGGAGAGAAAACAATAGGAGGATGGAACAGACAGACTCCCAATGCTTACACACATCCCCAAGCTGGGAAAGTCTAAGGGGTAGCAGGGTTGGCCTGCCAGAGCAAAAAACTAGCAGAATCTCAAAACTAGATGCCCTGCTTTCCCTTTTAAGTGGCTTCATTATCTTTTCTCTTTCATATTTACAGACAAAACCCCTAAGGATACTCCAGTGGGAGACGTTATACGACACTAACTGGTTTGCGACAAAGTGATTATATATATATATTAAATTATAGTTGACATTCAGTTTTATTCAACTTCAGCTTTAGACATCTACACCATTCATGAAGTCAATGGAATTGTAACAGCTATATACAATGTCAGGGGGGAGGAGATTGGGGGAGGGAGGCTATCACTTTGTGAGGGGTGTAAATCTCTAACTATTACATTGTTTTGTACACCTGAAACTTAAAAAAAAAGATAATCTGAAACAAAATAAAGAAAAAAGAAAAAAAAGAAAGCAAGCTGCTGGTGAAGTGCTAGGGCTCTAGCAAGCACGGCATTGTAGCTGCTTGGTGAAGGGCAGGCCACCTCCTCTTTTCTCTCCCAATTTACCAGTAAAGCCGGATTAATGATGATAATCCCTCACATCTACAGTGCTTTCTCATTTACCATGTGCTTTCCGATCTGCTCCTCATTTTACCCTTCCAATAACGCTATAAAGCAGGAAAGGCAGAGATCATTACCTTTCTTCTACAGATGGAAGAAACAGAGATTCAGAGGGATTGGATGACTTGCTTATTATGATCACAGTCAATAGATGGCTGACCTGGGGTTGAACTCAAGTCTCTTGGTTCCACAAATCTAGGCTACTTTGTATTATATTATCCTGTTATTTGTGAATGTTCTTGTAGTGATGAAAACATAATTCATTAGCTGAAAAAGCAAACACTGAACTCCAGCTGTAGCTGTTCACTGCACGGTAACTATGCCAATTCACGTACTTGGTGCCTTTCTTGGTTAGTAAGAGCAGGTGATGAGAAGACTCATGACGTAGAATGTGGCTCAACATCAGGACAAACGTCCGCTGGCTTTCCTGTCTCGCAAGGAGAAGGAATGCCAAGTGATGTAGGTTCTGACAACACCTACCTAATTCAAAGGTGGTCCCATGGGCGGTCATACTCCACGTGCTTGATCTTCGACCCTTGGTCACCATCACAGAGAATTCATAGAGCGTATTTGGTTTTAAACCCGTCACCAGATAACTCAAAGTCGTGGCGTTTGCATTCTGGAAACACAAGAGTCAAGAACGTTAGAGTCAGACAATATGAAGAACGAGTGCTTCTCCCCCGGAGCACATGTGCCAGTACCTTGTACTTGGTGTTCGCGGGGATGTTAGTTTTCCATCGCACTGTGTAGTACCGGGAGTCTGTGATCTTCTGGTGTTTGGGCAGCGAGTTGTCCGCCCATGTGATCCTTATGGTGTCATGGCTCAGAATGGAAGCCTGGACTCCCACGGGAGGCATCATGGGAGTGGGATCTGGCACTGGAGTGTATGGAGCATTAATAACAAATAAATCAACTTCAGAAGTGTCTGGGTAAAAAGTAATTAAAAAGGAAGTGGCATTTTAACATAAACAAAAAGAAAAGAAAAGGGAAATGCAGGGTAATATAATGGAATGGAAGATGAGAAATGAAGAAAGAGAAAAGAAATCCAGAGTTAATAGATAACCACCATTCATCTAAAAGAATATTTCCACTTGTGTTCTTTCAGGAAAACATCTAGAGAAACAGTAATTACCTATATTCTCTACTATATTCTGTAGATATATTAACATTTGACAATCCAGTGATTATATTAACATATTAATACTTGAGTTTTCTTTCAATTACTTGAAAATCATACTTCCTGTCCAAAAAGGATCATGAAACGATAAAAACTGCTCTTAAAATCAAGGGTATAATTTTTGAGCAAGCAACACGAAGCTCATGATCTATTCTGATATTTCAGAGTCCCATGGGTTATCAGTGCCTATCACCGGACATGGAAGGCCTGCTCTCAAACTTGAGCCCCGAATGTCAGCCAATGGCAGCTCAGCCTGGCCTTGGTATTCAGGGCATCCAATAACCACGTGGGGTTCAGTTCAGATCTGCTGAGGTCCTGCTCTTTCTCCAGCAGTCAGAGAACCACCCATTGATGAATCCCAGAGAGTTATGGGAAATGCCATAGTTATGGGTCCGAGTGACAGAGCCTTTAAGAACTTTAGAAACCTGAATACTTATCTGATAGAAAGTCTCTACTCTTGTCCGTCCTGTGCCATAAGCAACACATACACTCTTGTCAAAAAAAGACGACAGAATGAGCACTAAGGCACCAAGGACCATGAGCCAATGGCAGCACAGCAGGATCCACTGGGCTTTCCCAACTCCTGGTCAGGTTTTCTAAGTATACACACACTTACTGATTCTAAGGGAAGGTTTTAAAATGGATTTCCCACATAGTTATGGTGACTCGCCCCTTCCTGTAACTCAACATCTGAAAATGCGGGGGCCTTGTTTATGAATAACTGCCATGCTGAAGTAATAGTCTCCATTTGTGTACTTCCTATACAGTGAGGACCGAAAGTCATTGGAACAGCATATGTTGTAATTCAGGGTTTTGTTCAAAGATCAGGTCACATACCACTTAGTTACAGAAAATGCACCCTGACATGCAAAAATCATTAGACTTCTTGGAGAAAATTTTTTATTTGTAACAACTCTTGGAAAACATAGTTAGGTTACACAAGTTAGGAACACTTCCTTGCGTATTTCTAGCCAGAAGGTTAAATTTTTAAGTCACATAAAAGAAAATAACTTCAAATTTGTTTTTTTTCTATTGTAGGCTGACTTAAGAAAGTATGAAATATTTATTTAAATATTCTCTTTGTCTTGCTTTTTTTCCTTTGGGGAATAACAAAGCTATTTTTAAAAGAACTTGGAAAGTATAAGCACATAGGACAGAAGACAGGAGAGAACTACCAAACATGCAGTAATGATGTTGGTCTTGTTAGCTAAAAGCATACTGAAGGGACAGAGATTATCTTTAAAACAGTAGTGGCAAGTCTGTAACACTATGCAAAGTATGCAGAAGACATAGCAGGCAATACAGATTCACAATTCTGGGAAACAAATGGAGAAGGGTATTTCTGAAAATGATATACTCTTCGATTTTTCAGTACCTATTAGAAGAATTTATAACTCTAACATATTTACTTCAATAAACTTTCTCATTCAGATCTAAATTAGGTGTTTTATATATTTATAGAAATCTTACACAGTATGTATAATCCTTTAAAGATATTTTAAATAAATCACAAAGAAAAAATAATGAATATTTGGTCTCTTTTGTAATAAATATACAGTTTATGAAATGGAGAGTACATCTGACTTTATACTCTTTATATAAATAAAGCTTATGAAAAGCACACAGAAAAATACTTTCCCAACCAAATCAGGTGACTAGTAAAGTAAATGTTGGATTCATATATTTATTGCTCATTATCATATATATTTATTGCTACCATAAGTAACCTGTATAATTCCTCCAGAGATACGGAGATCTTTTCATTTTTTGACTCATTTTAGTTATAACTCACATGACCAAAGATGAAAAATCACTTAATTTTCTCACAACTATGCTTTCTAGATCCCAATGCACTAAAAACATGTGTTATGGGTCTACAGAGAATTGTTTACATGGCAGGATTGTTAATATTTTCTAAAAAGCAAACCAGAAATTAACAGAACTTTCCATGTTGAAAGCCCATTTTCCTATTCGAAGCCTGCACCTTAAACTGCCAAATACTTCTCCTTGCACTGACATGTCGGGGGCAAGCCTTATGCCACCCCGCCCCTCTTACACCCCCCCACCCCCACCCCGGCCGCTCCTTAGGCTGCTGGGAAAGATGATGAACACCAGGGATGGACAGGCTCCCTTACCTGTGTGCGGTCTGGTCACGGCACTCTCGTACAGCGGGATGCCTTCACCCACGTTGTTAAACGCTTTCAGGGTAATCACATAGTGAGAGCTGGGATCTGAAGGAAAGAAACCAGTCAAAAGAAACACATTCTCACTACAGAAGTTAAAAAACCCATGGGCGGCTGTGTATGACCTTAATGGCAGAGGAAATCAAGAGGGAAGATTTAACAAAGTGTTAGGCAGGATGATTTTGAGGTGCAGGGAGATGTGAGATGGCAGCATACACAGTTCAGTGGTGCCCCCTTATCTGCAGGGGATACGTTCCAAGGCCCCCATGGATTCCTGAAACCAAGAATAGTACTGAACCCTATACAGACTATGTTGTTCCTATACATACATACCTGTGATAAAGTTTAGTTTATAAATTACACACAGCAAGAGACTGACAATAAAATATAAGTATGATAACAACACACTGTAATAGAAGTTACGCGAATGTGATCTCTCTCTGATAACCAATCTGATAGCTGAGAGGCTACTAAGTGCCTAATGGGCGGGGCGGTATACAGCGTGGTACACTGGACAAAGGCATGATTCACGCCCCGGGCAGAAGGAACAGCATGGATGCCCAAGATTTCATCACACTACTCAGAATGGAGCGAAACTTAATACTGATCAATTGTTTACTTCCGGAATTCTCCATTTAATATATTCGGACCTTGGTTGTCCATGGTAACTGAAACCACGGAGAAGGGGGGATGACTGTATAGGCAAACCGTGTGGGATCAAGTTCCTGGGGTTAGTCCCAGGAATGAGGCTGGCCATGCTTGAATCCTCTCTTAGCTTCCACTAATGGATGGTTCCCTGATGCTATTGGATAGTGTAGGGCTTGGATTAGAATGAGTTAATAGGATTTTCATGTGTTGAAAGCCCATAGGTGGAGGTTGGAATTAAACTCTTTTCCTTCTCAGGAGGAAGGACAGCGACTGGACCAGCCAAGGTAGAGAAATAGGAGATAAACTGTTAACTTAGGAACTGCTGAATGCCCTTAACTTTCCAGGGGCTGAGGGTGGGGATGGGGGGTGGTGGTGGTGGTGGTGGCAGCTCCAAATCCAGGAACTGCCAACCTCATCTAGCCCTCATGTAGACTTCTTGGTTGGATAAGATATGGCCAGGATTACAACTGGCTTGAAGGTAGAGCTCAGGAAATACAAGTCAGAAAGAAAAACTCCCTCCAGGTGAGCATATAAAATGGTACTAGTTAGACTCGATGAAAAGAGGGGCTACTAGATAGGTGGAATAGCATTTGTTCTCCTATTGGTTGAGGTAAAGCAGGAAGATTGTACTTCCTCACATTCCTGACCCAGGCAAATTTTGGACGGGTGATTCAAAAGTCCAGAGTCAGAAATGAGGACCTGAGTTCCACTGAAGTGTTGTTGTGGTGGTGGTGGTGGGGCGGAGTTGACTGACAGCACTCACTTCTGGCGAAGTTGGGGAGTTTGGCAAAGTGGCCACATTTCAAGTGGCCTGCATTACTTCCAAAGCTTCAAATAGCTACACTGTGTGGTGGCCCACTCTTTCGACACCAGTGGGCAATATATAAAGGCACCTGGTCTTCCAGTGTCAGAAAGAAGTGACAACAAATGGAATCAGCAAGACTTAGTACTTGACGTGAGGAAAAAGGAAAAGGTGCCATTTGGGAAACATGGTAGATAGTGAAATCATTCACTGACATTGGAGACAGATGCAGAGCAACCATGAAACACATTTCCAAGCCCCCCTTCTAGTCCCACTCTTCACTTTCTCCCTATGTGCTGTCAATCATTTCTTTAGCTTGGATTAGCAGGTATGTGCCATCAAATGCAAATCAATATCTCTGGTCCCGACTTTTCTTCTGAGCACCGAATCTTCATGTCCAACTGTATGGCCTCTCCCATTGGATGTCTCAAATCTCTCTACCCACTTCAAGATCTGCCCCAGGGTCCCTAGATCATAAATGGCACTACTCTGTGCCCTGCTGTTCAAGTCAGAAACCTGAGACTTACTAAGACCTCTTTCCTCCTCCCCTCATATGCAGGTGATCAAGTCTGCCTCTCACCACTGGGCCTTGTTCTCTGCTCCATTTCTATGGGCCATCTCTCGGGTCACTGAGCACTGGGCCTTCATGCGTGCAGCTTTTCCCCAGGCAGGGGAACTACGTCACCCTTCTTCTTATTCTAGACAATGCCTATTCATCCTAAAGGTCTCATCCCAGACTGGATCAGCATCTCTAGTTACATAGCCCGTAGCATCCCATTTCTCTTCTCAGCACTCGAAACAATTTCAATTATTTCAAAATTGTATTATTTCTAATAATTGGGATCATGTCTGGTTGATTCTCTGCTCAACCTCTAGCACAGTCCCTGGGATATTGTAGGTGTTCATTAAATATTTGCTGATTGATCAAAAGGTTTGTAGGAGAAGATGCTAACTTTAATTTTGATTGAATTATTGTGATAGAATATTGACTATATCCCAGTGCAGATACCCAGTAAGCAGATGTTTATATGGATCTGAAGCTTAGGGGAGAGCTCTAGTTTGATTAACAAGTGAATTCCCAAATGTATTTCTCCATTCTGACTTTCTTCTTTTGTTCAACATTACATGCATCTTAGATATATCTGTGTTGACTAATATAGCTGAAGCTCATTTTACTTTATGCCAAATTCATTTTTTTTTTGCTACTTCTCACTGTACACTCTCTTTTCTGATAAAGTCTGTCTATTTACCCTCTTCAGCACATGAAGTGCTCCTTCTCATCTCTTGTTTTCAAACTCGATTTCGGCTCAGTCTTTCAAGTTCAGGTTAAGCTTCTTCCCTGGCTGCTCTCCTGTGCCTTATTAGTTCTTCCTTCTCTGACCATACTTGACATCAACTCATTCCATTGTTTCTTGTGTATTACTCTTGTTCTCCTATCAGACTGAAAGCACCTGAAGGTCAAGGACCATGTACTGCCTACAACGGCATAGGATTCTCCTCTCAGTACTTTTGTAAAGGAAACAGGAGGGAGGGGGTCAGCCCAGGGACATTTTTATCCTACCAGCAAAGCTTGTCTTTTGCTCTCTCACAACTTTCTAAGTTAGCTGTGCTGTTTCTTCTTGAAAGGAAAAAAAGAAAGGCTACTTTGTTTTTGAATCAAGCATCAAATTGCTGCTTATTTTCTACCAGAAAAGATGAAGGTAATCCATTTGTTAGACACCTAAAGCTATTCTTAAGAAAGATATTTAAAAAGGAATGATTTGAATTAAAAAGTTGGTTAATGCAGATTCTCATTTAAAAGACAAGTCTTAGAAGATTCCCATAATGATAATCCAATTTGTAAAAGTAATAACACCTACTGAAATTAATCCATTTTCAATTATAATATTTATTTATTTTTTGCTTTGTAAATCAACTCTGAGGTATAATTAGCATATAGTAAAGTACCTATTTAAGTGTACAGTTTGTTGAGTTTTTACAAATGTATATATACCTGTGTAATCACTACCACAATCAATGTATAGAATGTTTCCAATACTCCAAATAGTTCCCTTGTGCCCCTTCGTAGTCAATTCCCACCATCCTTGTTTCTAGGCAACCACTGATCTTTCTTGTTACTATAGATTAGTGCTTCCTGTTCTGTAACTTCATAAAAACGTAATAACATGTATGTACTCTCTTATGTTTGGCTGCTTTTGCTCAGCATAATATCTGTGGGATTCATTATGCCGTTGTGAATATCCACAGCCTATTATTCCTTTTCACTGCTGAGTAGTAGTCCATTGGATGGATATAGTACAATTTACCATTTACCTGTTCACCCCTTTTAGACTATTATAAATAAAGCTATTATGAACAATTGTGCACAAGTCTTTGTGTAGATATGTGTTTTTATTTCTCTTGGTTAAATATCTGAGTGGGAATGTTTGGTTGTATGGTCAACATTTTAAGAAACCTCCAAACTGTTTCCTGAAGTGGTTGTAACATCAGACATTCCCACCAGCAAGTATAAGAGTTCTAGTTCCTCATCCTCGCTGGTATCCAGTGGTTTCAGTCTATTACATTTTACCAATTCTAGAGGATGTGTAGTCCTATTTCACTGTGGTTTTATTTGCATTTCTCTGATGATTAGTGATGTGGAGAATCTTTTCCATGCTTACTATCTACCCTCTTGCATATCATTTTTGGTACACTGTCCATCCAAATCTCCTGCCTACTTTTTTTACTGGGTTGTCATTTTCTTATTGAGTTGTAAGTTTTTATATATTCTGGACTCAAATTTTTTTGTCAGATATTTGAATGATGAGTACTTTCTCCTAGTCTGTGGCTCACCTTTTCATTTTATTGGTGTCTTTCCAAAAGTAGAAGTTTTAAATTTTGGTGAAGTTAAATTTATTAATTTTTTAATTTTATAATTTGTGGTTTTTTTGCATCCTAAGAGATCCTTGCCTATCCCAAGGTCATAAAGATGTTTTTTCCTATTTTTTTCTAGAAGTTTTATAATTTTAGCTCTTGCATTTAATGTTTGTTTTTGTGTATGGTGTAAGATAAAGGTCAAGGAAGTTCCTTTTCTTTCTTATACAGATATCCAATTATTCCCATACCTTTTGTTGAAAAGACTATCTTCTTCCACTAAATTATCTCCATATTTCTGTCAAAAATCAATTGACCATACATATGGACCTACTTCTGGACTCTATTCTATTCCATTAATCACTTACCTTTACAGCAATTCCACCACAATGTCTCAATTACTGTAGTTTTATAATAAGGCCTGAAATCAAGTAGTATGGGTTTTTCTAAACTTTATTCTTTTTCAAAAATGTTTGATTATTCTAGTTCCTTTGAGCTTTCATATAAATTTTAGAATAAGTTTATCAATTTCTATAAAAAAGTATACTATGATTTTACTTGGGATTATACTGGGGAGAACTGTCATTTTAATAATACTGTCTCCCAATCCATGAACATGGTATCTCCATTTATTTAAGTCTTCTTTAATTTCTCTCAGCAATAATTTTCTACTTTTGAGTGCATAGACCTTTTACATGTTTTTAAAATTTATTCCTAAGTACTTCTTATTTTTTGATGCAATTGTAGATGGTATTATTTTAATTCCAATTTCCAACTGCTTATTGTTAGTGTATAAAAATACAACTATTTTGGGCTGGCCGAGTGGCGCGATGGTTAAGAACTCGCTTGGGATGCCAGAGGGCCCCGGTTCGGATCCCACATATGAGGGCCAGTGACACTGCCCTCCGCAGCTGAGATGTTGAACAACAGCTCAACCTGGAGCTGGGCTGCCATGAGTCGCCGGCGACGGCGTGGGCTGCAGTCCCTGTGGCAGTGGGTTGCCATGGGCTACCGTGTGTGGCCAGCAGCCAGCGTGAGCGGCCAGCAGCCGCAGTGAGCGGCCAGCAGCCGCAGTGAGCGGCTGTCCAGAAGCCGGCGACTGATCTGCCTCGCCAGAGAAGAGCGCAATGATGGTGCCAACTTGGGCCAGTGAAGCAACATCCTCCACAACTAGATTGAAGAACAAAAACGACAGCAACTTGTCTGTTCCCCTTCCCCAACTCCCCAGCACTGTTCCCATCCCCCCAATTCCCCAATAAAAAATCTTAAAAAAAAAAAAAACAACTATTTTTGTATATCAACCTTGTATCTTGTGACCATGCTAAACTCACTTATAGTTTTAGTAGCCTTTCTTGTAGATTCCTCAGGATTTTCTACCCCAGTAACAATGAGTTTGGAGAGTGTTCAGATACTGGTTTCTAAATACTATTTTCCATAAACAAACCAACCAACCAGTGTTTCTTGGAGAAATGGCTAATTCAAGGACTAAGGCTAGGAGATCCCAGATGAGCCAGAAACACCTTACTGTGTCAAAAAGGAAGAAAGTGCTCAGAGATGAGAGAATGTCAAATGGACAGAGGAACCAGTTATAAAGATACTCCACTGGCCATTCTTTCACTGTGAAAGAGAAGGAAAGCTCTTCCTTAAAAGGATGCTAGCAAATGTAGAAGAAATAATGGAATTAGAAAATCACCCATAGTGAAACAACAGAGTGATAACTGTTACTGAAGATGCTAAAACCTGTAAGTGAACATTTGATAAGAAAAAAAAAGTATTTACAAAGACTCATGGTGTCTCCCCCACAAGGTACTTATTAAGAAGGGAAAAAATGACTTTATAGGAATGTGGCAGATACCATTTTAACCAATGATTAGAGTTAATATCACTAGTGACAGGCTGTCCCTGCCTCCTAATATGATAACTGACAGGAACACAGTGCATCTGTGCTACTCCTCCCCCAAGTGCATAAACTGAACGTAATGAGGAAACACTCGACAAGTCTACACTGAGGGACACTTTAAACCAAGAACTGCTCCATATCAAAGAAAACTACTGAAACATGACAACAAAATGCAGCATGTGATCATGGACAATCTTTTTCTTTCATTATAAGGGACATTAATGAGACCACTAGTAAAATATGAATAAAGTCTATAGGTATTGTCTCAGTGTTAACTTGCTAATTTTGATAACTGTACTCTGGTTATGTTGAAAGTGTCCTCTTTTTTGGAAATGCACATTAAAGTCTTAGTGGGCAGAGGAGCATCATGTCTGTAACTTATTCTCAAAAGGTTCAGAGAAAAAAAAATATGTACATATAGGGAGACGAGAGAATGATAAAGCACATGTAAAATGTTAACCTCCAGGATTCTGAGTGAAGGATATACAGGGATACTTCGTGCTATTTTTGAAAGTTTTCTATAAAAATAAAATTATTACCTAATAAGAAGGTAAAAATAAAGAACTGCACACATACCCAGGTTTTCGATGGTGTAGTAGCGCTGTTTATAGTCCACTTTGATGGTCTGGGCATGTGGGCTGCCAATGCCATAGCCAATGGCATAGCCTCTGACCACAATGTTCTGGTTCTCCGGAGGCGTCCAGCTCACTACGATGCTGGTGACAAGTGGGCGGACGTGAAGAGAACTAGGCACTTCAGGGACACGAGTTTCTGGGAAAGAAAGCAGAAAAAGAGATGAGGTCCATCTTCCTTTAGAATATTTCCTTGGGGATGGTGTTCAGACTCCTGATGAATTATTTGGGGCTAAGTTTTTTCCATGATGCCCAAGAATTTAAAGAGAATCTATAGGTATAGTAAAGTATGGTCCATGGTTTTAATGCATTCTAAGAGGAAAACAAAACCCAAACAGCCAGAAATAAAGACACTGCAATATTAGTATTTGGAAGAGAAGACAGAGAGATCCAAGAACCTCTGCCCAATGGAGAAAAACAAATGAATTCCCTTTCAACTGTCAGCCATTCCTTGTGGTCCCAAATCTGATTCCCAGACTTACCAGGTGAAATGAGAAAGGCAGGACAGCAACTAATTAGAAGCCTGTTGTCAACAGGTCATCAAGTATCACATTATAGCATATATTATTATTTACTCCCCTAAGTAAACGGTAAGTCAGAAAATATGAAACTTTAGAGCCACAAATTGATTTAAATAGTGGGAGACTAAGAGGTTTACAAAGGTGGCAATTTATAGTATCTTTCAAATACACTATTTCAGGGCATAAATTCCTGTCTTAATTTAAAAATCAGCGAACCAAGTATTAGAGTAGGGACCTGGGGTCTTTTGTCTCCCAAGTGCAGCACCTGGTACATACACACACCCGTGTGGAATTACTCACTGAATGAACAGGTGAGAAACAGGGCAGGTGTCCAGGACTAAGGGAAAAGGGAAACTAACTGAAATAAAGACACGATTCATATGGCTAAGCCTTAAGGTTTAGATCTCCTATTTACTTAACGGCCTTGGTAAAAAACCAGACTTAATGCACCTGTACATTTTTATTGGTTCTATTTAAAGGGATAATTCTCTAAAAGCCACTGTAAAAAAAAATTCCAGGAAACTTGCTGCATTAAGGAATGACAGCAGTATAATACATGAAAGTTCACAGATGTAAGCCACATACACCCAAACTCTGTGGCTTTCCAGTTTGATTCACTTGACTACAGTTAGTACTCCACAGTTAGTAGCCTGTGCCAATCCTGCCAATGGTTGTTCTTACCGTCTAAGTCACTTTCAAAAGTTTCAGCAGACAGCCAGTCAGTAGCCGGGCCTGTGCCATTGACGGTCAGAGCAGCCAGCCGAAAGTTATATTCAGTCCCCCGATCCAGACCTGAGACCCAAATGACAAAAGAAGACAAGCTGAAACAAGAGCTCTGGAAAAACAGAAGATTAACAATCTCTCATTAAAGCAAATATCTCATCTACCAATTCAGTACTCAGCTACTATGTACTGATAAAGTTTTAGTTAAAGTTAATACAAAACAAGTGATACATAAATACAGCACAGAGGAGCTCCCTGTCTAAAGTAGAGGCTGAAACCCACACAATCCACAAAGAAAACAGAAATGAGTAAAGCTCTTGGGAGATTACAGATATATTTTTTTAAGAGTTTGAAGGCACCTTAGAGATCATTTAATGCAACCTCTTCATATTGTTACTAAGAAAGCTAAGCTGTAACAAAGGAACAAAGTCGGTTGGTCTCAGAAGACACCAAACACCAGAAAAGAACGCAGAGCTGTGACTCCTACCATATCACCTCTGTTCTCTGAGCCACAGGAACAACTTTAAACACCAAACATGTCCTAGACATCTACGTCTCCACAGCCAGCCTGCCCTCAGTATATACAGTAAGTAAAAGAGAAATAAGCCTTCCTATTATGCAACCTTTCATATTTTCTATCAGCTAATAAAGCACACACTTTGCCAATGCATCAAAGGCAAAAAGATCCACACATAAAAGTCTACCCTATAGAGGAGGGCAACAGTCAATAATTCATATTCATATACTCAGGAATCCAATTTTTTCTTTTTTACTGTGTTAAAACACATGCAACATAAAACATACCATTTTAACCATTTTTAAGTGTACAGTTCACATGCATACATTTTTAGAGCACTTAAATACTAGACATTGTGACACGTCTTATCAGGGTTATGACAAATCATCCTACCTTCCCACATCCGAAACTGGGCTCTTTGACCAGCAAGACAGAGGGCTACTGAGAGAGAACTCGGCCAGGACGAACTCAGTTCATCAGTCCTATCATGTAGTGTGAGAGGAGAGGGTGGGGTTCTGTTCTCTGCAGGCCCATCCTGACTCTGTTTGCCCACAGGAAAGCCGAAAGCAAGACAGAAGGAGAAGCCAAATGGCGAGGTCCAAGTCAGTTACCTCCCTGTCTCCTTCCTGCACACACTGAACCAGAAAGAGCCCGAGTGGGTGGGCCACACACTTATAGCTGGTAACGGACAGCGATGTGGGCTACTAGCAAGCATGGCTCGGCTGAGGCTCTGAAAGAATTCAACCAGACTGGCCGAGTGGTGCGTTGGTTACAAGTTGGCTTGGGACGCCAGCTCTGAGCAGCAGGACCCTTGTTCTGATCCCACATGAGGGCCAGTGATGCTGTGTTCCGATCCCACATGAGGGCCAGTGATGCTGTGCGTTCTACAGCTGGGATGGTGAACAACAGCTCAACCTGGAGCTGGGCTGCCATGAGTCACCGGCGACAGCATAGGTTGCAGCAACTGCTGCAGTGGGTTGCCATAAGCTACCGTGTGTGGCCGGCAGCCAGCCTGAGTGGCCAGCAACCACTGTGAGCTGCCAAGAGCCACCGTGAGCGGCCGTCCAGAGGCTGGCGACCGATCTGCCTCACCTGGGAAGAGTGCAGTGATAATACCAACATAGGCCAGTGAAGCGACGTCCTCCACAACTAGACTGAAGAACAAAAGGACAGCACCTTGTCTGTTCCCCTTCCCCGATTTCCCAATAAACTCTCTTAAAAAAAATAAAAATAAATAATTTAAAAAAAAAGAAGAAAAGACTTCAACCAATCAGGTTATCATTCCCTCTCCTTTGGGGAGAGTTAGAATGTAAGAGGGCGAGAGCAGTGGCGAGAGAGTATGCGAGCACATGCCAGACAGACCCACGTGTAAAGAGGCTAAGAGTTTGTCTTCCCGGAAGTAACCTACAGAGTGCATAGACTAAAAACCAAGACCCACAATCCATAGTGTAAAGATATGACAGAACGTGGTTAAATGTTATAAGTGGTACAAAAAGAACAACTGTTACTTCCGGCTAAAACTTAATCATATAATTACTGATCATTAAAGGTCCTGGTAACCCATCTTATTCTCTAATACTTATCAGGCTTCAAGGTAATGCTTCACGAGAGCAAAGATCTCCATTTGTGCTCACGTTACACATCCAGGGCCGGCATACACTAACAAAAGTTCAATAAAGTCTGTTAAATGAATGAATCTGTGATTATAAAATGCAAGAATTTTCTTGATAAAGAAAAAGCTATTTTTACCATGAAAGGGATATTTTCCTTACACATAAAATGTTTCATTGAGAAAACGAACGGTCTCCTCATGAGCAAGGATGGTACCCTACTTTTATGTTATTAGTAACAAGAACAGTACCTGGTATACAATAAATATCTTCTATTAAATATTCAGAATAACAGCCTTATAGATGGGAAATGTTACTTATCTGGGGTAAAATCAGAAACTAACTCTTAAGAACATCTGAGCAATTTTACTGTAATGCTCCTTCAGTGACATCTCTCAGCAGCACCCACTTGCAGCCACGTCTGCTCATGAAGCTTATAGCTGTGGGGCTCGGGTGAAGAAATGAGAAGACTGACGATACCTTTGGAGATCAACATTCACCTTCTCCTATTTTGAAAGACATCACTCCTATCTACGAGGTGAGGAGTAAGGAGAAAAGCTTGTTGGGTTACCAGAGTACAGTGTTTCACGGTCAGTGGCTCTGTCAAGTTTAGAAACTCACACCTTAAAGAAGGGGAGACTCAATATACTTTTTGACCCCAGATCTTGGTTCTGTCAAGAACCTGGCCCCTGGGGACATAGGAAAGTGGATGATGCCAAGCTCCTCTACTTCCTTCATTGTCTTCCCAGGAGGAAAGCAATGGAAAGTTTAGAGTTCCCCAAGGGTGATGACATTAATTCTCAGTGCTTAGGTAATAATGACATCTCCAATTCTTGTCAATCTCTTCTACCAGCTCTGCTAGGAAACACCATCAGGGTTTCTTAGGGGCACCTGTTTCTTTATAAGCACAGTCCCAACATCCAAAGAGCGAAAAGCACTTCATTTTCCTCCCATGGTTCTCCTGCAAAGTCAACTTGCCTTGCTAAACCAACCCTACCTCCCCTACTTGAGGAAGGAAGAGGGGGATACTGTCATATATAGGGAGACCCATACTAGCGATGCATTAGTCCATTCTCACCAGGTCTGCTGCTTGCTCTGCAGCACATAAAGGAAAAACTGCACAAAAGGAGCTACCCTTGACAGAATTTTCTAAAGTGTTATTGTGCCCATAGCAGGAAGAATGATTACTGCACTGCCTTAGCTATTCACAAATGTTGTTTCAGGCTCATATGCAGGAGTGGTGTCGGTGTCATAAAAACCACTTTGCAGACTCTGCTACCAACTAGATCGAGCAGAGCCTTTGCTTACACAGCTTTATTTTATCCTCTTTTCAGAGTACAAAAAAGACAACATGGAGAATACAGAAAAACACAAGTAAGGAAATAAAACCCAATCACAATCTCACCACTCAGAAATGGCAGAACTTGTAGGAGTGTTTTCCATTAATTTTTATCACGTTGAACGTAGACTGAACCATTATAAATTCTTTTGAACTATTTTTACTCTGTTTGTACAAGTCCGAGCAGTCATTAGACAAGCATAGCTCATGTCTGAGAGACGCCATCTCCCAGCCTTTGCCTACTTGCAAAGCAGTTTACCTTCAATCAGCTGAGACAGCTGTGTCCCAGTTACCAAGGTCTCAGTGACATCACTCTTTCGGGAGGCCTTTCGGTAGCGAATTTTGTAGCCAGTGATCTGCCCATTTTGTGTGGCTGGTGGAGGTGGCTGCCAGTGAATCAGAATACTCTGGGAAAGACAAGTTCATGGGGAAAAGACAAGGATGTCAAAAGCTTGCTCCTAACTGTTTTAGGTATTATTACCCTGAATTCACATAGAGAAGGAACATAGAGGCAGTAGGGTGCTCAAAGTTTTACTTATTTAATAATCACTCAAAAATACTTTTCAATTTTGAAACCCCCAATGATAAAATTGGTAGACTATATTTGTGGGCAGTATACTCTGGGCCCTTGACCTCCTGGGTGTTTTGCCAGAATGAAGACACTGGGCAAAAGTCTCAAAGAACTTTTCAGAAGAAAATATAAAATCAGAGGCACATGGATTAGAAAGTAAACTATTGTCAGGTGTAAGGTTCTCTTCCCATCTCTACTGTGGAAGAGCTGAAATTAGACAACATCTGTCTAAAACTCTTCAAAAAGAGGATCATGAATTAACAGCTGATTGTTTCTCAAAAGAGAAGGAGTCCAATCGTGCTCCCTCAAAGGACTGAACATCTGATCTGTCTGTGTCGTCCAGAGGGCGCTGGGGCTTTGAGGGGCATTGTGCCTTAGTGTGCAGTGACCTGGCCTAGGAAGGGCGCTTTCAGCTCCTGCAGCCACCTGACAGATGCACTGGGAGCATCTCACAGGCCTAAGGGGTGGTGGCATCTCAGACACTTATTTCTTTCTTCATTTTGGACTGTTAAAGTCTAGAATGTAATGACTTACATAACAATGGCAATATCTGTGCAGAAAGGCTAACGTAATTTCAGCATCAGAGACGCGCAGTAAAGTGAAACAGAATAAACTGGAGTTGGTTTCTAAGCCCAGCTTCACAGCCAAGTGTAGCATCTAGGTGACCTTATTTCTCTGCTTAAGATGATTTCGATACAGAATTCCGCTCTCTGTAAGCTCTTCTAAGGTTTAATAATACACCAGGAAAAATGAACAACAGCAACATGAAGTCTCACCTTTGAATTTCTTACTTCTAAGGACAGATTCTGAGGAGCAGCACTGGGAGCTGGACAAGCAAAAAAAAAGAAAAAAAATGTTTTCAGTCACCCACACCATTCTTGGCCAGACCTTATTCAAATGCACATCTCAAACACTGATTGCCAATCTGGAGGTAAAACACAGCTGCTAGGGCCCTCCTGTTAGCAGCAGCGTGTGGGTAAGATGTAGTCATGTTTGATTTGTTTAAAAAACTGGGACATCCTCATATATGTGCACCCAAGGCAGGCTGTCCCTTTGGGAAGTCGGATACTTCTTTCAAGGATGTGACAGTGACTTAAACTTTTCTAGACCCCAGATGCATTCTGAACCTTCAATGTATTCTTTTAATTATTCCTGATGACAGTATTTCTTTATTTTGGGGGGAAGAGCCACAGATTTCCTGGAAACAAGTCTAATGAATATGGCAAGTGAAGGAAGTGGGTGGTGTCACAATGAGTCAAAAATGTGACGTGCAGTCATGAGCTTGGTTTTCTCGTGGAGTTCCCAAATAGGTTATGAAGGCACTTCCCGTAAAGCAGAGATAAGTAAGCAATGACAGCTTCAGTAACGTGACCATCTGGCTTCCAAGGCAGCGCTATAGCAGCAACACTCATTTAGACGTGAGAAGTTTGAGGCTGTTGCTTAAACAAACAGCTGCATAGCTTTAGTTCCTCGCATGTTAGAACATAAGACGGGTTATGTTCAAGTTTATGGCACACACACTCCAGTAGCCCCCTTTGCAGTAACTACAGCAAGCAAAGGGAATTCAGGAAATCCTATTATTTTCTTCTCCCCTCGCAAAACGCTGACTTCAGCTCTTCTCCCCTCATCCATCCAGGGAAACTTCTTTCTCCCTTTCGCTGACAAGGTACATAACCAAGTGCCCACTATGCTTTAGCCCTGGAGCACAGAGACTATTTCTTGCTCAGTATGTGAACTTTACAAAGTGCCTCGGGCCTCAACCCAGTCAGACAGGCCAGGCGAGCCTGGAGTAGGACGTAGGCACCTGTGCTTGGAAAGAAGTGTGGGGATGGGTCCAGCCACCTCCCTGTAGGACCTCTGCCCTGGCTGCATAGGCACCCGGCAGAGCTGCTGCTGTCTTCTTACACGGCAGGGACTTAAGCCATTCAACATTCCCACAAGGGAGTTCCCATCATTCCCATTTCACAGATGAGGCTCAAATCTCTACTCCACAATATTTGTATATAAACCAAGATTTGTCTTACTCCCACGCGCTGCTGTTAGCCACACACTCACACACGTGCAGGTCCCTGGCAGGCACTAGAGTTGGCATGCCAACCCACTGAGTGCAGTTAAAATGGGCTCGTGTGTAGATTTCAAAGCTTAAACATTCCCCCCCCCCCGCAACTTTTCTCAAAAGTCTTGACCAACTGGCTTGTGTAGTTGGCTAACCAGACTACAGTTTGTAATTATCTTTCCCAGCATTTTATCCTGAAAAATGTCTGGCACACAGAAGAGTGGCACGAATAATACAATGAATGCCATACGTCCTTTTCCTGAGTTCACCCATTGGTTAATGCTCTGCCACATCTGCTTACTTCTCTCCCTATATTCACACACAAGTTATCTACCTACATGTTGTTCCCGAGTCGTCGGAGAGAGAGCTGCAGTTATCACACTGTTAGCACTCCTAAGTACTACAGTATGTGACTAAGGTCAGGACCTCCCCCAAGAAAACTAAAACACAATGATTGCATTCAGAAAATGTAATCTTAACACAAAGATATTATTTAATATACCTAATATCTAACATGTAGATATTAATTGCCTATACTAACAGCCTATACTATACCTATCTAATATTAAGTAAATGTATCAATCATGCTCTTTATTACTTTTTTCCTCCCAGATCCAGTCAAGATCATACCTGTTTTATTTTATTTCTTTAATCTAGAATGAGTCCCTAACTGTTTTTTTCTTTCTTTCATGAGACTAATATTTTTTAAGAACTCGGGCCAGTTTATTTCTTTGCAGAATTTCCCTCGATTTGGGTATGTCTAGCTGTTTCATCATGATCAGATTCAAGTTAAACATTTTTAACAGGGATACAACACAGGTCAAACGGGCGCTGTGTCTTTCTCATTGCATCACATCGGGACACACGCGATGTCAGTTCCACCTTTGCTAACATTAAGTTGGACCATTTGCCTAAAGAGTCAAACTATAGCTCCTAAAGCATGCATGTTTACATATAAGGGACATATACGTATATACGCATTTTTCAGAAAAAGATGTTTTTGTAACACATTGGATTTACTTTAGTTTCCGGAAACAATACACACACTTACTAAGTGCAATGAGCCCTCTTTCTGTTCAATTCTAAAAATACATATTTTTAAAATGCTGGTCTTGACCTACTCAATCTCTTTGGAAGCTGCAGTTTGGAAAAATACTGTTCTAGGTAATGAGTATATGCTTTAACTTAGAAATTCAGTCACAGGTAAGAAAGGAAACTGCCCCCAAACACAGGAATTTAAAAGGCCTATTGGCATGTAAATATGATGCTAAGCAGAGCAAGGCTAGCCTGCCCACAGCCCTGGAATAATCTGTGTTATGAACAAGCAATAATATTACTTATACAAAAGCCCCTATAAAAAGAAAAACACAGTACCCGGTGCTACCATGTTTTCTGCTCTCTCACGGAATCTGTACAGCCACCCAGTGAAGGTGGCGTCACCTACATTTCACACAAGGAAACACGCTCCCATGTGGTCAGTGACTTGACCAAAGGCACTACATGAAAAGAGAACCTGCATTTGAACAGAATCTTCTTGACATCAAAGCCCGTGGTCCTGCTGCCCATAGGGTCCCCAGGCACAGTACTTTGTTGCAAAGGAAGAAAGACTCACCATCTGACAAGGTCTGAACAGCAACATCTTGTGTGGAGACCCCAGGACCATGTTTATTGTAGGCCACCACTCGGAAACTATACTCTGTGTATTTTTTCAACCCAGTAATGGTGTGAGAGTGACTTGAAACGTCAACATCCTAGAATAAAATAAAACAATTTATATATGCACAACTCATGCCAAGAAAAATGCTATAATTAACTATTTAAATTCTATATTTGACACAATGCAGATTTTTAAAATCATCTTTTTAAAATTAAATTTATTGGGGTGACAATAGTAAGATTACTAGTGTACAATTCTATACTATACTAGTGTACAATTCTATATTTCAAGTGTACAATTCTGTACTACATAGTCTATTTATCACGTTGCGTGTTCACCACCCAGAGTCAGTTTTCCTTCCATCACCATATATGTGACCCCCTTTATCCTCTTCTTCTATCCTTCTCCCTCCTTACCCTCTGGTAGCCACTAAACTGTTGTCTGTGTCTATGAGTTTTTTGTTTCTTTACTTGTTTGTCTTGTTCCTTTGTTGCCTTCAGTTTTATATCCCACATGAGTGAAGTTATAGATTCGACAATGCAGATTTTTTTATCCCTTTTACAGAATGTTATTTAACAGTCAAAGCAGATTAATCATAAACACTGACAATTTACTGAGTAATACTGCTTGATGTTTAGTGACCCTTGCTTGTAAAAACTACATAATAAACCTGGCATAAAGAAATACAATCTGTCAACTCTTCATTTCCTATACCTCTTATTTTTCCCCTCAGATTTCTAGACAAACAAGTTTTGAGTTTTGGAAATAATAGTTCAACTCTATTATTCCAATCAGTGGATTGAAAAATGACATCGTGTAACAACTATGTATGGTGTGAGATGGGTTCTGGACTTCCTAGGGTGATCACTTCCTAAATTATGTAAATATCTAACCACTATGCAGTACACCTGAAACTAATATAATAATGCATGTCAACTGTAACTGAAAAATAAATGTCAAAAAATGGCTTCATCTTGTACCTGTTCTTTATCAGTCCCTTTTTCCATGTAGTACAATTTATAATTCTGAATTTCCCCATTGCCGGACAATGGTGTTTCCCAGGTGACAGTGATGGAAGTCGGTGAAGCTGCATATGCTCGGATGTTAGGTGCTGGGCCAGGGAGCTGAACTAGAGAGAAAATTTCAAGACAGCAAGATATAAATGAAATTTACCTCAATAACCACTCTCAGCAATAATGTCATAATGGCCATGTTTTAAAAGCAAAAAACTAAGAAAACAATTGATTTAATGACAACATGTTGATTAAACAAATTTCCCTTTTGATTTAAAACCAAAAATTATCTGTGAAGTATCTCAAATTTATTAAAAGAGAAAAAAATGCACACTGCAGACTTCTCCTTGTGGTTTATGAAGAATCCTAGCTGTGCAGTGGGACTGGGGCATATATGAAGCCACCATCACAAAAAGAGAGGCTTCTCTTGCCAGGCACTAGGATACGGTGATGGATGGAGCCTGGCCACAAAGAACTCCCGGTCTAGAGGGCAGTCAGGTACATAAACGTTTACGAACAATGGCAGAAGTGCTAACACAGTCAGGCAACGATTATAATGAAAACAGAAAGGAGAGCACACAACTCTGCTTTGGGAGGGGATGGGCACGAAAGGGAAAGACCTCTGGGAGCAAGATAAATGAATTGTTTTCACAGATACCAAGGGGGAAAGTACTCCAGTCAATGGGGAATAGTATGTGAGACAACAGAGTTTTGTGGTTCAGGCTGAAATAGAGAGTGGATGTGGAGCAAGAATGCTGGACAGGAGGACAGGGGCCAGATACTGAAGGCCCTCGAATGCCCTGCTATGGATTTGGGATTTTGTCCTGTAGGTATTAGATATTTACTGAACAATGATGAGCAGGAACATAAAATGACATGATCAGGTATGTGTTTAGAAAGGACTTGTGAGCACATGCATGGAAGAAAAACAGTAAGGGAACAAGACTAGATAATTAATAGTTAATAAGTAGCTGCCATTTATTGCATGCTTACAATTGGTCCAGCATTGAATGCTTTACATATTGAAATTACATCTATTTAATCTTTGCACTAACCCAAGTGAGATGAATACTATTATCATCCCTGTTCACAGATGAGGTTGAAAGGTTAAGAATCATTCCTAAGTGATGGGAAGGCAGTGAGCAGTGAGCCAGGAGTGAGTACTTCTTGATTCTAAAGCATGGACTCAAGGAGACCGGTTAGGAGATTATTACAACCCCCTCCACAGGACGTACGTGGCTGGAACATGGCTGGAAGACTCAACGACTGACTGACTTGACTGTCCAGCTGGAACTCCCATGGCAGCTCACATACCCTTTACTGTATTCCTTCTGCTTGATGACAGGGTCCAGCCCAGCTTCCACACAAATCCCAGGCAGCTGCCTGTGCCTACACTTTGCTGGACACTCTAGATTTGAAAACTGCTTCTCTGGTGTTCGTGTTTTGGTAACACACATCCAATAGATTTAAGGAAAGGGAAAAAACTAACAAAATGTAAAACAAACTAGCTTTCTTAAATAACAACACCACAGCTTAAGATCAGTTTTGCTACCAAAGCAGAGAAACCTGAATATGGTTATTCTGACAGTTGTTTATCTTTTTGAGTCATGAATCATGCTATTCACTTAATGTTAAGAGCATATTTTGGGCAGCCTGACAGTAGAATTTGTCAAACGTCTGCTGATATGGAAAACTTTCCCTTAACTTATTGAAAAGGAAGGAAAACAAAACAGTCCCCAAACTCCCTTAAAATCGCATTCAATACATTCATCAGCTAAACATAAGTAAATATCCTAAAAAAGGCACAAATAAATTCTTTCTGTACAGTGGCATAATAAATGGAAACATTTTGAAGTTGGTTTGTGAAGCTAAATATGTAAAATATTTTCCAAGGGCCAACCCCAACACTGACGCCTCCCCACACACCTCCAGAAGAATGCAAATTGCTCTCCACCATATCCTTCTCTTTTGTCAGAACATGCTAGAGTCACTCTCCATCCCTCACGTGCCCTCACCAGAATCTGCTGCCCATTCCATCTTATTCTTATTAAGAATCAAACTCCTTGAACAAATTACTGTGCCGCTGAGTTTCCTTGTGTTGACAGCATATCACACTGTCGGCAATTAACCTGCGTGCCTCTGGTTACCAGACCTGTGGGCAGAAGTCAAGGCTTACTGGTTTTTACCGCTAGACCACCTAGCACAGTGACCGGAGCTGGGCAGGCACGTGATAAATCTTCTGTCCCTTACATTTTGCCCTCATCTCTAAACTGACCATGACCCTTCTCAACAGTTTGAGCCCTAAGTTCTCAAATGGTAATGAAAGCCACAGGCTCTTTCCCAAGGAAAAGGTGACTACGGACAGGCGCACACACATTTTCATCTCTCTTCACGAGGTTCACAGACCCGGATGGGACTCCTGCACTGAATCGAATCCAGTGGTCTTTTCCTTCACTTCATCCTGCCTCACCTTGCATGCATGTAGTTTGATCCTACAGGGGAACTGGGTCATGCAGTTTCCTTCCCCGGGATGCCTGCTCTAAGTCAAACATTTCAAGGCGAACTGGGTTCTCATCTTTTCCCGGAACCTGCCTTGATGTACCTAACTTTTACAGTGATTGTGCCTTGTTTTGTATCCTAGTATCTCTCATGAATGACACCTGTACATGGAAGTTAATGGAAGAAAATTGAGCTTGAAATCTAACTGACTGTTCCTGCTCTTAACTGAGCACAACTGTGAAATTCAACATCCTTTCACTGTAACGAGAGCACATTCTTTCCTTAAATCAGCCTCCTAACTCTCTGGTGGCCCTCTTCTTCCTGCCTGGTCTTGGCTTTGATCTTTCAGCCCGTCACTGACTGCTAATTCTTTAAGAGGAGAACTCCCATTGTGTCCAACCCCACCTCTCTCACTAAATGTTTGATGAGTGAATGTTTTGCTACAGCATTAGAAAGTGCAATTCCATAGTTCCTGGACTTTACTGACTCCACCCATAAGACAAGTAAAGTCGCTGAATTATTTCCATAGTTTCCCTGGCAAACTCATGAAATCTGTTTAATCCCCTGGTCAGTATATGCCACACTGCTGAAGTAAAATCTTTGTTATTGGAAGTCTGTTAATATGAAAAACCAGTGCAGTTAATGGCAAAAGAAAACTGGAGAAGGCTACAAGGAAAAACAGTGTCTTGTAATTAAGAGAAAGTGGGAGTGTAGAAGAAAGTCTCATGGGAAAAGCATTAATTATGATTTGATGGCTTCTTATAATTCCAGGCCTATAGTTTACAACCAAAATTTAAGACATACATTTGTAAGATAAATCAACCTGACACTCATTTCAGTTGCAGAAAATCTTAAGAAATGTAACTGGAAGTAACGCTATTTAGCACAAAAGACCATAGGTCCAAAGAAGAGCCTTAAGGAAATTCTGAAGGGTGTGGTGTGTATAGAAACCAGGACAGCCCAACTGATAACAAATACTGAATATGTGCTACACGTGTAAGGCACTACGTTAGATGCTGTGGGAAATACAAGGACAACCAACACTGTCTTTGTCATAAAGTAAATGAGATACAGTCATAATCACAAGTCAGGGAAGAAAGTGGTAATGTAGCTCAGAACTGTAGAGACACAATGTTAGCTAGGATCAGAGGAAAGATTCTAGAAGGCATCTGAGCTAGGTCTTAAAGGATCAGTAAAATTTGAGAATATATCAGCAGAATTACACTGTATTACACCATTTGCCTCTGTTTGATGTGAATTAATTTTATTTCTCCTAATTAATTCGTAACATTCTCAAAGGTGAGGAACTGCTATCTTTTGCTCTCCTGTGGTGTGCAAAGCTACACTTCAGGTAGACCACTACGAAGGTCTATCTGCAGGTGGGGCGGACAAGCAGGTGGGAGACTCACCCTCAGGCTGTGTTTCCACGCGAAGTGGCGCTGAGCTCTCCCCAGAGCCATGCTTATTCTGAGCCATGACTCTGAAGACATACACTGTTGCAGGCATTAGGTTCTGAATGGTCACCTGCATTTCTCCTGGGTGACTGGTGTTCTCCACACGTTCCCTTTGGACAAAGAGGGGTTTGGAAAGAGAGAATTGATTAGAACTATTTCTAGAATGTGTAGTTTCATTTTCATTGCAATGCCTACAGATGCCACAACACATCAGAATCTTAACAATTTAAGTCAAATGAACTCTCAAAAAAGGAAACTTCTGGGGATGGAACAGTGTACAGTAGAATATGGAAACTTGCAAAGAGCAATGGCATACATGTCTGATAACTTGTTGATGTTCTTGCTTCAATGTTACTGATATCACTGATCACAACCACAACTTCCTTGCAGAGGAGACACAGACAAGGGTCTTCTCAGTGCCATTTCAATGGGGCAGCGGGTCATCGATTTTGTAGGCTTTAGGAATCATTGAGTTTTAAGGGGTGATTCTCAGGGAAACAAACCTAAGGTGACTACAGGTATGACCCAATTTTCATAGAAAGTATCAAGGGATGCTGTGTATATGGAAGGTGCCAAAAAAATGTAAACACATTTTAAGAAAGGAAAAACTGTATTAAAATTGCAATACAATCAATGACACTAGCATTCATTTGATTAACGCCACCTTTTGAGAGAACATTATACTACACACTGCTACTGTAATTCAATTCAACTTCAAAAAGTAATACATAACCTCTCTTAAAATGGGTATACAGTTTTTTGGCATCGCTGGTACTTTGGATAATAGCCTCTCAATAAAAAACAAAATTAGAGATTATCACTCTTAAAATTGAAAACAAAACATTAAAAATTTAAATGAGTCCTACAAATCTATAAAATAAGCTAATCATGACACTGGATTTTTAGACTTCCTTAAATTCTAAAATTTTTTGAATGAATTCTAAACTGTTTTTGAATGATTTTCAAACTGATTTGAAATGTTTTGACAAATCTTATCACAAACAATACAAATGAATATAGCAGTCTAGTGTTATGAGATGGAAATATAAAAGCAATTTCCTAGGTTTTTAATTTTTTTATTTCGCCCCTCCCCACTTTCCTAGGTTTTTTAAAAACAGACAGCTTTCAGCCTGTATCTTGGGGAACCTGTGTGTTCACACTTGGGTCCATAATTATGCTCAGTCCACTGTACTTACTATAACAAAACCTAGATTATATTACACAAGAGTTTTCAACAAACGATGTGAAAGAATTTACTTGTTTTAGATGGAGAGCTAGTCTTTAAAAATTGCCAGTCATGTGAGGGAAGCTCTGTATCTATCTTGAGTAATAAAAGGGCCCAAAACTATTCTGTGGAAGAAATTATCTGAAATTACCTATCCATTGAATTAAAATTCTTACTTTAAAATAGTGATAATTTTCCCTAAAATTACTGATTAATGTATATTTAGTTCTACATGACTATATGCCAATTTGTCTAATTGTATATGAACATTTGCATTTCAGAGACCTAGGTGCTTTTCAGTCGTTTTCTCTAGTTTTTTAAACTACCTTCTTTTAATCCAAACAAACAAACAAACAAATAAACAAACAAACAAATGGTACCCACATCCGATGTACAGAGGAGCTTTGTCTATCATCAGGTGCACTGGAAAGAGTACTCTGGTAACAGAAGGGATTACTCAGAGATACTCGAGATACTTATTGATATTTTCTCTTCAGCTAAACCTCTACTTCAGATTTAGAAGGAGGGTGTCAGCTGATTTCTCACATTTAAGGTTTCTGACACTTGGTTGATCACAAATGACTGCTGTCTAAAAGGAGGTATGGTATTTTGCATTTCACTAACCTAAAAAGTTCCTGTGAGAGCACAGATTAGGTCTGTTTTGCTCACTCCGCACACAGAAGTTTGAACATGTTCTCTCTGAGAAAGATGGGGGCTGCTATTTTACTTTAAAGTGAAAGAGTGTCTCATTCATGTTCACATACTGCAGAAGCACTTAGCAGAATACTCACACACGGTTACAGCATCACAAATGTGGCTGAATGAATGGAAATTTGCCTCCTGGTACGTAAATCTTGTATAGTAATGATATCATGTATATCCTTATTCTTATGTAGAAGGGAAAAAATAGAAATGAGTGAAGGGAACTAAAAACCTACAACAAATTTCAATAGAAGCATTATAATAAAAAAATCATTAATAGTTATGTATTCCTGAGATGATACTCAGCACATTAAATGGCTCCTAATCCTAGATTGGTCTGAGGTCCCAGAACCAAGTATCTGTCTAGGAAAAAACCCCTCTGACTTCAGGACAAGATCCAGGGTGAATTTAAAGGATAATTCTCATAAATGCGTGAGGTTACAATGGAACTTAGATTAAATGTGTTCTGAGAGTCAAAAGAGAAAGAAAAAGGTACACTTTATATTAAGACAGTGTTGGGTTAGACATTAGAAGCCCCATTTCTAGTTCTGACAACACCTAGCGTGCTAGGGCACCGTAGCAAGTCACTAATTCTTTCTGGGCCTCAGTTTCTTCATGTATTCCATGAAAATATGAGGTCAGGGTGGCAAACTTTTTCTTAAAAGGCCTGATGGTCAATATTTATAGGCCAAATGGCAAAATGGAAAATATTATGTAGTTACTTATATAACCTACTACAATGTAACCATTTGAAAATGTAAAAACTATTCTTAGCCCCTGGCCCATAAAAATAACAAGTCTGATTTGGTCCAGGGTCCACAGTTTAACAATTCTCAGACTAGACTAACAGATATGTAAGGCTCTGTCCATCTCTAAAACACTATTAATTTCTGGAATAACTTATTCTGTGTTCTCCATTTAGAAGCTAATATGAGAAAAGTACTGCTGTTTACATTAAAGGCCTTGGGGGAGTACTGCTGTTTACATTAAAGGCCTTGGGGGGTGCGGGGGGGGGGAGCTAACATTTCATAGCTGAAAAGGCAGAGCAAGGACACTTTGGAATCCAGGAAACTCAGGAACCCAACAGAATTATAGCTCATGACCAGGGCACACAGTGCCACCTGGCGGTTGAATTTTCAAATGCAAGAAGTAGGGGAATTTGTAAATGGAGGTTCACATTATATTCTTACTGTAAGTCTGTGAAGTTAATACTCTCATTTTTTGATGAGAAAATTTAAGCTTATAAAGGTTAAATCCGTTTTCTTTATAAAATAAGTAACCAGGATCTAGTCTTTTTACTTAAGTGTCCTTTCTACTCCTTCATTGGTTCTATTCAGAAATCATAAAGTAATGAAGTGACAAAAAATAGTAGTCTCCAAATCTTTCTTTGAAATATTCCGCAGATTTACTGTGTCCCCTCCAAGTCCCTGCTGTTACCTTCACCCAGGCCCTACCTGCTGCACACACCTAGATTAGCATAATGACTACCTAGTTTGTGCCCTGACTCCACTGCTTCTCCTGTTAAGACCTGCTAATAAAGCTGTTTCATAGAATCACAGTGCACATTTGCTTGGGAGGCTAAAATGGTCCCTTCTTAACTGATTATGTCCAAATTCTTACTGGTAGTCCAACATTTGGCTCCAAATTTCCACTTTATTATAATCTCTTACTAATTTCTTCAAAAACTCTGGGCCAGTTAGGCTAGCTTTCTTATTAATAGTTTCCCATCCTGCAAATACCAGACACACAAATTACATTGGCTCCTCCTTGCATCTTCTCTTCCCTTATGTATCCACTGCCAATTTCACGTTTATATTTTCCTCAATTCCAACTTCATTTATTAATCATCCCTGCTTATTTCAAACCACGATACATTAAATAAATTTTACGGGGATAGATTTTCATTAAAAACAAAATTACATAAATATATTTAAAAGTCTCAGTTTTTCTCCCCCCCTCGAAAATCTGCTCCATCCAGAGACCTAACTGTGGCATGTATGGACCTGTATCTTAGCAGATCTTTCCATGCCAGGCTTTCTCAACCTCAGCACTGCTGAGATTTTGGGCAGATGATCCTTTGTTGTACGGGGCTTTCCTGTACACTGTAGGCTGTATATCAGACCTCTAGCTTCCTCACTAGCTGCTATTAAGCATCTCCTCCCATCTCAGTTATAAAAATCAAAAATGTCGCCAGACATTGCCAAATGTCTCCTGGGAGGCAGGAGGCAAAAATGCACCTGCTTAGGAATCAAGGCTCTGGGCATTTACATTTACATAATACTTATCAAAATACACAGGTATAAGTCACTTAAAAATTTCCTGTATTGAACTTCATATGAATATACACACATTATGTGCCCATTCCTCTACCAATAGACATTTAGTTTCCTTTCTTCATCCTTACAAACTATGCTACAATAAACATCCTTATACGAGCGCCCTATGCATGAGTACACCGGTACATCTATACAACAGGCACCCAGAGTTTCACTGTTGGACTGAAAGGATGTGCATTAAGAAGATAACAAAATTTGGGCCGGCCGAGTGGCTCAGTTGGTTAAGAGCTCGCTCAAGAGTGCGAGCTCTGAGAAACAGGGTTGCTGGTTTGATTCCTGGCCCGAGATGAGCTGCCAATAGGTGGCAGGATGGCTCAGCTTAAAAAAAAAAAAAAGATACAAAATTCTACCGAGTCACCTTCTGCAAAGGCTGCTCTAATTTATGCGGTCATCAAGGACCTGGAGTGGATTTCTTTCCAGCATTTAACTTGCATAACACTGGGTATTATCAACTTAAAATTTTTGCCAGCCTTATAGGTGAAAAACATTAACTCATTATTTTGTATTTCCAAGATTGCCAGTGAAAATGAAAACCTTTTTTAACTTCAATGAACTTTCCACTAACTTCTATGAATCACCGACTTGTACCATCTGCACCTTGGGATATCTGTCTTATAGAAGCTCTTTATATAGATTATCAATAAATCTTTTATAAATATTACAATTTTTACCCTACCTTATAACTTGATAGTTTGATTTTGTTTATGTTTTATTATATGGAATTTTTACACTATCATATAATAAAACTTTGTCAGTCTCCCTTGTTATGGCTTCTGCATTTTCTTTCTTCCTTTAAAAAGCTTTTCATACTCAAATGATAAAAAAGTTTCTATATTTTCTTCTAATACATTTATAAATTTTAAAAGTATCTTTTGATCAATATATAGTTTGCTGTTACACATGATACAAGATAGAACTTTTATTCTTTCCACCAAATGGAGTAAATTATTTCAACAATTTCTTGAATAGCTATTATTTCTCCACTAATTGAGATCAATTTATTTTCTTAACAAGTATTTATTTAGTGCTACTATATGCCAGGCTTTGTTCTAGGTGCTAGTGATACTCTAATAAACAAGACAGACACAATGCGTATGTTAAAAGAGAAATTTTCAGAGTGTTAAATGTTCTAAAACAAAACAAAACAAAAGAAAAAAAATGTGATAGCAGTGGTGTCCTGGTAAATGTTTAACAATCAGCTCTGGTTTGCAGCACTTGTGACTGTACTGCCACCATGCCCAATTTCAAGCCACCAAGTCACGTCATGGGTTTGCAAAGTTTCCTGAAGATTTAACAACTAGCTTGGGAACCAGGTGGCCCCAGTACACCACAGTGTGACAGTGACATCAACTGGGTGAGTTCACAGAAGTCCTGGGAAAGTGCCACTGGAAGAGACAGACAAGGGCCCGTTCTTGTGAGGGAAGTGTCTTCTGGTAGGAGGACAGGGTGGAGGCCCTCTGGTGGACGAAGCCTGCTGTTCTGAGGAACTGCTAAATGCTTCCTCCTGGGAAATCCTATGAAGTTTGCAATGAGATTCCAAAGTCAAATGGAGACATTTTAACACAAATGCTATTTGGTAGTAATGCCTTGCCTTTTTGAGCAAAGAACTATGTTTCCTTATCTTTGTGACTCCCCCAAACATCCAGTGCAGTGCTCAGATAAACATCACCATGAGTGCCTCCATCTCTCTGGCCCAATTATGTCACTCAGGCTTCTCAAAAGTGTTAAATCAAGGGCTTGTCACTTGATTAAGGTTCCTATACTTGCTGAACTTGCCAGCCTGGTATCAAAGACAATATATATCAAATGGCAGCACACTGGCAGAAATACGAGCTTGATTTCACATGGCAGGGCTTTAACCAGAACGGGTGTTTTAGCTTTCTTATTCTGGGGTGAAGTAGCAGCATAATTAAGGAATCTACTTGGCGATGTCAGGAACACACAGTCAGTCTGTGGCATGGTTCCTTGCAGAGTTTATAATCTAGTTGGGTAAACAACACAAATACACATAAAACAATAAAAGAGTAACCGCTATGGCAGTATAAAATCATGTGTTATAATTAAGTGCCAATATGAGTGGTACAAACACATATGTAAGAAAAATGTGCTGAAAAGGTAGAGAAAGCTTTAGGAGGGCTTCATGGGGCTTAATCTGGCTAAGGATTAACTGAATTTAGCTTTAGCTGAGAAAGGGGAAAGGGAGAAGTGAATGAAGAGAACAGACTACACGGTTATAGGAACTCGACTGATTTCCTTAGAGAGTGTGTTCCACTGGTCAGTAAGGAAATCTGGTTGGACAGATAAAATGAAGCTAGACTGGAAACAGCCTGGAGAGTCTGGATCACCTCCCATAAGCAATGGAGAGGCAAGGCGAGGTCTGGAAAGGTGTGGAGATGGAGAGGAATTTAATGGAAATGCTGTTTTAAGGAAATTAATCTCTAATAACTCTGTATATCATCAAGGGAACACCTGAAGTTGAGCAGCCCTCATCTATGTAATGGTGCAGGCAAAAAAAACTTGCACTGAAAATTAAAAATTTCTATAATTAATATAGAAATTAAGTCCACCTTAATTTCTATAACCTGCAAGTTCTAAATGAGCTGTACCTTACAGGCTATGCTGACTGAATCTTATGACAAAAGGGTAGCCTTGGTTACATTTTTCTGCTTCCACCTCAACAGCTCTATCTACCTTCTCCCCAATCATCCCAGAAAGGCAGGAAGGAATACAAGGTCTTCAGTCTGTTTGGGAATTTATTTCTAATGACCTAAAACTAGGGAAGAGGCATCTCAGTGATCACATTTTCTGGGCTGAAAATGGGTACAAATCCTGCACAACGAAGAGCCAGGGGGAACAGGATGGAGCCAGTGGGCCCAGACACACAGGCACTTACCTAGCCATACCCTCCTTGGTGTAGAAGACAGAGTAGGTGAGGTTGTCGCCATGAGGATCTGAGGCAGGCGTCCGCCACGTCAGTTTGATGAAGCGGGTAGAGACCAGGGAGGCCACGACGTCCCGCGGAGCCGAAGGCAGAGGTCCCGTGGTGGCTGGTGCTAGATGGTCAGTAGTGGCACTGGTCAGTGAAGTGGGAGGTAATGTTGGGATGGCAACATCTTGTCATGTGCAAACATTGGGGAATATGAAGGGCAAACCACGACGGTTTTAAAAAGAGAACAGAAAAAAAAAAACAAAAAAGAAATAAACAAAACCACGATGGGAAATAAAATAAAATGAATGAACATAAAAAAGGCCATTAAACTGAAGGCTAACATGCAGGCCGGGGGTAACTACTGAAAACTAATGGGCACTTTTCATGACACATTGCTACTGAGCAGGCAGGCTCTCAGCTCCCTGTGATGGCTGTGGGCGAGGGGCAGGAGGAGACAGCTGAGAACACAACATCTCACAGAAGGCCATGGCAGTGCCCAACTAATTTCCTTTAATCCTGAAAGCAGCATGCAATGTCAACCTTGGCATGTAAAAGTCTCATATGGGATAAAACCTCGCTTTATCAAAATATGGAATAAGGTGTGTAGTGCGCATGAGCCTAGTAGGCAGCTGTGACCTCACCGCACAGCTGTGTGTCTTCAGTCCCGAGACAGAGCCGAGAGCCACAGCTTCCACGTTCGTCTAATGGCAAACTCTGCTCTCCTTGTTGGCAAGACCCAGGCAAATTTGACAGCCTTCCTCACGCTGCTAACTTATAGTTCATTTGCTATCTATCAAGTCATTTAACTATGACAGCATAAAATAATGAATCAGAAAGTGCAAAGCCACAACAATACAACGCCTAGGTAGCTTGTCTGCCTTTACAGTTCTCACTGCAGTATTAATACATAGCTTAAATTAATACGTGCAGGCCTCATGACCAGATGGGACAGATGAAGCCGTGGAAAGCCAAAGAGCTGCTAGTCCAAAGCTCGGTTTGTATACCTGTGGTTGTGTGTAATTTTATTACCTCCTACAGCAGACCCTTGGACACCTCTGATTTTAGAAGTTTATTCTTAATATTAAATCTAAAAGCTCCTTCACCTTGGGGCCAGAAAGTATAAATTTAATCTCACAATTTTTACCTAAAATATTGACTAGAATTGCATCATAACCTTCATGGGGACATTCACAGAACAGAAGCAGAGAGGAAAACATGAAAATTCTCCACCTAGTTTTCAATGAGATGGTAGGGCAACAACCTCCTGGAAACGTTCGTGAGCTGTAAGAGGCTCTGCAGGGAGGCAGTCTAATATGCCAGAGGGAATAAATTCTCTAAGGAAAAGGCAGAGGAGGACCAGCCTCGCCTCTAGATAGGTGGAGAAGGGGAGAGGAGATTGAGTAGTTTCTATGTACTGCACACGTTCCATATGGCACTCCGCTCCTTATATGGGTGCACTCAGTGCTTACAACTCTAGGAACAGGTACTATAGTTGTATCCCTGGCTCACTTGCAGAGAATGACATTGAAAAGGGCTAATTTGCTTCTCCTAGGTCACACACAGTAAGTGGTAGAGTGGTAAAACCAAACTTGGTTTTAGTTTCAGAGGCCTTTGGACTCAGCCAGTGGGAGTTCTAGCCCTGGCTGTGCCACTTACTACTTGTGTCACTTTGGCAAATTCGTTGTTTCTTCTCACTTGCTCCTTTTCCTCTCCTTCTGAGAAAGGGTTTTTAAGAGTGTGGAGTGTTATCAAAACACAAGGCTGTGAAGTCTTCGTTCAGATAGAAGTCCAACTTCACCGATACAAGTGTCAATGTTATTAGAAAGTTAATTCTGAATGGCCACTGAGGCCTCGTTCTTATCCTTTATGCTTCAAAGATGTGTCGCCTCAGAGGAAATAAATACTCTCACTCACAGCTTTCAGAGTTCTTTTTCATATACTGTGCCAGTTTATTCACGTAGCAACTCCATGAAGCAGGATGGAAATGACTGGATTAGACGTTGCATGAAGGTCAAAAAGGAGTCCAGAAATTCAGAGTTTCTGGCATGGGAGAAAGGGTGGTTGGTGGTGCCATTAACAGAGAAAGAGACACCAAATTGAGGGAGAGATAGATGGTGAATTTGTTTTTGAGCATTCTGTGTCTAAAGTAACAACCCAATGTCCATAAGAGAAATGTATAAGAAGCATTTGGAAATGTGGATCTCTGATTTTTTTAAAATTAAGTCACTAAAACCCTTAGAGGGAAATGGTTCAAAGAGTGGCCATCTTGCTTCGCTGCCTCATTTCTGTGCCTGTCCAGAAACACACTAAGCTGCCTCCACATCTGACCCAACTCACCAAGCTAATTTTTCCCAGCGATCCGCTGGCCAGAGAGGAGAGGGAGTCTGTAATGAGAGGGAATAGAGAAAACTAGAGAAAGCCCAGGATTTTGCGTACAAAGACCTTATGTTCAAAATTTGACTCTGCCACTTCCTAATAATGTGAGATTGAGCCAGTCACTTGGCTTCCCTGATCTGTTTCCTTTTCTATTAAACTGGAAAAGATAACACTCCCTACCCACGTCCAAGGCTGATATAAACCAGATGAATATCAATGAGAGAAATGCACGTGGAAAAACTAGGTACGTTATCACCACTGCTAGCTTTAAATGGATGACAAACGCAAGAACATTAAGTATAAAGGCAGCTAGGAAGGGAATGGAAGCAGGGAGGACTAGGTGATGGAAGTATGTAACGGGTGGTAACTGAAAGAACCACTCGGAAAATCCAGTTGACCTACTGAGTTTCTATAGCATACATCCGTAATTCTGTGACAGCACTGAGCAATTCCCACTTAGAGTTTTCATGTTCACATTGCACAGTTTACACTAGCTTATAGGCCCTCTGATGATAAAATCTGTATCTCTTTTATCTGGGAATCACTCACCATGCCTCTGTATATTTTACATAATCAATAAATGTATATTTATTGAATTAATCAGTGGAAGAAAATTCAGAAAGAATGTTAGTGCAATGGAGACCAACGTTTCTAGAATCTCATTACACAAGGCAATATTTTAATCTTTTTAACTAATACAAAGTATACACAAATAGTATTTATATAATGATGTTATATAAACATTTGCTTTGCAAATGTATTTTAACAATGATGCATGGGATAAAAGTAGAACTAACGCTGGACGATAACTGGCTCCTGGTTAGCGTGGGAAAGCTCCACGTCCACTGCAGTGCTCGGGTTCCGTCCCCACTACACGCCTTCCCCTGCCCCCGCTTCCCCCACCACACACACACACACACACACACACACACACACACACACACACACACACTGGATCTACTGCTGCTGTTCTGTGCTGGATGAGCAGGTAAAGGCAAGAGTCTCATGTGACCAAGAAAATCAAACAGGCAGTTAAGTTACATGAGGATCAACGGCACAATGATGGCCTAGGAGGGACTTCACACTTCCAGCATGACCGTTTGAGGAAATCCGCAAATCTTCTCCCCCTTTGGGGAGCTTTTTGGCAGCTTTAAAGCTGGGCAACAAGCTGTCAAAAACTGGGAACCGTCCAAAGGCAGACAACACATTGAGAGGCATTTATTCATGAAAACAGTCCTACTTAGGGAAAAGCAGCCATTCTGTGGCACTCTTGCCTGGGGGCCCCCAGCACCCCAGCTCTGTGGGGATGGTTGTCAACGGGGTAAGGCAAGCCCTGGAAACCAGTGGTTTTGCTGCTGCCGCCAGAGGGGGCTCCTCTGAGGTGGAGCATTGTCACTTCAAGTAGCACTCTTGGTGGCAAGTGGGAAGGGCTGGTTAGCTCTGCTAGCCTGAGGTTGTGATTTTGGAGGGCAGGCGACGGATGGTACACTAGTTAGAGATTTAACAGGGAGTTTGGTGAGGTGAAAAAGCGATAACAAGGTTTGATAAGCTCTCCATTATTGCCGGTTAACTGAAAACCATGACAGAGACAGGAGCAGGCCCAGGCCACACACATGTCCCTGGCCGTGGACCCCATGTCTATGTTGGAGGACAAGTGAGAGAGCCTGGCCGAAAGCAAAGGCCGGGGCAGGTTAAAACATGACCTGAATTTTTACAGCATTCTCCAAACCTCTTCTAAATCCCCCAGCTGAGTGGGAAGGCTCATGTATTGGCTTGAAGTATTTGAGCACAACTTCTGACTGACATTTGGCTAAACACTAATGTGTACAGGCACAGGGATTACCCCTAGAAAACCAGGCTTCAAAATAAAAACAAGAGAATCAAAACCCAAAGCTAAGCAGGAGCAACCATGGTTGGACACTGTGGGGAGACGGACATCACAGACTTAGCCCAGGCAAGCCGTTACACAAACAAAAAGAACAGCTGCTGGGGGAACCAGTCAAAACCTATAGTTGCTATGATATGTTACCCAAAAACATCCAATAGTTAACAAAAAAATAAAGAGACGCGCAAATAAGCAAGAAAGTGTTGAAAGGGCAGCCTACAAGAAGTCTCAGAGAGTCCTCAGATACTAGACTTAACAAAGACTTCAAAGCAGCTATTAAAATAGGTTCGAGGAACTACAGGAAACTGTCAGGAGCCACTCAGGCTGAGATTTTACCTCACTTAGGGGTTAACAAGACAGTTATTACTGTCCAGGGGTGCTGGTGAAGGCACCAGTCTTGCATTAGATACAGAGAACTTTATCACTCAGGGCCATGGCCGCAGTCAGCACCCCACATTGGTTCTCATCAATTCCCCACACCCATCAAGTCCCACGAAGACAATGCAAAGGGCCCAGGATGGATACCCACAGCTGCAGTAGGCTGTTAGAGGAGAAGGACCCTGGGCTTGAAGGATTCACCACTTCATAGCAAGGGGATGCAAGCCCCAAACAAGGAACGGGCCTGCTGTGAGTATCTAATTTAATTTCGTTGTGGTCACAGCTATACTTCGTATGGTTTCAGTCTTTTTAAATTTACTGAGACTTGATTTGTGTCTCACCACATGATCGATCCTGGAGATGGTTCCATGTGTGCCTGAAAAGGATCTGTACTTATAGTTGTTGGGCAGAGATTCTACAACATCAGGTCAAATTGGGTGACAGGACTGTTCAAGTCATCTACACTCTAAATTTTTCTAATTGTT